CAAACGTGAATAGCGACGTGGCCGTGAACACGGCAGTATGTATCCGAGAAGCTGCACATCCAATTACTATCTCTCGCTTCAGGCCGTTAAAGACCTGTCGTGGAGTTGTTTGGATTGGATCTTCCTTTGTGGTCTTTTGCTGGAGGGCATACCCAAGTTGGCCCCATTTGTTCCCGCCCCAAGTCCACACCTCGCCACCCTCAAGAACAGCAACGGTATGGTCAAGCCCCAAAGCAACACTCTCAACTCTCTTGGGAGGCAGAAGCGGTGGTGAAAGCGGTCGGAGTGTAAACTGTGTGGATTGCTGGTCCCCGAACCCCAAACGCCCGCCATGACCGAATCCGCAAATGAATAAATTGCTATGTGGATCGGAGGTTAGAACCGCGGTGTGTAGCTTGGAAAGCTGAATATCGCGGAAATGTAGTGGACTGAAAAGAGTAGATGCGTCAAGGAGATCTTCGGATCTCTCACCACTATTAAAATACTTGAGCTGTGCTTGTTCCAGCAGTAACTGTCGTGGACGCTGTATCTGCGGTCTTTCCGGGTAGGATCGATCGTCCTCGTCCGGAAACCCGAGTGACAAGTTCTTGTTCGACCCGAACATGAATATCTCGTCGCCACCCGCAGTTTCCGACCTGTCAACCTTCCCCGACCTTTCATCGTTGTCCTCATCATCCGATTGTTGGTCTTCTTCTACAACTATTCCGCGCTCCTCTGCAAGTAGACGCTCAATTCCTTGTATTGAACCTCCAAAGACTTCGAATGGACTGTCGCCGGCATGGTCTTTGATCTTTACAATCCCCCAATTACTCGGATTATGCGCCAGGATTGACCTAACAGCTGATATGTTCCCATGGTAAAGTGCACGATGCATCGCTGTCCATCCAGATTCAGCATCAGGTACTGAAGGGTCCGTATACGGGTGCTCTAGAAGCGCATCCACGAATGGAAGCCCCTCAGGATCACTACAGGCTAGATGCAATACATTTCTCCCTAGGCTATCTAGCTCCCGTAGCGCCTGACGTGTAATTGTACCATTGCCATTTCCGCTTGCTCCAGACTTTTTTGAAGATGTCGCTGCTATCGTGGTTACCCCAATTCCAGTGGGTGCGACGCCACCACCGCCTGGTCGTGCCAGAAGACGCCGGAACTTTGCGGCGTCATTCTCGAGATAGTAGCGCCACAGATTGCTGCCCATAAGCTGGGAGAAGAGAGCTCTCCTGTCGCCTGTTTCACCTGCCACTCGTGTGGGTAGGTGAAGAGGCGAGAGAAGAAAGTGAGGTGGGATTGAGAAAGATGATCTCAATCCTCTAGTTTCCTGGGGCTGTTTTCTGACCGTTCGGGATCTGGGCTCGGGAGAGCGTTGAGAGGAATCCTTTGGTGGCGTTGGGTATACGGGAAAGCTGTGGGTGGGGGGGGGGGGTGTGTGTGAGGGATATATAAAGAGTCTGATGGCAAGATGAGCCCTTGTTACAATTACGGATCTTGAAATGCAAGGGACCAGGAATACGCGTATCTATCAGTGTATCACGAAAGGTTAATCCCGCCGGGTTTTATGCACGGGGGGAAGTTGATTGGTTATTAACAGCTAGAGCTCCATTTGAGTACGAGGGTAAAATCTCTACTGTCAGTATCTCTATCAATTGGGTTTGTGGAGCAGTCACTGTGGCGCAGTCACTCAACCGAGAGTGCCCTAGTATTTATAACATTAAAAACCCACGAAACAATAATGTGCACTACAAAGAGCTAAGGCACTGGAGTAGATACACAATTATATCTTTGCTCTATAGTTACTAATCTCTTTATGATGACTATATACACGCAACCTATGACATTAAATATGAATCATGACAGACAACTAGGTCGGATTGGGCCCATCAAGGTCGGGTCGACTCTTGAATTTCTTAAGAGATAAAGTTACAATATAGGTGCCAGTAAGCTGGCTAGACCCCGAATGTTCCTGTGATTGGGATAATAGTTCTATATTCTAACCGAATCATACCCCATGAATCTTACTGAAGTAAATACAATTCTACAGGCAATCTCTCTGTCTCCGATATTCTGGGCATTCTGTTCAATCCACTTTCCCCCCCTTTTTTCCATCCCTTGAAATTAGATACCATCCGCTCATGTCCAGTTGATCCACAAGTGTTCGAGAAATATGCAGTCAGGAGTTATGACTCAAACCTTACGAGCAAAGTGAGGGATTTAACCAAACCAAAGCCTGCGTATCTTGTATGACATGGTAGTTCTTCTGTGATGACTCTTCTGAATCTAATAAGATTTATTCATATATATAAACACGTTTATGCACTAATACGAATCAAGTATATCGGAGATAGATATCGGGGAAAACACAATTCTTTACGTTCCGCAGTAATTTTATTTCCAGGCGATCCTGGCGCTCATAGCAAGACTCCCGTATCCAACGGGGGTGGGTGCTTTGGGTGAAAGACGAAGATCAACCACGAAAAGACTGCCAATGAAAGCTTTTGATGAGGGTGACTGCTCAGAATTGTATGTGTATGGCGGTATCTTCTAGGCAGAGGAGTACAAAGTAAAAGCTGCTAGGATTGATCATTATGATAACAAATTGGTTATTGCAAAGAATTTTGTGGAGGGGCTAGTGAATGAAACATTGGATGTAAATTGGGTAAGTGATCAGAATCAGATAAGTGAATGTTGCGGTGAATACGTGTATTTTTCTTATCAGATTCTGATCACTTTTCGCTACACCCTAGTACATGATTCTTTAGCAGCATGCAGAGTGAATTTAGCGCTCTCATATAGAGGCGCTACCACTAGAAATTAATTATATCACCCTTCCGGCTCCTCGTAGATACATGTCCGTACGCTCACATGGAGAGCCCTTGTAGAACGGAACTACTAAATTATTTGAACAAAGTTGGGGTTAAACTGCGTTTCGGCAACCTGAGAAGTGTGACCGTAGGGCGGATTAGAGTTGAGGTCTGGACCGGGGTGACCAGATGCATGTATATCTTTGCTTACCCCCTCTAAATAATAGGTTTGTTACATGTAGCTATATGCAGTTTTGAGCAGTAAGATACCGTTACCATATTAGGGCTGATGATACGATCAAGAATTTGAATGTAGGCGTATGGATTCAATATGTTAAAGTCGTAACAAGCACTGTTAATATGCTACCGTAACCTACATCCGATTAGCAGAGTCCCCGAGAGGGGCCTAGGCCGTACAAAACGTAAGATGGCAAAGCGAAAATGTTCTCATCAAATTCCCTTACACCCAAGGTCTTAGGTGTGCCGAAGATTTTTACCTGAGTAGCAGACGGGAGAGGTGCGGTTCGGGATAGTCTCGTACCCACCCAGTTACTTGCAGCAAGCTGCCCAGTGCCAGTGTAGAAAGTTAAAGACGAGCCTAAGTTCGGGAGTATTCTGTGTCGCATGCGTTACTTGCAGTACGGCCTCTCGAGAGGGCTTGGCAATTGCCTGATAGATACGAGGTGCAGACCAATGACGAAAGCCAGAGAAATACCACAAGCTGATAGCTAACGTTTTAGACCGGGTACCGTGTCAGACCTAGAAGAGTGTCAATCCCATACAAATTTGTATGGGGATTTCTGTTGCCAAAGCTATCTCCATCTCTTGAGATATTTACTGCCAGATTTTTAACCACGGATTAGGATGGTTTTCAGATGGATTATCCTCTATTATGGTATTATGGGGTCTTCTTTCTTTTTGGGGGCTTTGTGTCTGGTTTTGGTGCCGTTGCCATGCGACACACTTCTAGGTCTGACACAGTACTGGGTCGAAAACGTTATCCCTTAAGCCGTCAGGCCAAATCGAAATGGAAGCTGTTAACCACATTCAGTAAACATTGGGGATATCTAGTACGATCTGCCATGTATTTGATAAGCAGCTGGCGTGACGGTATGACTGAGACCAGCGTTCAATCCATCATCTTTACTGAATGTGGTTAACAGCTGCCATTCCGATTCGGCCTAACGGCTTAAGGGATAGGTGAAGAAACCGATGGAACAGCCTCACGTTCACGAACCCACGAGAGACAGAAGAAGCCTCTTACTCCTCTTACTCCTGTTCAACAGGAGGCCAAATATAACCTAACGATACCACGACAACGGTTAACGTTGTTGATATCGAATCGACCGTCACTCTCATATATGGGAATCCCTTCGCCCAGAACTTATACCCTTTTCCGGACCCCCGGGTATCGATGATTGATGGAAGCTCCATTCGAGGTATGTATGGAATAAGAAGCCATGAGAAGGTTATCAAACCCAGAGATATAACTCATTCATTCCCCGATATTATTCAGCTTTAGAGAGAAGGTTTTCTGTGTCAATACAGCTGCACAAAGGGATGTACGGTTAAAAGTTAAGCTTTGGGACAATCCGGAATAAATTGACGGAGGACTTTGGAAAAAGTACTACCGAGCCTGGCCCCAGGTGAAAGATCTATGAGGTGTTGGGTCATGAACGATCACTCTATATTCTCCGTCACGAACCATCACTCATACCTAGAGTTTGGTACTTTTATATTTATGATTTCTACTGAAGGAATATGAAGTACATATTAACCAGAGGTCGGCCACTCCTCAGTAAACACAGTGCAGCTTCAGCACCCCCAAGACTTGTGCCTTGTGGCAAGGACATGGCCATTACGCTCTATCTCAGCCTAAGAAAGCTCCGAATTAATTACATGTTTTTATATACACTTCCATATTTCGTTAGTCCCGGTTATTTCAATCTGGCCTGGAACTCTATTGGATAAAATGGTCTTAAAGACAAGGGTTTTGGAATTTAGTCAGTCATGGATTATTAACCCTTTTCACCCGTCAGGCTTTAATAATTACATGTAGTGAACCCTTGCCCCTCCAAGCTCAACATCCCCCGCGATCCCCGCTCCCAAGAGAATCCCCCCGCCCAAGTCATCCCTTTTTAATCCTAAAGCCTCAGCTACAGCATATTTTATTATTCCGCCTCAAAGCTCAAACCAATCACAATGACAATCAACGTTGCCATCCTTGGCTATGGCCTTTCCGCCACGACCTTTCACATCCCCTTCATCACAACCACCCCCGGCCTGGCTCTGCACTCAATTGTCCAGCGCTCCCCCACAGAGACGAATTCCGCCGTAAAGGACCACCCCAGCATCAAGGCCTACAAATCCACCGCCGAGCTCTACGCAGCCCCAGAGACAAGCGAGGTTTCCCTGGTGGTTGTAACCACCAGCAACACCACCCACTTCTCGTACTGCAAGGAGGCGCTCGAGAACGGCAAGAATGTCGTTGTGGAGAAGCCCTTCGCAACCTCTTCAAAGGAGGCTGACGAGCTTATTGCGTTGGCTGAAAAGGTCGGAAAGACCTTGACCGTGTTCCAGAGTAATTTACAACCCCTCCGGTCATTGACACCAATGTATGACGGGCTCAATGCTAATGACTATATTGTAGACCGTCGTTTCGATTCCGACTTCCTCAGCCTCCGCGCTCTGCTATCAGCTACACCATCGCCCTTCGGAAAACTAGTCTCCATCGAATCCCACTACGACCGCTTCAAGGCCGTCGAGGTCAACCCATCCGACACCCGCGCCTGGAAGAGGGAACAATCATATGGCAACGGGACACTATGGGATTTGGGAACACATCTCATCGATCAGGCACTCACTCTCTTCGGGCTCCCCGCCAGAGTATTCGGCCAGATCCGTGATGAGCGCGGGGCAAGCGTGAACCCAAAGGCAATCTGGGGAGAGGACGGGTTTTTGGACGATTTCTTCGAGGCGACGCTCTACTACGACGGGAGAGAGGAGGGCGAACGGGGGTTCGTGGTGAGGCTGGAGGCTGGGACGCAGTCGTTGAGGGAGAGGCAAGTGAGGTTTATTGTCAGAGGATCGGAGGGTGGATGGGTTAAGGTGAGCCGCTTCTTTTCGTGTCAGATCTTTGTTTGATGAGGTATGCTAAATGTGGATTAGTATCACCTCGACCCGCAGGAAGACCAACTCAAGGGAGGGCTGCTGCCCACAGCGGCGGAATTCGGAGTCGAGGACGAATCTATTCATGGTTTGACTCCCGCTGTAGAACCTCTTCCTTCCAGACCAAAGAGCTAACTTTTTACTCAGGTACATTCATAACACCTGATGGCACTGCCACAAAGACGCCCTCGCAGAAGGGCAACTACGGCAAGTTCTACTCAAACCTTGTATCTGCCATCAATGGTGAGAAACAGCTCGTTGTGAAGCCACAGGAGGCTGCCGATGTCATCAGGTTGATAGAACTACTTGGAGAGAGTAACAGGCAAGGCAAGGTATTGGCTGTTTCACGGTAAAAAAGGATAGCCGCCGCCACACTCGTTTATTAGGATACCCTCCACATTAAGTGGTAGAAATCAAGATATGCCGGTCTATCAATTCGATAGTAGGTGATCTGGGTGTAAAAAGAATAAAAATAAAGCTTTTGATTTTGAAAAAAGTAGATATTTTCCATTCCATGCCCTAAGTCAAAAACGCCGCCTCCCAAACGTACTGCAAAGCGAAAAAAAAAAAAAATACCACAAAACCTCCCCAACCAGTCACCCCGCATCTGCCGCAACCACTTCAACAATACGCAACTGCATCCCCACTACCACAACCACAACCTCTGTCAGCAAACACCCCACCAACAACAACAACCAGAACTGGAATACTCACATCTTCCTACAACACTCATTGCAATCGCTCCAAAACTGGCTCGGATGTGTCGGGTTCCAGATGCGCGTGCAATCTTGCTGGCACAGCAGCAGCGCATCCACCTTTGCCCGGCGCGCCTCCAACTTTGACTCGTTCGCGACGGGCTTCTGGTAGAACCTTTCGCCCCACGAGCCTAACATTCCGCGCGTTGCTTGCTCCGAGTCTCGCGCTACGAGGTACCCGACGCCGCCTATGTGGTGTTAGTAAGAAGTGATACGGGAGTGGAGGAAGGGGGCGTACGGCTGGCTTGACGGAAGGGCGCTTGGCCTTTGCGGGATGAGGGGAGAGCGGCGACATAGACAGCGAAGGTGATGAGGAGGAGGGTGAGGGATAAGAAGCGCATTGTGGCGATAGTTGACGGCCTGATGTGGAGGGTGTAATGAACTGTAGGTAAGTATATACAGGTAAGAAGTTAGAGAGAGCCAATGATCCTCCTATGGATATATAAGCTTAAGATCAGATCAGCAATATCACAATTGATCCTCTGTAGAGAGGAGCATCGCGCTCCTTTATAGCTAAACCACCGCAGGTACAAGACGTTTCCCCCCGCAAAATCCGTAATTAATAAAAATGACATGTTTGAAGGTCATGGATCCTTTTGGTTTCAGCATTTTCCCTAAGTACCTACCCCGCCATGCAATAAGGTACAACGGATAAAGAACCCGGCTCAGCACAGAAGCTTCCATCAGGAACGTCCCCGGTTTTGCCGGATGGCCGGGATGGCGGTCCGTGGTGCAAAGACCCGGCGGAAAGGGTTCCGCAGCTGGATAGTCCTCAGTAATAGCGGTTTCGAAATTATATGACCAGTATTCAGTATTAGGAAAGAAAAGAAAGTTACATGTTAATACGGCCCATAGAAATACAAACGAGATAGCTAGTATGCTGGTGGGGCTGTTATATCTATAAATCGACCGATATTGCATCATAAAAGACCGTCCCGAACGCCCCAAAGAAACTAAACCAAATATACAAAGGAAACGAAAACCACCATCATCTGAGCTGCGGTCCCGTACCTGCCTGGATCGGATCTGCTTCCCCCCGGTACCCATCCCACGTCTCCATTTCTCAAAACGTCATAACTCTACTATCCTTCTCCTCATCTGGCGAGCGCATCGCCATCATCAGGACCGTGCGCAGCTTGTAGGTCGCAAAAGCCGCCAGACATGCGATCGAAAGGAAGATTATGACGATAATGGCTATCACGTAACTACACCCATCATACACTCTGTTATCTAAACTGTCACTGTGCTGGATGCATATCTAGATCACCAACACTCAAGTTTAGCTCCTCGGAAGACTAGCTTAATAAGTAATGAGGGGAAGTTGGGTTAACGTACCGTGGGGCGCTTTTCTGTGAGAGGGAGGTGATATATTTGCTATTACTTTTCTTTCATTTTTTCCCCCAATAACGGGTAAATGGAGGGCAGGGATTCTCCTTCCTCTCTGATATTGTAATAGCAAGCAAGCAGGCTAGCCAGCCAGCTAGCGGTATAGTATATATAAAGCAGTCTATATGAAACACCCAGAATCAGCCAACCAAACTAGAGCGAAAGAGAGCATATAAATATCCTCATAATCACCTTATCTCCACAGATCCAGAGACCGTGCGTTCCAAAGACCAAAAGGTAGTACCGGAGTCCAGAGTCCAAAGTTCAAAGCCCGAATACGAGAACCAAAAGAAGAGCACTGCCGGAAGTCTGCAAATACCGGTCTACCACCGGCAACCAACATCTATTTAAGCTTAACCCGCTACTTAGGGTAGCTATCAGGCCAGCCTCAATAATAAATGTCTTCTGTTCTGTCTGTCGACGCAGGTACTGACCGCTACGTATGTAACTAATGTATTTGAGTGAGCTGGCGTTTTAAAGCTCCGACTGCCAGTACGGTGCTGCTGCAGGGTCCAAGGAGATTAAGGAATGCGCACAGAAAAAATATAATCGGTGCGGCCTGGTGTTTATTGGCCCGCGCTTTGGAATGCTGTGCTTGATAGGATACAGATGGATATGGGTCGAGCTGTGTGGTTGGGATCGGAATCGGGGCGGCCGCGGTGATTTGGGGGGGAGTGTTTGGCCATGAACACTGAGGAGTGAATGGATTACGATGTGGACTGGCGGTGCATGGAGGAGAGACGGTGTAGATGGCTCTCCGTACATGCCGTGTCCTGAATACTGTCAAGGTGGGTGCGTGTAAGGGACGTGTCAAGACGACTTTTTATTATTATTATATGTATTTCCTTCCTTTGCTCTCTTTTTATAGCTGTGAAATTATTTCAGCAGAACTATAGAGAGAGTTCTAGAAACCGAAATATATCCAGCCTTTTGTGAAAATTCCCGGAAATACAAAGAAATTTTACACTGTATAATATGACTGGAAGAAATGAAAAAAGAAATTTTGAATTTTTGGAAGGTAATATTCAATTTCCCGAATGAAAGAAGCGGAAAGATAGACCGATGAGTCAGCTTTTCCCGTCGGGGACACTGTTCCAGCAGATACTTGATCATGGGACAATTGGTATCATTGGGATCGACAGTTGACAACGGGCGTTTAGCCTTCACAGAATATCACTCGGTTTCATGGCAGAGTGTTGCCTGATGATTGGTAATCTATCACAGGCGGTCACTCGTGAAAGATATGTCTGCGTGCTATACAGTATTACGCATTCCTCCATTCGTTTCTCCTGCATGACTACTCTAAAGATACACCTAATTCATGTCCCTCTCTTCTACTCCCCTCTACGGCTCCATTGATGTTTCGTAGTCTCTTTTCTCTCTTTCTCTTCATAAAGAGACTTCGCGAGCTGCTTGTACAGGAATAGTGTCCCCCCATGGAAGTTGATGTTGTGGTCGCTATCCGTGAACCACTGTACCCTCATCTTCTCCGGAGAGACACCGGCAACCATCAGGGTATCCACAAGGGCGGCACTGTTCTGGAAATGGACATTATCATCGCCGGTACCATGCTGGACTAGAAATCCGCCCGCAACGTTCTTGAAGCCTTCGGGTAGGGCGACAGCGGACTGTGCGTAGCCGTCTCGGTTGTCTTCGAGGGTGCCCATGTAGCGTTCTGTATATATCGAATCATAGAAACGCCAGTCTGATACAGGGGCGGTGATCTGTGGCCGTGTCAGCAGCTATACATCTATGGGGCGAGAAGGTCCCAAAACGTACTAGACCGAGGGAAAAGACCCCGCTATCAAGCTCCAATACCTTGCTCGTCAAATACCCTCCAAAGCTCCAACCCCATATCGCAATCTTTTTCTCATCAACATAACTCTTTTTGGCCCACTGTTGCGCCGCCCAAACCTGATCCTGTGCCTCTAGCTTTCCGAGCTGCCTGCTCACAAGGGCCCTGAATGCTCTTCCTTTAAAACCAGTCCCGCGGTTGTCGACAGAGAGGACTATATACTCCAACTCTGGGTCGCTAGCGACGTACGAATTCCAACCTACAGTTCGACGGAAGGTCTTGCCGGTTTCTTGAGCACCGGGTCCTCCGTATATGCGAAAGAGGACCGGATACTTCTTCTTTGGGTCAAAGTTAGGGGGAAGATACTCGACTACATTTAGCTCGTACCCGTCGGGATGTTTAAGAGTGCTCCAAGATACGGCGGGGAGATCGAATTCAGCTAGCTTTGTTTTAAGCGCCGCGTTGTCGGTCATGGACTTGATTGCTACATTGGTGTTGTTGACCGAATACAACTCCTGATGGGGCAAATCAGGGCCTCTGTATGAGAGAATGTAGTAGGCACCTCCGTCAGAGAACGAAGCCCCCCAGTACCCATCTTTGTTAGTGTCTACAAGTGCCTTTTTCCCCTTTCCATCTAAACCGACAGAGTATAGGTGGCGCTCTGTGGAGTCACGCTCGGTTGAGAGATAGTAAACGACATTTCGAGAGACATCGACCTTGACAATCGAGACCACTTCATATTCTCCAGATGTCAGGGCAATTGGAGAGCCGCCGGCGACGGGATAGAGATAGAGATGGGCGTATCCAGTATGATCTGAGATATCAATATACGAGGGAGTTGAAAGACCGGGGATGTCTATTACACGAGTCAGCTTCATTGGCAACAAGTAAAATACAGGCAGACAAAGGGGCTCACATCGAATTGCAAGATTGTTATCAATCCACCCATCCGTCCCGTCTCTCTCCCTGACTACACTCGAGCTCGCACTCTTAACATCTACAACGATCAATTTCTCAAGATTTTGAACTCTGTTCATTGTGCGGAAGATAACAGCTTCATGTTCTTCGGCGACCCAAGCAACCTCCGTGATCAGCAGATCTTCCGGGGAAAAAGAATCAAACTCGATCTCCTGGGGACCAGCTGTAAGGTCCGAAAGATTGAGCAAGTGAAATGTGACAGTGGGATTTGTTGCCCCTACTTTGGATACCGAAGTTCAAGTTCTCTGGGGTATGGAGGGGCTGTTGATTGAGAATCCATGTAATATGGTATGGTGTAGGTTGGTACGCCTGTTTCATTGAAGCGGAGGAATGCAAGATATTCACCATCTGGTGAGAACCAGTGGGCCTTTGTATCGCCGTAAACCTCTACTCAGCATTAGTAAGATTGGATTAGGCAAAGAAATGGTAAAGAAACTTGCCTTCCTCGTATACCCAATCTGGAACGCCATTGAAGACGTCCACCCCGCCATCATCTGTAATCTGCGTGACAGTTCCATTAACCCACATGAACAAATTGTTTCCCCTCACATAGGCAATGCTATCTCCTCTAGTATTCCAACCTGCATACTGAATATCTCCAGCCTGATCGTCTACAAGCGGTTCCAAGCTCTTACTAGCCCTATTGAATATATAGTAGTCCGCAAAGAACGAATATCTGTACTGCTTCGTATAGTTTGCCGAAAACAGCACATTATCCCCCGACGGCTGAATGTAGTAGTCGAAAAAGGTAGAAGCCGCCTCTTCTATATCTGCAAAATCCAAAAAGGTCTCATTGGTGCCAGTAACAATGTTGGCAAACACTAGAGAGCCAGTTTCGGGATCTGGGACCACGTATGTGCCATCGCTGGAGCCGGCGACCCATTGTATAAAAGTGCTGGAGGCTGAGTAGTTTCCAGAGAAGATGTCGGCGAACGTTACGAGTTTTCCTTTTTTACCAGGTGCTGGTACTGCTGCTGCAGAGATCGTGAGGCCGAGTACTAGTGCCCCTCTGAGTGACGAGAACGTATTAAGGTACTAAACCAGTTTGTGGTTAGTTTAAGGGGTTTTCCACGGCGGTAATCTACGGCGATAGATAAAGGGCTATTATGAGAGGCAATTGGGCTTACTGACCTTCATCTCACTATTTTTAATTAATACGCACGCTCACAGATCAATCAAGACTCAATCACTCTTCACTCAACCAGACAGTGTGTATATTTTTACAGGAGAGCAGGACACGATTGCCTTTTATTTCCCTTTGCCCAATGCCTATCAGGGAGTTCCCGAGCTCATGCTGTGATAACCAATACATTGCTAGCTTTACCTTCCTGAAGAAGTGGTCTACTCCGTAACTGATTTCCTGCCAAGAGATCGCTGCACAGGCAGCTCATTCGCTCGCCCACAACATGTATCGTTAAGTACCTTCTAAATATAGGTACCGATTCTCTGGGCATGGAGGTATAGGAAGGTGAAGTAAGTACTCCTCTTTCGTGGCGTTTCCGGGCACGGCCAATATTGCATGACATACAAAAAGGTGGATTTGGCGCTTTTTTGTATGGTATGCAATATCAGTCATGTTCGGAAACGTCATGAAATTAGTAGTATACAACCTGCTCTGTCGCCGGACTCCGCCTTGCTTATGGCTGTTTCTTCTACCACATGGTGCTTAACTACAGGTGTAGGTTTCTATATCCCTTAAATGTATGAGACAGTGGGAAAATCTCTCTCATGCATGAATGTCATGTGACCTTGAATTTGGGTTGAGGAAACTTCCGGGTAAGCAGCTTGCTGCCTTTGTCGGTCTTAGAAATACTTAATGGTGCCATAAAGTTCGCAGTTCGCTGCCTTACTTCAGTCAATCATTTCCTGGATAAGCCACGCTAATGCATGAGAGAGATTTTCCCCTGTCTCATACTCGGGTGTAGCAATAAGAACCAGAACATGCAAGTGAAGAGACTGGGATTATTTGTATGGAGTGGCGCCGCTCTGCCATACAAATAACCTCATGGCATGTTCTGGTTCTAACCCTTGTACCCGAGTACATCCAAGGGTCATAGCGAAGATAATGCCTTGATTGGTTTGAGAAGAGGGGATGCCTCTTCTCCTAATTATCCCTTGAACCGTCAGGCCGAATTGTAATTAGCGGAACCTAACGCAAAGTGGAAATCGTGATATAAGGCACACCTGTAGGAGCAGCAATGACAGAAACCATCACAGAGGTCATGTGTGATGAATTGTACGTTGAAACGCAAGCATACATATAAATCTTGCGTTTAACACATCACGATTTCCACTTTACGTTAGGTTCCGCTAATCACAATTCGGCCTGACGATTCAAGGGATAGCTAGCTAGAGTCTCGTTGTAACTACAGTCGCACCTCGCTATGTCGTTAGCGCGTTTGAGGAGCTCAGTCCGTACGAGATAGCAAATATACGAGACAGCGAATAATAATTCCCAAGCTGACAGGGGTATGGAATCAAAAAATCATTTTTGAATGGAATTCCAAATTCGAACAGGTACCTAATTAGAGATAGATACAGATATCAGTTGTTAAAATATCCTGAAATTCATATAAAGGTTATTGAGAGGTTTAACTCCTATAGATAAGAGATGGAGCGATCCTCTGAGCCTACTCTGAGCCTATGTACAGAGCAGTGAATCATTCTTAAGCTCACTCCTCTATTAGAATAGCTGCTCCCTCAACCCCCGCTATAACTACTGCCAAGACCTAAAAATCCGAGATAGCAAATATTATTTGTATGGAGACAGGGGGTTTCTGTTCTCAATTTTCCATACGATCCGAAAAGTGCCAAAATACGAGATAGCAAATAGGTTTTGGTGTGGAAAACAAGTAGCAGGCCAATTCGTACGAGACAGCGAGAGACCCGGGATATCGAGATACGACATAGCGAGGTGCCACTGTACATGTACTCGTCTACCAGCATAAGAATTCTGCCGTACAAATAATCCTTGACTTTGTCACTCGCATTTTCTGGTTCTTATGCTGGTAGACGAGTACATGTAGGTACGTGTGTAGGTACATGTCAACTATGTAGCCTACAACAGGCTCTTGAAAGTGAAAGTGCAGGAGCGGTTGGAAACGGCCTTGGCTCTCTTACAGGGTCTTATCAGACAAGTTCAGAACTAGGAACTACGAGAATTGGTCAGCAACTTCAGTTCAATTGACCTTTTGACTACATGTACTTGAGAATTTATATACTGATAAATTCTATTCGTACTTAGAGTTAGATGTTACACAGTTTGAAATCATGGGAAGAACCACAGCAACTAGCTTGCCAAGAATATATATTATGGTACAAATTCGCAGTCTTGGCAGAATTCTTACTATTCGTGCTTCCCGAAGATGTACTAGTACTTCCTAGACGTAAATGGTGCAAAAGAGTCTAAATTATACTGGAATAGCCTCTTCCAATCCATTCTTAACTAGTTATTATATTGGATTCTTTTGGAGCACCCAAACAACAGCCTTCTCCGACCCGTCCATGAAGCATTCCTATTCGCTAAGCATTAATTACAAGTCAGACTATGATTACATGGCGGTAGGTATTAGTCAGTTATGAATTGCGGGGTACCACCCTTGATAACATGGACCACAAAACACCACTGATGAATATGTGCGGTCATGCCAGAGGAGTTGCGCGAGCAGCGGCGAAAGAGTTCTCCCACCCGTCTGGGGTATTAGTTCGCCCTACCCGCCGACGGAGCCATACCCATCATCAAGCAGCGTCGACCACCCGATCGATCCATGGTCCTCCTCCCCCAAAACCTGTGGTGCATACAATAACTCCCCCACATTTTTTTTTTTTACTCTCTCGTGGGTCAGGCTTACCCCAAGGCAATGTTCACCGCTCCTATATATTGAAATTATATTTCTCAAAATGGTTATAGAGTCCTTTTTTTGCGCACCGTACCTGCATTAGCTTGCAAAGCGCACAACCGGATAAATCAATCCTGACCAGGCATATGGGAATCGGTGATGGGGGGCATGTCAATCCTTGATTCTTAAGGAGCCCCTTCAAGGACCCGAGGCAGACAGAAGCTATGATAGAGGAGAGTCGAAGAACAATATTGAGGCATAGGAACGATAGCCATCACACTGAGCTATCAATAAGGTTATACGCCTCGGCAAATGTAGTCAACTAATCATCAACATGTTGTGTTGCAAAACCTTTGTCTTTATCCAGGCACCTCAAGTCATCCTAGCAACACAAACATCTTGACAGACCCCCATCACTCGCGGGATACAAGGCAAACACCTCAGAGGTTTACCATCCCACTCGTTTCGATTGGCCTCGTAGCCCGAATCCGATTTGTCATGAATTCGAACCTCCAACTTAAGCCAACTTCCCACATTTAATAACGGCCTGTCAGACATAACCCCCACCAGACTCGGACTCTACCACTCACGCATAACCTACTTGAATATTCCGCTGATCTGGCCGATAACTAAAACCCATACTTCTGTCACGGATAAATAAGGCTGCCCAATGCTGTCTATCAGAAGTTCTAGTACATGGGGGCCAAGTGCGAAGTGCAGCCCGACAGTTCGTAACGGTGGGGGGATAATCTTTTAGTTGGTGGGATATTTAGATGAGGGTGGCGTATGTGGAGCGGGGGGTTGTGGAGTGTGTTTGAGGTAGGCTAGCCACGCGGCCGAGTAAGTACATCAGCATGCAGATTGCGGGGTGTGTGTGTGTGTGTGTGTGTGTGTGTGTGTGGCCAAATTGGAATTGTTCTCCATGACCAGCAATTGGCCTGAAGGGAAGAAGAGCTCGGGGGCTTTTTGTATTGTTTCTCTTACAAGATTTTCTGTGCCCCTTGACCGTACTAAAGTGATATTGCCACTGGCAGAGTCTGGCGAGTGATTTGCTGTGAAGCAGAGGGTTTTTGTTTTTTGTTTAATTCATTAATTGTGAAGCAGAGGGTTTCGGAGTGTAGGATCTTTGTTGAGATATAGATGGTAGATAAGACCTGTAACCAGTGTCGACCCTCGCTAAATTAAGTGCAAAACTCCTTATTAAGATGTAGGTGCATGTCATACATACCTTGACCCAGTGCGAAGAACGCTCGTTCAGCTCCATGTAACTCGGGATTGCATGATCTAGTAGTGTGCGCACATTCATATTTGATCTCGACCATAAGCAGACTCATAGTGAAACAGAAATTATGTACATTAAGTTGAGTATGGGTTGGTAGAAACATTACTGTCTATGTGTATGTATGACAAGGTGGTACAGGGTGCAGCTTGCGTAACCTGGACTTGAAAGCCCTAAAACTCCATGGCAGTAGCTCAATGTGTTTGGTAGTACACATGCATCTAGTCCCTGCTAATTCTGATAATACATAGAAAGTGCTGATCTAGCTAGCAGTGAGCATCGGATCCATAACCTACATGTATGCATCGGCATGTTCGATACGTGTGAGACACTAAGACTATATACCTAGTGGCTGTAAACATCTGAATTTCCTATCGCGGATAGTAGGTACATGTAAGTATGATCGATCACTAACCCAAATCACAAAGGTTGTACGTGACTTCGCACATTGTACGTAAAACTCGATAGCTGAGTTATATATATTTACATGTATAGAGTAGTGATATATAGAGTAGCGTACCGTAGGTTTATATATAGGGCCTTTTTCGCCCCCTCAAACCATCATATTAGCACTTTCTAGTTTATCACTTTCTAGTTTATCACTTTAATTAGAACTCTCATCTTTAGATCGTTCTTAAATCTAGCCACTATACTACCAAATTCCGAATCCGATGGCTACCAATTCTGAGAGCAGTAGAAATATTACCAGGACTTCCGGGATTCATCCTCGTATGATTTTCGTAGCCAGGACCACCCTACCACACGACAAAGAGGCAAATCCGCGTCCATATCTTGCTATCAAGAAGATAAATAATCAAATTATAGCACTGTACGTTGTTTCGTCCTATGGTGATATCTAGATCTATTATTGTACCTAATTAACAATAATTCGCAGGCCCTTGACCTCACTAGAAAAGAGGGTGACCGAGAATGAGACCTACAAAGAGATCTGTATCCGTCATAAACGTAGTGAATGGGACTACTTTGCTATATCTCCCAACACAAACATCTACAATGATAGTATCTCGCAACCACTTAGTTCCGAAGTACACAAGTATAGCAAGGGCTGGATCGACCTCATTACCCCCATGACTATTGGAACAAAAAACATCGTTACCGCAAAGCGTGTCGACGAGATATCGCAAGTCGATTTAGAGAAAGTTATTGCTGCCCATGTAGCTCGGATGGGGTTTCAACAAATTGGTGGTGGTGGTGGTGGTAATGGTGGATGTTTGGGTATCGGTACTCGAGTTTCGAATTCGGTTCTGGCTCAGGGTTTTCAAAAAATCCTGAATATAACGAAAACCCTTCTACATGCCAGTGAAAACAAGGAGGCAACACAGGGAGAAAATGAGAGGAGGTACGCGGAAGTGATCAGTATATGCAATGATTTGATTGTAACATACCCACCCTCACCCCCACACGAAGCGATAAATCCATTAGATATACCTATAAGTGAAATTGATCTTCATGATCAGCTCCCTACTCGAATGGGCTCGAAAAGACGGCGAAGAAGGAATACAAAGTCGAGTGGGACCTGTAACGATGGTCAATCGGAAACTCGCAGAACTGACGACCCAAATGGCGGAGGCGGGCCAAATGGAAGGGGGCCAAACGGATACGGGCATGTTACCTCCCATGCTGAGAGCAAACCTCGGGCGGGAAAGAGCACAGGCGGTGAAAGCAAAACTTCAGCACAGAATGCAAGCCCTGTACACTGTGCAAACCGAAATCTCGCAGGTGAATGGTCCGACGCGGATTGGCAGCTTATAGAATACGGAGACGGAGACGGAGACGACGAGACTTCTACTGAGGAAATATCAGAGGAACCCTGGCAGCTGTTAGATTATGAACTCTCATACTGCGACTCCGATTCAGACTCATATATTTCTTCGTCTGAGCTTGATGGTCCGGATGTTGAGGATTGGAGGGAGTCCTTGCCTGATCCGGCCCAAACTTCATCTACAGACGCCGCTGTTACCGTACAGAATAATCGGATCCTCATGATTATGCGGTATCTTGATGCACTGAGGACATATAGGAGGGGCGAAGAAGGGATGCTTGATTCTAGGGCCCAAGACTCTCCAGATAAATCTCTTTTGTCTTCAAGCGAAATGTAAGCCCCTAAACATCAGAGGTTTGATCGGATCGTACTAATCCTCAAGGCTTAAACCTGGGTGCATTATAAGTCCGCCAGAAACCAATAGTTCAGACAAATCATTCACCAGTACCGAATCATCAAGTTCTGAGAAAAGCTTGCTTTCAAACGCGATGGGGAAAAGGCCACAGAAAACATCTACCACCATAAACACTACCTGTTTCAAATGTAAGAAAAATATCACCACTGGAACTCACGACAGTAAATTCTCCGTCGAAGCTTTCTGCGAGAAATGTAATAGCAGTGCCAATGTAAGCCTACTTCAAACTCCCTTACCATTACTGCACCAACACCAGAGCTTCAATGAACAGGAGGACGGAAATGTAAATGTGCAAGACAAGTATCGAATCGGGCGGACCTTTGGAGAAGGCTTCGACAAGTCAATCTTGGTATATGAACTTCAATCCTTGATGATTCAATGACTTATAAGTTCCTGACATGATATATATGGTGGTAGAAGAAGTCTCCTCAAGCCGTATTAGCGAACAACCGGTACTCGGGTCTAGTAAAACGAGTGTTGATGCAAGGTAAATGTTTTGAAATTCGGGGGTGGGGTTAGGGCCAAGTAAGCCAACTAATAAGAAAGTAATGCGTTCAAGCGAACCTCAAAGAACGGAATGTGCTTGCGGAATCATGCTCAAAAAGTTCCGCTTTTAGGTTTGTGTTAAGAGAAGAACACACCGACGAGCAAGAACTCGATAAGATTGGGAATCGCACAATAGTTAGTAGTTGCCAGTCGGTGCTTGAGGGGGAACATGATGAGGATATTCTTTGCTTTCTGGATGGAGCAGGTTATGTGGATTTGGGTAGAGATGGTGAGTCATTTAACTATCCACATTGTGAGTCTGCAAGCTCAACGAGCAGGCATAATTGAATGGAATCAAAGCTCACATCAACCATTTTTTTCTTCTTTTCAGAATACGGGGTTGATTGCATCGCTTTAAGAAACTCGGCGAAGAATGAGCTTTCAAGGGTCGAGCACGACACAAAAACAAAACTCCCAAATTTTCCTTCCTCTGCCTTGGGGGTTAGAAGTCAATTTGGACAAATATCATCCACCAATACTGCAGGTCAGTTTAACCTAACCAGAATTTATAAAATACTAAGTCTTTCAGGTCGACCGTCTGAAATTGGAGAGGCGTGCCAACTCTTCGGTTAGTAACAATCTCAAGTCAGAGTGTGTGTATAAGCTCACAAGTCACTAGACAGATCTAGAAGCAATACCTCAAAAAGCTTTGAATCTGGACAAACCGACCGGACTCAGGTCCAACGATTCACCTCTCCCGCTCTGCAGTACACAACGGCTATTCAAAGACGATGTGATTATCTCCTTCGTTTGATCAATCCAGCACAAAATTCACTACCCCCTGTGCACACCATAGCCAAAAGACTTCTCGAATACGTTTGCTCGATCAAAAAGATTTCAGAAACGGGTGGCTGGAAAGATGCTGATTGTTTAGAAACGCTTCAATGCACCATCTTTCCAAAAGAATACCTGCCGGCAAACTCGGATGTACTCATTAATCTGCTTAGAAGCTATCCGCTAACAGATGGCGACCCTGATATTCAAGCTCTTGCTAGACTTTCTCTTACAAACGATAGCGACCTGTTACTGGAACGGATAAACTTCGCGCTTCCAAGGACCCGTGACGATTGGCTAGCAACAGACAACGTCTGGAATCAGGAAGTAGTACAGTCTACATCAGAACAGCGTCTTCTTCTTCAGCAAGATGGAATGATTAAGTGGATACGTTTCTTGATGTCAACCCTTGGACTAGGAGAAGCCCATACTAGAGAGTTCATGGGAGAGCAAGGATCTTCAAAGATTGAAAAAGACTTGTTATGTCTTCTTGATAGCTTAGGAGCAAATTTTGAGTTAGCTGTTGAGAGCGGAAGTGGGAAAAGGGATGGACAAAGGTAAGAAGAACCTATATTTCTCATACATAGTACAAGCATGTAATAATTTTTATTTTAGGAAAATTCCGTCTATTGAGGACTTAGAAGAGGATATATTAGAAGAGAGGGACAAAAAGTTGAAATGCGAGAATGAGCAATGTCGAAGGTGTAAGTTTATGGAACGAGACCGGTGCTTTTCGAATACTTCCTGTATAAATAATTGTAGTAATTCTGAGGACTGTAATTATGGAGAAGGGTTGTGACTACGTCATGAAGATATTTATTTTATAAAACTCCTTAAACAATGTCAACGTGCATGGCCGTCGTCAATGCAATAGTATGTATGATTCCGAATATTACAATGCGTAGTACTTGCAGCGGTTACCCAGTTGATTCTTCGTATCTGCGCTCGATCTAGTTAGAAACGTATGTACTTATATAATTATTTAGACTAGAGCTTCAATATGCTTAGTTCCTAGCTGGAGTATTAAGGTAAGTTTATAAAGCACCTACAGTATTTTTTATGATAGTACTGAGCAATTACATATTGTTCCACACTCTTTCTGTCCGCAATATTTTCTTAAACCAGTTTGCCATTTGCAATCTCGAGACTAGGGTTAGGTATTTATCCTATAATATAAAAACCACAACCCCCATATAATTGTCGACATCACCTGGGATTTATACATTCTAATTTGGTACTTCATAGCTACCGCTTCATAGAATCTAACCCGGTACCTTCCAGAGCCTAATCCACTAATCATGGATTCTAATTTGGTTAAAAAACATTCGAACCCTGGCCAGCTTACTGGTAAATACATGTAGTGATTTTATGATATCATCATCACCAGCTTGTAATGTCATTTGACCTTGACCTGTAGTCTGAGGTTTCATTGTCCTGAGGCTGAATGATGATGACTAAGCAACACTAACTAACTTTCGGCACTGCGAGTATATGTACCTACAAGTGTCAACTAAGTAAACTGTGGCCTGCAACATGGCCTCTCCAGAAGAGCCAGTCGGAAAGGCATCAGCTACAAAACCTTCTCAAATCCAAGTTATTCAGGAAATCCTTCCATCAATTAACGACTTTAAAGAAATGATGCTCGCCAACGACTTCTCCGGTCAAGATAGTGCGCCCCAACCCTTTGAAGGGATAACCGGGAATGCAGTCAACAGACCAAGAAACTCTGAAGATTTGAACGAGCTCGGGGATAAGAGCAATACTGAAGATAATCTGGGACCTAAAGATATGCCAGTGGAAAGTACTAGGAAGAATAAGGAAAAGAGAAGGCTCAGCTCTCAGACTGTGGTTTTGCCAGATCAACAGACCTTGTCGTCAGATAGCTCGGCCTGGGTCTCTGAAACAGAAGAACTCCAAATTATTCAGCCCCGTGGTAGATCAAAGAGTAGGGGTAATTCCCTTTCAAATTGCGCCTCTCAAACGAACTCAAAGAAAGCGCAGAAGCTTTCACCGGCCCGGCTTGGTGAGCTATTACACGATACACCAACAACATTTTCCATCCAACCGTCGTCCCAAGATCAAGTACCACCCCTCATGTCTACTATTACCTCTCCAACAAGGCACAGATCTATAACAAACCCAACTACTACTTCTCCGAATGGTGTAAAGGGTCCGCCATTCGCACGACCACAATTGTCGGCCTTGGACCGAACATTATCTGCACCTACGGGTATGAGACGAAGCAGATCTTTCCCCCGAGCGCTACAGCTAGATACCCAGAGCTCCCCTTCAAGATTACCGCAGTTACAACAGCATCAACATGGAAAATCAGTGGAAAAGGGAGGAAACCCAATTTCTCCTCAAAGAAATACAATACATTCAATAAAAACCGTACATTCGAGTGCTCCTAGTTCGCATTTATCACCAAAGTCTGCTTCAACTCCCTCGGCCCGCAATAGCGCACCTAATCGCCGCGATTTTAACAGCCCTCTTTCTGGTCATGCTCCCACAACTACCCATCTCTTGAAAACTGCAACGCCTACTCCATCGTCATTTCCTCCACTGCCCTTGCAGACGTATCTCTCACTTGCGCTCTCATCTCCTACGTCCCATGCTAAGCCAACGACGTTTCCTTCCCCGCGAGAGCCTGGACCTACCCCATCAACAAGTACACATTACCCTCCCCAACATCACCCAGATGACTCGGCGGCCATTGCATTTGAGCGAATAACAAATTTCCTTCTCCTACCAGGCAAACTTGAAGGGGCGCTATGGTTTGGGATGTTGGCCTGTCTTGACAGTTGGCTTTATATGTTTACGATTCTCCCACTTAGGTTTGTGCGAGCTCTTGGTGTTCTGTTCGCCTTTTGGTGGGGAGGTATAAAAAGTTCCTTGAGTTGGGGGAAAGGATCACGACAAAGGAGTAGTAGCTCCGCAGGCGGGAGTGAAGGCAGTTCACCTGAAGTTTCCAAAAGAGAAACTGTAAAGGGAAAAAGGGTAAAGGTCGTGTCAGATCTACAGCCAAGTCATAAGGCAGATATATTAAGAGGTTTGGTCGTATTCACGAGCTGCTGGATTCTTATGAGATTTGACGCTAGTCGAATGTATCATTCTATCAGAGGGCAGAACGGTATTAAGTTATATGTCATATATAACATGCTAGAGGTATGCATACCTATGGTGGATTTGTTGGAACATTGCTTCTCAGAATTATTCCAAACAGATCTCTGCACTGTGAACTGCCCAACTAATTCGAGTCGTGGCTTAAGATCAGCGACAGATTATGCTCTGCGGTAGGGCAAGATATTTTTGAATGCCTTTTCTCGAAAGAAACCTTGGAAAGAGGCCCAGATGGACGCAGCAAGGTTCTAAGGCCGCTTGGATTTTTCTTACTTGCATTGGTCTACAACAGTACTCTCCCTTGACTTTCGAGACATATGATAACACTGCTAATTTTAATAGCATTACATTCTACAGCACTTTTTTACCAAGTGATAACGCTCAATGTTGCCGTAAACTCATATTCTAATGCTCTTGGGACTCTAATACTCTCTGTCCAATTCGTTGAAATTAAATCAACAGTTTTTAAAAAATTTGAGAAAGAAAGTCTTTTCCAATTGACCTGCGCTGATGTTGTAGAACGTTTTCAGCTATGGCTCATGTTGGTCATTATTGCATCACGGAACCTAGTTGAGGTTGGAGTGTGGTCGCTCGCCGGCGCTGACAGTAGCTCCAGAAGTAGTGGTGGAGTCTTGCCTAGAAGTTTTACTATTTTTCCTGAGTGGACAGGTCAGGTTATGGGCCCTTTCTTGATAGTCCTGGGCAGCGAGATGCTAGTTGATTGGTTGAAGCATGCCTATATCACCAAATTTAATAATACCAGACCAGCCGTATACGAACGGTTCTTGGATGTGCTTTGCAAAGACTATTACTCACATGTACGACCAATCCTCCATCTTATCTGATATTCCAGGCTGATAGTTACCTCTTCAGGCTTTCACAGATCAAAACTTGACCAAAAGGCTCGGTTTGCCCGTGATCCCATTAGCATGTCTTTTTATTCGTGCAAGCCTTCAGACTTATCAAATGTTTCTTGCAACCCACGTGCCCTTACCTCTCCCTTCGGCAACAACATCTCTCTCAGAATCCGACGTATCGCCAGTAACGACAGCCGCTCTTGCCAATTTCGACGCTATACTACGTCGCGCACTAGGCGGGTCGCCGTTCGGGGGAAGTACGGGTTCATCACCAGAATCGTCCTCAGACAACCTGTTTGCCATTGCCATGCTACTCATATTCTTCCTTGGCTTCTTCCTGGTCTGCTTGGCGGTCAAGCTTGTGCTTGGGATCTGTCTCCTCACATTTGCGCGTAAACGCTACAAGGGTATGAAGGAGCGTGCGGGAATGAACTTTATGACTGGGGCGAGAAAGGTTGGTGGTTTTGGGCTTATAGATGTTTCGGATGATCAGAAGAAGTGGATCTATGCGGATGACCCGGCGGGCGAGAGGGCGATGAAGGAGAGAGAGAATCGACCGCTGCCTAGGGAGATCAACCTAGATGATGTGAAGAGGTATAGCATGGCTGCTAAGAGGATATGGTAGTACTGGAGGGTCTTGTTTGCTCAAAAATGACGGGGACTGTGATTCTGGATTATTCTATGATTGGCGTTTTTTGATTCGGTCAGTGGGGAAGGGATTGTATACGAAAAGGTTTAGAAAAAGCGGATAATCGGGTACATGTATGTAGCTACATGAGTTATGATGATGATTTGATGCGTAATTGAAGTCGTTAGCAGAACCCTTGATTCTGTACTAGTAGAGAGAAGGTTGGGCACCATGCTTGGGGGAGCCAGTTTCGCCTGCCAAGACACTGCTCTACAGGTATGTACCCAGGGGTGCCGGAAAGTGATGCAACGACTCAATTTACTACTCATGATTTCAACCACATGCAACCCAACTTTGACTTTAACGAAGCAGCAATATATAGTATGTAAAGTAAAGAGAATATGAAGAATTCATCAGTCACATCAAAATGAAAGAAATTACATGTAAGGTGGTTGCGAATTCACTAAGACCTCACACTATATTTCCAAGCCGTTGCATCACTTTTGGGTATCCCCCCTGGGTACAGTTTTATGATTAGAGCCCTCATATCACCAGTGTATGTCGTTCCGATAACTCCAGTTGCAAGTGAGTAACTGTCAGGGTCATCGATAAATTTCTGAGATAGTGAAAAGAACCGGTGTAGTGTGGAAGGGCCATAGCCTTTATCATTCACATTGTGCTACTACTACGTGCATACACGGGCGAGGCTCAAAGGCTTGAGGTGCTTTGTAACACTAGAAGATCTTGCATGTAACAACGCACAAGGACACAAGCACAAACACAAGCAATGCCTCGCCAAAGACACACAAGGCAGCCTCATGGATCCATCCATGGACATGCCGACCTCGCATTCTCTTGCGGCCCTCGCCAACGTGGACTGTCCTGTCTGTCTACATAAGGTTACGCAACACCCACATCTTACTGGATGCTCCATCCAAAGTCCATTTCTATCTACTCTATTCTCTGCATATATAGGAATATCTATTTTTGTTCCTTGATTACTCTACTGCCACCCCCCCCGCGCCCCCGCTACGGATCCCTGTACATACTATCGGATAACTAATGCACCACTCGGCCCGCTCGCTCATGGAGCTACTGCAGGTACGGCGTTCCCTGGGCCGTGCTGGGTAAAGTATGACTTGACGTCTGCCGGTTCTTGCCATGGGAAGGGAGGGAGGGAGCTGCATGAGTTCCCATCAGGGACCAAGACCAAGACCAAGGCCAGTGTGGGGGAAAGGCGGGTTATTTAGCAGAGCAAAAGAGCCGTTTTGCCTTGGCGTGCGAGTGATGGTACATGATCCGCGCGGCCTGTCGGTACTAGTTTAACCCTGTTGCTGTACTTTGAGGACAAGCTCTATTACATGAGCTTACTACATGTGGCTACATGTACATCTTGTACAATACATACATGTATGTACAAACACGCCTATAACGCCTACAACCCGCAAGGCAAGGCCCACAATGCAAACCTACTAGCTAGCCCCCCTTCTACCATAACAACGGTTCGGCCGCTCCCTTCCCTTCCCCTCCCCCGCATAATCCTTCGTGTTATTACTCGGACAGATGGTACTGGCACTCATCTTCCTAGCCCTGCCAGACTCTGGTGCCGAGGATCCCAAGGACCCGGGGAAGTGGATAAAGGTTTGGGTCTTCTGGAGGGTAATGTAACTGTGAACTGTGGGTGGGCTAATTTGTAGACTGTGGGCTTTGGGCTTTGGAAGCCCTATGCTTTGGCGGCTACGGCTCCAGCAACAAACCCTCCCCGCGGCCTCCACTCGTCTCCTGCGTTTCAACTCAACTCATGTCCCCGCCGCGGCCTCATCTTCTAACTACTACCGAGGAAAAGACATCCAGGCCAAGGACCATCCGTACGGAGTACCTACATGTACCCTTGTCTGGACTTTTGAGCACGGGTTCTGGGGGGCCAAGACACATGACGCAATGGGTAAAATGGGCACTGTTTACATACCGACCGACCGAGCGTTGACAGATGCAGATGCCGATGCAGATGCAGAGCGTGTCTTGAATCTACCAGTGCAGAGCTCGTGCCCACTCACCGGGTCTAAGATTTTGAAGGCGGGGCGGATAATTGTAGAAATGCGCACGCCCCCTGGTCTGGCTAGTAATTAGTTGAAAGCACCGGTCACGGACAGTCACTCGCGGAAGTGGGAAAAAAAAGAATATCTAGATTGCTTCCCTCTATAGCTCCTCCGACTCCAAAATATAAATAAACAAAAATAAAAAGAAATAAGCGATCCATGGCTGAAAAGGCCGTGTGCTGAAGGTATATACGCATGTGGATAGATAGTGAAAAGAAAATATCCACCACATCACCCCAATCCAGGGGAGAATATAAAAAAAAAAAAAAAACAAGGCAATTTTGCACCGCCCAAGCAGTGTCAAGATGAAAAGAAGTGAACAAGAAATGAACCGGCCGAACCCCTGAAAAGAAAAGCCAAGAAAAGAATACACAAAGGGAAAAAAAGAGTGTCGTCAAGACATGATTGCTGGGATTTAAAACATGCTGCTCCCCTTTTTGGACAGCTTCTTCTTTTTCTCTTCCTCTTTGGAGCTGCTGCTCGAGCCAAACTTCAGGCCAAGGAAACTCTTGCGACTCCCTAGCTTCTTTTCGTCGTTTGCTGCGCCCCCTCGCCCCCCTTGGGGTGGTGGCATCATCATACCACCGCTCCCACCGACCACTGGTGGTCTTTGGTTCCGTTGCTGCGAGGAGACTCGTTGTGGCTGTGCAGCGTTACGAGCACCACGGGCCATGTACTCTGCACGCTCGGCTTCGTAGATCCGTTTCAGTCGCTCCGTTTCACGGTTGATATCCTCCTCGCGCTTACGGCGTTCTCGGCTCTCCTCCTCGGCCAACATTTTTCGAATTTCCTCCTGCTCCTTTTCAGCAATACGACGCTTTCGCTTCTCTTCCTCCTGTACGCGGCGGCTGTACTCGGCGTCCGCATCCATGGGGGTACTGTGCCGACGCTGATGCGACTGCTGCTGTTGCTGGAACCTTGCTGCAAATGAGGCATCATTCGGTGGGGGTTTTCCATGTTGCGGGGATGTTGTAGGCGGAGACCTAGGTTCCGGGGCAGACACCGCAATGGTCGGAGTAGCCGCCGCAAGCGGCATGGAGTTCTTCCGTCTCGCTGTCCCGTTTGCCGATCCCCGAATAGGCGGGTTCAAATTAAACATTTGATTCGTAGACTGAAACCAAATGTCACCAATCGCCATCGCAGACAACAGTAACACAACCTCCAACCCCTTGAGATCTTCCACCTCCACGCGCTTCAGGTTGGACTGGATAATTGTGATCTCGCCGATCCCCTTCTTCTCACCAAGACCTAAAAACATGGCGATCGGAATGTCGGGCTCATTTGCGCCGGCCTTCTTGCTCGCCGAGGCAGTACCGGGGATACTAGGTAGGTTTGCTGGCGAGACGAGGGAGCATCGTAATTGCGGGCGGGTCATGATACCGCCTTCTTTGCGCCACCGGAAGGTTGCGCGCGGGAGGTGAGCAATCGCCGCAGCAGCAGACGCGGCATCGAGTTTTGAGGATGTTGGTGGGAGAAAGGAGGTTTTGGGGAGTGAAAACTCCCAGTATGTTCCGCGAAGCGCCGAGTGGTGGTGTTCGAGTATGGTGGTTGAGTCGGGGTTGAACAACGATATCGCAAACTCGCTTGGCAGAAGGACCTTGGGGTCTGCCGGTGTACCGCCAGGGGATGTGGCCGACGAAGGGTGGATCTCAGGTCGAGCGTTTATGGATGCATAGAGGATGTCGGGAACAAAGGCATCGTGTAGAGTAGTGTTGTAGGCATTCTGCTCTTCGGTGGAGATAGTCTTGACGTAGGTTGCCTGAGGAGACGAGCCATTTGAACTATATGAGAGGGTAGTTACGAAGGGTTCTCGGGGCCTAGGAGCGAGATGGAATGCTGCGGGGAAATTAAGGTTAATATTGAAGATGATGACTTTACTAAACGTCTAGAAGGAATGGATCGATATCTGCACCGATGGATCGCAGATGGGGGGATGGGTAAAGTGGAGAAGAAAGAACAAGCAAGGGATGGGAATAAGAAATCCAGAGACGAGAGAAGTGAAAGCTTACTGGGTAGATTGATATCGAGAGGCATACTGGATTCTCCAACAATCTGCAATAATAACTACAAGCAGTCTCGGTGGCTGCTGTAAAGGTACGAGTGGGAGGTAGGCGGACCGGATCAGAAGTAAAAAACAAGAAGCACTCGGCGTCCAGAAAGCTTGGTAGGAGGGAAGACGCAGGAACAAGTGGAGTATAAGAACAAGAGCAATTGTGAGTACAGATGGGAGCACGGGTATAGTATGGCACGTATGTATAGATAGTAGAATACAATGTGGTCTGCAGAACTGTGCGGCGTGGGTACGAAAGAGAAGAGAGGAGGTAAGGGAACTGGGGGGAGGAAGAAACAGCGTCGTATGTATGCAAAGCAAATGTGAGTAGAGTACATGTAGCCTTCCCCCCCGAACGACCTTTTACCGCTTGCACCTCACAGCCTCGCCCACCATACATTTAGTTTAAATGGGGAGGGGCTTCGGTCGAGATGCGGTGCCATAGTAGTCATAGCTTCCTTCCTGCAACTGCACCCAACACCTACTCTACCTGATCTTCACCTGCTCTACCTGCACCTTCTACTCTAGCCCAGTGCCTACACACTCACATACATACATACATACATACATACATACATACATACATGTACTATACCATACCCATAGTAGAGTATTCTACATGTATCTACATACCCTTCTTGTAGATAAATATAGCATCAGATGAAGGGGTCAAAAAGCCGCCTTGGAAGAAGACTCTGAGACGTTACGTATGCACCCAGCAGACGAGAGAGACGTGCGACAGGTTGCAGAAGAGAGAAAGGGTTCCCTTCCGAGAGAGCCGCAACGCTGCAACTGGAACCCCGCCCTCCGAACTAGCTGGTAACGGCTAGCCCTAAACCTCAAGGGAAAATGTGCCTGGCTTCAATGGCTTGGCTGGTGAGTCTCAGAACCTAAATGGCACTTCATGTCTCAGTTGGGCGAGCTCTGTCACCTTGAAATACGACGCTCAGTTGATTCAACAATCGACCTTTTTTGGGGGGGAAAGAAAAGCGTCATCATCGCCTTGGACTCATTAATAATGCATTCTCCGGTAAATATTTTTTATTATATGATTACTTGCAGGTACTTATAGGTACTAGTAGAGTACATGTGTGTAGCTGCTCGAGACTCGGTAGATAACATTCCGGATCGTCTGCTGAGTGAAATCTGCACGTTTCTTTAAGGACGGGATAAACGGTTTGCAAACAGTGCATATCATGAGAGTCTGCAGAAAACACCCAGTTGAAACAGTGTTTTTTTGGGGGGGAGGTGGTACTCAAACTTTATCGGCACCCTATTACAGATCTCACCTATACTGTACCTACTGCACCACTGCACCACTGGGCTTTCCGTACATCGAGTCTCATCTCCATTCCATCGTCACGATATATTCCATTACGTACCGAACCACGACAGCCCTCGACCAACCCAAATTTATGCATACTTTACACACCGACTAATTTAACAGACGGTTCATCTCACCGTCTTGGCTGGCTTGGGCAAAAAAGTACGTTGCCAGTGGCATGCGGTTACGCGTACACTACATGTATTAACAATCCTCTAAGCCAAAGAGAGGGTTAGGGGTCTAGTAGAGATATGATGTTTACAAACATTCCAAAGACAGTCATCTTTGACGGTAATAAAAGAGATGAGAATGTCCTCCGTTGCCGGAGCGCGCCCTCTCCCATTGAAGAAGTTCCTCGCTAGTCTTGCCGTCTCGAAAATTGGCTCGAGGGAGGGACGTCTGCAATGCAGAAATGTAGTTACATTTTACCGCCGCATCGCAGGAGGAGTGGGATGTTATGAAAGAGAAGGAAGGGAGGGATGGGCTAGATGGGCTTGTGTGCACAACTTAAAAAGCATCTAAAACATTCCGCCTGTATGTTGCCGTTGTGGTCTGTAGATCTGTTTGGTACTTCATAGTGGTACAGTAATCTACAAACGGCTACGTTGCGGCCGTGCTAGAAAGCATAATAATTCTTGGCAAGGCTTTATATAAATTTAATCTCAAATCAACAACTTCACTTGGTCACGACCCTCATGCATGCAGAAATTCAATTTTTAGAATAGGACTGGTTTTTTGTCACTGAAAGCCAAGCAATTTAAGGAGAGTCATCACATTTATTTCATTAACAAAAAGAAAATTATTTACATAAATGAAGGTTTCATAGCAGTGTTCCCTAGGCTGGCATCCTGCTACCTCTAGTTCTGCTCTTCTTAGTAGACACCCTGACGATGGTGAACGGAAGAGTAGGGTCGGCGGTGGCAGCCTTTCCGATCTGGAAGTTGGCAACCAAGAGATCGTTTCCGTCGAACGCTGCAGTAGAAGGCAAAAGCATTCCTTGGCCCTTAATCCGACGAACGTGCTTGCCGGTGGTGTACGGCTTTCGGATGTCAAAGACGTCGATAAAGGCCTCGGTATCCAATATACTATCACCGTTGACGGCATAGAGGGTATTACCACGCATAAGCATACCGTCAGGCGAGCCAATCTAGCGAACGGGATTTATAATTAGTATGGAAGAAAGGTACTAAAAAAAGCAGGGGAGATCTATGTTAATACTTACAGCGACATTGCCGAAATCTACCTTGGTGATGGTCTTGGATCCTAGACACAGCCTAAAGATGGCATGGCTGTTGTAGTCTCCGATGAGAACATTCTCCTGGTCGTCGGTGACAACAATTCCGTTGGAATTGAACTGTCCAGTCTCATGCTCGAAAGGTGCTTCGAGCTTAGCGAATGTCTCGAGCTCTTGGTCGACGCTTTCGTTTTCGAGATGCTCGGGAGTGATGACATACAGCTTAGGAAGGAAGGAGTCCGTGATGAAGATGTTTCCGTTCTTTGCAACGGCGAGATCGTTGAGGAGAGCACCCTCTGGAGCCTGAAATCGATGGAGGAGCTGTTGGGACTCAAGGCAGATTACGAAAACCTTGCCAGTGGCTGCACCGGCGACGACGAGGTTGTTGTCTTTCGTAACCTTCATTCCGCTGGCGGAGGTGATATTGAACTCATTCCCGCCGGGAATAAAGACCTCGACATCAGGCTTGTTGACATTACCGCGCCAGATGGTACCGGTAATCCAGGAGCCGGTGTAAAAGTACGGAGAACGGGCTTGACGGGCAATTCCTTCGGGGAAGGAATTGTTGCCTGGTAGAGCCCAGGCGTTGGTCTTTGGCTGAGCAGCAGCCGTTAAGCCGAAAAGGCTGAAAAAGAGTGTGGTGATGATAGAGGCAAGCATTTTGAGAATTGTGTCTTTTGAACTTGTGATGGATAGATGTAGTGAGATGGAGTTCTAGTGCGAGGGAGGTTTTTTAGTGATATATAGTTAACCATTTAAGTGTGCTTCCATACTACGGGAGACATGCAACCCATCTCTACATATAGCGCAAAAGGAAATTACTAGGGCCATAAATGCTCCACCTCTCGGCGTTGCAGCTTGTACATGTGGTGGCTCCTAAAGGTGTGTCTAGCAAGGTGCATATTATCTACCGTAAGAGCTCTAACTCTCAAGTAGACGCAATGAGGCGTATTGACTTCATGAACTCATTGTACAAGACAGATATATCAGTTATATAACTGTAACTTGTTTATTTTATTAATGGAAATTTCTAAGGATACCCTTTGGCAGAATAAGATTCTTTATCGTACATGCACACTACAGATTAATCTCACCATCCGAGAAGGTCCTGAGAGGTTCGTTTTAGATTGTATCTAGTTGATACCCTAGTTGCATAGAATGTTAACATTTATAGCCCCATGGACTAACCCGTTCCTTCTGCCACTAATGCAATGGAATACTAGTACAGTCTTTTCCCCTCATGATAAGAAAATTGAGGTAAAAATAAAACCTCGTGGCCCAAAAAACCTAGCTACATATCCTTCATATTGCTGCGAACAGGGCTCAATGATGTGCTTTCTTTCCCACAGCTACATAGGTGAACATTTTAGCCCAATTGGATTCCCCCACCCCTCCCCCCCCCCCCCCCACCCCCTAAAAAACGTCGATTTAGTTACATAATTAATGTATTCATAACCCCTCAATTCCATTCAAAACAAAAAGCCACCGTCTTGATGTAGGTATTTAATTTTTCACGGCTGTCCGCATGCATGGGAGAGTGAATCGGGAGGACACAACGCATCAACCCACAACAAACAAACCTCAGATTTCCCCCCCAATTGAACCTATGTAAACTTATCTAAACTTCCTCGGCTTATACTTGAGATCGTACATAAGGTTCTGATGCAGGCCGGTGGTAAGTGTTCCCTGGTTGCGGCGTAGATCTTTGGGATAATCCTGGTCGGATTTTGGTCGCCTAATACTGATTGAGATCCTGGAATTTGGGCTTCGAATTCTCATAGGAGGGGGTAATATATACTCCGGCTTAGGCGTTCTGGAAGCAGGTCAGGAGCAATAACTATAGGCAAATATTAGATTCTAGAATTGGATGCTAGCGTCGGGATTGGCTGACAGACAGTCAGCGTCCAAGGCACGATTGAAGTACATGTAGTCAAGGTTATTATAGTGGTATACCGATATATCGTACACAAAAATTTTCAATAAGATTCATTGCTTGAGTCTTCGCTCACCACATTTTAGTTTTGATATCAACCGCTTAATATAAATTCCACGGCATGCAACTAGCCGTGAGGTATCAGTGTTGGAAGATTTGCATGGGTACTTTGTGGCTGGGTGTAGCTACCCACTTAATGTTTCAACGTTGTGAGAGTGTTTCCCAGGCTGTTGGTGGTCCAAGGTCCCAAGGTAACCTGTGGTTTGTAAAACCTACCTAGATATGAGGAAGCTTGGGATGGTGCGCACGTGTCTAGACGTTAGGGTGTACGAAAAGACCTAGAGGCGGGCTAAAGTAAACACAACACTTCTCAACTTCTCATATTCCCCTCCCTACAAATAGGAAATCGGAAAACTAAGGTATTCAATCACAATACTCCCTAAAGTGAGCCTGTGAGCAGGTGAGAAAGGGGATAAAGCTTCTGATCACTTTCTAACGAGCATAACATCGATATCGCTTGGAGCGGCAGTGGCCTTGTTACGAGTGATATATCATGATTATAAATAGGTATTCATTTACATCCACCTCCAATTTAGAGTTGCAAATACTCATATTGCCACAAACAGCGGGTCGAACGGAAACTATATTAGCACGCGGTCGCTTGAAGATATCCTACGGTTCTAAAATGCCAGTCCCGAATTTCAATATAGCATGAGCAGTACTACAAACAGCTACCATGCATTTCCTGGTTCTTCAGCGAGGATCATAACAGGTAAGTAAGCACGAATTATGTCCTAGATCAATTATAAACTAGGTATAACTAAAGATCCATATCCTTAGAGCTCAATATACTATAGGTGGTGTGTCTTTAATTTGGCTATCTTGAGTATTTGACCTATACAAATGGTGTCATAGTAATCCGAGGATTAGGAGAGAGGTCTCTGGGTAGATATTCTTCTGGAAGTGGCTAATAGCTTGCGCAGCTGGGCACATGCCAGTCTCTGGGGATGAACCTGTGCCCATAACCTCTGACAAGCTGTGATCGGTGGGAGACAGTCTTAATTCTGGGACTTGGGTACACCCGGGAGACTAGGGGAGGATTCAATGTGGCCCACCAGGATGCTCGAGGCGAGATTTGACGGTGTCCCCGAGGTTCCTCGTCCTCGTAGACCACACCCGGAGTGTTATTACTCCGACCTGCCCTGCTCCACCCCTCACTCTCAATCTCTCGGCATTTCCATAAATAATTCTACAGAAATATAGAGTGGTTATCAATTCAGTTTATTCATTACCTATAAGTGATCAGTAACCAAGTTTTCAATCATGAAATATCACTCTGAATTAACCACCTCCCACCTGTTGGATATTTGCGGGTGAGCTATCATGACGAAGAGCACTGGTAGTCGAACGGGTACGGGTGAGATGTCATGTCGAGACCTGTCCTTGTCATGTCGATGTCCGATCCGTCAAGATCTTCTGGTTCATTTCTCTCCAGGCTAGAGGCATATAGGTGTCGAGCACTCTGGTTAAATTCTCTATACGTGTGCCTTTATGGTTACGTAGCCTAGTACCAGAGAAACATGAGCATGAGCCTTCGTACCAACCCTTCCATCTTAGGCCCGACTTATTTCCGAATGATGATAGCTTTATTTCATTTCTCGCTATCATTGTTCTCTAACTGACTAGGCCAAACAGAAGCTAAACCCTCGGCTCTAACGCGATTCTATATTGCGGTTTACTAAACTGGTTCTAAAAAAAAGATTTTCTTTGAGGGGGGGAAAAAAAAGGGGGGGGCAGTCATGCAAAATCACCCGGTTTCCTCGAGGTCATGGGACAGTACTTGACTGATTGCTTCGTTAATTGTAGTTTGTTTTCAGAACCATAGAGAAAGTTATCCAGTGGGCCAATGATTTGTAGAATAATAATTACGCATGCGATTACATCCTCGCAATACAAATCATTCAAAATCCTACAACGTCCCAATATAACCATATTTGATTATTATAATAATAATAATAAACCCATTAACACCGCCCACAAAACCAAACAAAATAAAGCCTCAAAAAAATAAACTACAAATAAAGTCAAAAAATCCCAACACACACACGTTTCAACAAAAAGCTCAGTTTTTGATCACTGCTTCTCCCAAATTCAACGGCCTACTAGGCAATGCCGACCTGGGGATCTTAAATGGCATATAGTACGGATCTCCACCCGACTTTCTCCTAATGTAGCCGGTATTGATCGCATTCTGGAGGAGGAAGTGCATCGTAGTCGGCGCACGCCATGTGCACACTACAAAGAAGCGCATCCACCCCAATTTTGTCAGCACTGGCGTGGTGGGTGTGGTATCGAGCGCATCGATAGTCCATGGTTTGGCGCGCGAAGAGATCTCCTCATGTTTGGCCGAGATCAGCATGTATTGGCAGCGCATAGAGAGATATTGGAATGCGATCTTTTCATCGGTGAACAGGCCTGTGATCCATCATCATTAGCAAAAAAAGAAATAGCGAGTAGGGTAGCTAGCAGATTAACATGGAACACATACCGATATTTTCTGCATCCACCACTCCCATCTTCCTATAGAACGCACTGAGCTTCTCTGGCTCCAACCGCCCAGTATTCTTTGGCTTGAAGGCCGAATCCATATATTCGAAGAGGCCTTCAACCATCCCAACCAGGGCGTCACTTGGCTCGCCATCTCTCGCCATCAGCCTCGCGGGCGCCACGTCGTTGATATAGCTGACTCTATGGGATGTCGTATGTCTCGCCGTTGCCACGCCCATGAGGTTGCAGTCGAGGCAGAGGTTATACTCCTCATAGCAGTCGGCGCACTTGACCCTGACCTCCCCCGTCAGGTCGCCTGCGCACGCACTACACGCGAACCCGCCTCTCGAAGAGCCACGGGAGCTCCGGGGGCGGCGTTCGGGTGGGTGCAGTGTATGAAGCTGATGCCATTGCTGGTGAGGCTGAGTGATTCTGCCCTCGTGGTAGCAGCGCGAGCAGAGATCATAGTCGGGGCATGTGAGACAGTGGACGCAGGGGCGGCCGGCAAGGGCTGATGAGCAGCCGTCGCAAAATCGGGCTGGCGGCGGGTTGAAGACGGGAGGGGGAAGCGGCGAAGAAAAGCTGATTGCTTGTGGTGGTTGCGCAGCAGTGGTAAGAGAGCGGTCAGTGCTGAGAGGGCGGGCCTTGGACTCGTTGTAGCGCGAGCGGAGGGCGGACCAAATTCCGGTCTTGGGCTTTGGGGAGGCCGACGGGGAGGGAGTAGGGACATATGTGGTGGTCGGGGGGGATAGTGGTGGGGAGGGTTGCGGGGAGAGCTGCGGGGGTGGAGAGAAGGCAACGGGACCAGGAAATGCGCCTGGAAGTGGATAAGGGCTCTGTGGTAGTTGTAGATCTGGTGGTGGCGAGTGAGGACCGTTGAAAGAGGCTTCTTCTGGGGCCAGAACTCGTTCAGGGACAGGCGCAGGTCCGTCGCCCCAGAAGTAAACGCTCATGTCAGGGCCCACATCTTCAACCATAATATCAGCGTTGTTCTCGGGGTGGGTGTTCATTTCGCTCTTTTATTGGTGTATATAAAATCGGTATAGCTTATATGCAGTTAACTCTGTTAGCACAAATCAGAGAAGCCAAAGCAGAAATGCAAGAACAGATAAAAAAGGCCGTCAGGAAAATGGCATCTACTTATCCAAATTCTCAGACATCTCCCTGCACCTGCAAGTGGAGGGCTTAGATGCCTGTGAGTCACATTTGATTGATTGTTGTGTTTCCTAATTGAAGATCTTGTAGAAGCACAGTTTCCATCGTGGCACAGAATTCGAAGCTAGTAGCACTCTGCAACCCAGGATGTTTAGGATAGAGATAAAGATAACCCTCGGCTTCATGCGATCGTCTTCTCTTCTCTAGATGATGGCCCCCCCCTTTTTTTATCTCATTTAGGCATTCTTTTCTTTCTTTTCTCCAGCAATCTGGGGGGCTTTTTTGTGTTGAGCCTCAAGTACAGGCCTTGGAACGTGGTGGGTGGTGGTACAAAATTAAACCTGATGAGAGCGATGAGGTGAGGATCCCTGCGCCCGAATAGGTACAGTAGCGCAATACTGATAAGGCAAGGTACCTTCTCTCGATAGCCCAGGGCGCCGCCCACATGAGCCCTACATGATCTGACATGTGGGCAAGCGTCTCATCGGGTATCACTCGGCTCAGGGTATTAATGTGTCGTTCATATTGAGATGATATTGAATTAAGGTTGATAGATGATGAATGGATTCGGAGGTCTATCCACGTTATAACCAGGTCAAACTGTTGATTACTTCGACACTCTCGCACTACTATATTATAGCCAGAGCATTAAGGCAGGACGTCAATTACTAAGCGCGTAAATAAGAGCACCATGTGTCCCATGAGTGCAAAAACAATCAAGAGACAGCGGTTCCACAAACCACGCAAGGGGCCTCAAGAGTCACCAAAAGTGGAACATCCCTAATTTGATTGCGGGGTTTGTAATACTGCATGTGGTGGCCAGTCCTCTAAGCATTTCTATCCCAACACCACCATCACCACCACCCCACCACCGCCACCATGCCTGAGATTTTTACAAAAGAAAAAAAAAAAGCCACATTCTAAATTCAGTTCTCACGCACGGCACGGATGGAACGGATGGTGAAACGAACATTCTCCTCCCTGCTTGCGCCTCGAGATGTGCAGCAAGGTAGTTAGGTTAGGGTTAGGGTTATTACTAGCGTTGGGGAGTTTTGTGTGCTGGGTGGTCATTGACACTATGATTAGGATTCCGTTTTAAGGATACATGTAATTACGTATCTGATAACTTAAATATATGGAAGAACAACGCTGGAAGGCAATTATTGTTTTCCAGGTGTGATATTACTAGCTAATGCTATTTTGTGTGTTTTGTAACACCGAATATATACTTTATCCAAATTAGGATGATAGTACCTGAGTGCATATTGTAGGCTGTTGTTGAGAGTATGTACCCGGCTCTAAAACCGGTCTTTTACCATAAGTGCCGATAAAAAAAAAGGTTCTAGCCTTCTAGGTCAATACATGGAATTGGACGAGTACATATGCAAAAATCTGGGATGCAAGGAGAGAACCGCGTAAGTACTGTCGTTCGCTGTGTGGTGAAGGATCTTTACTTTGTGTTGACGGACAGCGACTCCCACCGTATCGTTTGGAGTTGTATATATACCGACACGCTTTCTTGTCCCGGATTGTAACAGCCTATGATGTTAGCTAACACAATGGTTAATTTGGGCTCATCAGATGCCCGGTAAATCCCCTATTATATAAGAGGTAAGAAAATATTCACAAATGGCGAGATTCAATTAAACCGGGCCGCACATGCAGGATAGAGGACCCACTGCTAGGCCTCTCCACGATCCTGAGGTACTCCATAATCGTAATCGATATTCGCCGCTCCGTCTTATCCCATCGCAACTTGGCAATATGTTGCATCTGCCTTACTCTAGGAGCGCTCAATGTTTGACTTGGGTTTATAGCTAGTAGGGTGGAGACTGTGCATGTGCCAAGGACAAACTTTCCCTCCTTTACATATAGAGTTCGCATACTTCCGTTCTTGCTCCGACAAGGATCCCTCTTCATGGCCCCCTATTCACCCAATACTTTTTAAATTGGGAACATGGCCTTATTCATCGATTCCCCTTTTAAACCCCTTTTCGAAGGGAACCGTGAAGGTACGTTTGCAGCATCCTTTGTAGGGTTAGGGTTTCTCTTGTACATACATACTACATGTAGATAAATGAGACGACTGAAAATTTGGATATGTGATGGCCAAATTCATAACTAGCTACATATACATATATAGTGTAAGTTCAGTTGCCATAACTGCGTTTTACAATTCATGATGCGGTGATCGAATCTGTGAATACAAGTACATATGTACATGTCACTTTGGATTAAGGCTCCGCATGGTATCAACGGCCGTTACATACATATAGTATTCGTCCGTTCAAGGGCCCGGGGGGCCGTTCAGCGGCCGATGACTGTTCAGAGGGTGTTTGGCAACGACCAACCGTTCAGTATAGGAACGGAGCCTAACGGTCAACTGTATGTAAAGTGTGAAAGGACCTCTAGAGGTCCTTTTCCCCACTGAACCGCAACTGGTTCATGGCAACCATGCAACATGCCACCATACAACGGAACCGTTGAGACCAAGCACCCCCTTTAAAAAAATCATAAAGCACTAGTAATCCGTTCGTGACACCCGAACGGAAGCTCGCCTGGCAGCGAAATCGAACGGCCGTTGATACCATGCGGAGCCTAATCCACATCGCCGCGCGCCCTCCTGGCTGGTATTAGAGAGGGATAAGGTTTGCAATGATCGGAATGACTATAAAATAGTGCATCTTCATGAAATCTCACTCGCGTGAGTGCTATAAACCATTAGGTTATAATATCGGCATATTGAATTTCTAGACTGCGTAAATAAATTCCCCTGATATAGTAAGATAGTCGGATTGCCTGTTTTCAGCCAATACCTGCACGCATACCAATGGCAACACCATAGCCGAATGAAGTATAATACTGCCTAGTGGTATACGTATATTATAATACCATATTATATATATTTCGGCACGAGCCGCGCTCTGACATTAATGGTTCTACTAGCCCTTGAATTTGGCGATCTAGGCTAGAAAGACTGACTCCTCGTACCATATATCTCGTGATGTAGAACTCACCCGTGGCTATTCATTGGAAAGAAGGAAAGAAAGTGAGCATTTGTGTTCTTATGTACTTATCGCGAAACCACATATACCCACATCCTAGGGCCCGGCCCCGGACTACTGATATCCTAGCCTGAAATCGTGCCTCGACCAATAGACGAACCGGAGCATAGATTTGTAGCTCTAAGTTCTACGGTATGATCCGTCACTCTAGTATAACCTCTTGGTTTATCCGGCATATTCACAAAAGGAAAAGAAAAAAGCGTAAAATACTGAAATCTATACGTAGATATAACCTAGCCCTTTATCTGAATGAGAAACCGTGCTGTATCTATGTGACTTAATTGCTGTAATTATTTGGAGCTGGATTATCTGTATTTATAGTACATGTGCGTGTTATATAGCAATAATTATATATAAAGTTAAGGCAGGGTCAAGAGCTGTAAACAACCAATGATTCTTTGTACTCTATAGTTGGATCTTGAATTCTTTACACAAGTATATACCTGCAGCATGTATAGCCCAGCCGTCACACGCGGCAACTGGTGAATATCAGGGATGGGTTCCGTTTAGTAGAGTGAGGCACGTACCTAAACGTAACACTGTCTACTTGTTGAGAAATCCTAGACTTGAGATTAAGGCCAGTCGTTGCACACAAGCCATCTAAGTTCCAACTAAAAGACTCGTTGTAGATATCTCACCTGAAAGATGATGTGAAATCTGGGATAGCCAGCACGAAGGAAAGGGTATATATGAAAGCAAAAGTAAAACAAAACCCCTTAAACAACATCGGGGATTAAAGTACCATGTATGTAGTTGCTGGGCGATGCGTACTCGGGGAGTCGAACCCCGTTCTCCCGCTTGGGAAGCGAAAATCATAACCGTTAGACCAAGTACGCTTGTAATAGTATTAAAAACATTCTATTTTCAAATATCTTCGTGAATAAAAGAAATTGACAGTGTGTTGTCACAGAAAGACTACATGTGGTTACATTAGTATTCTATCCAGTAGTCTACTGCATTCAAATCCTTGATGTCATCTTCGTTCCCCGAGACAAGCACGGGCCCAAAACATCCCATACCTCAAGTCACTCCTGCACATACCCGCGAGATAGAAGCTTCCGAAATCTATCAGGCAACGTGTCAACTTCTCAGGAGCCCATCGAATAATGCGATGGATCTATGTCTGAAAGGAAATGCCAAATCTTGGTATTTCCCTCTCTGATATGTCGTTATCCTGGGGCTGAAGGGAGAGATATATGTACGCTATTTATATCCCGAAAGTAGAGTACGCAGAGTTGAGAAAGTGCATCTCATACATGCTGTACCCTAATCCAATTGCGAAGTTGGGCAGTTCGAGAAAAATATATGCATGTATGGATGGTAGAGTACAGATACGATGATCCGCGGGCAACCTATGGACGTCCGTGATCACCACAACCTGCATCCTACCCAAAAATTGCAATCAAAGCACACTTTGCATCTTATCACACATGCAACACATATGGGGTGCTCAATCGATCAATACGGCCCGCTGTATTTATTATTCCCTGGTAATGATAACCTCTTCTGTTATTGAGGATCTGCAGTGAAACTTGGCAGATGATCATGGGGAAAATCTTCAGCCCAAATTATGGAACACCGGGCGTCACTCGTTCACGGATATCAGCTGAAAGCTGCACACCCTCCAAAACAAGTTTACCAAATGCGTCATGGGACCGCGCTTAAGAACAGCACAGAGCAAGGTATGCAATAGGTACGCGAGATCTTCGCAATGATCCGGTACCAGAGGAGCGGTTGAGGCATTGCAGGGAAGGGAGATGTTTGTGAGACACGGACAATGCGAGTCTATTCAGATGGGGGATTGGGGTTTTCCCAGGCTGATCCTCAACAAAAAAAGAATGTAGATTACCCCCAGGAAAGCCCGTATGATTTTAGATATATCCAAATGCGTTATGATGTCTTCGGCAGACAAGCGGCCGAATACCTATGTATCTCTTGTGAGGCCAGCTGAGCTTTTTGTCTGCTTCGGTCGATGCAAAGCTAGAAGTATTGTGCATCTGCCGGTATTCTAGGTCTGAAGCTTTGTCCACAGGTCTAGAGAGTGCCAGTGATATCGCATCTCATTAAAGTTGTCTTTGCATGATTCTGATGTATAACTAGATGCCCCCCCGCCAACCTGTTGGAGAGTTACGACTACTTTGCCCCTTCAGTCATTATCACAAGTATCGCTGGGAATTGGTTCTCCATACACCTTATTTACCCGTTGTTGCTTTATCGCTCACTGAAATCTGCTTATCGCGGTACCTGCACATATTAATTATTCCGAAGTCAAAAGTACCGAACTGCCCGTACCTGAATTGGGAAAACAATAGTATTAAGGCGTGCTTTTTACAATGTCTTCCACCATCTCTATCGTCGCGACGCCCCTGCCGCTTGATCGGGAGCTCAAACAGAAAAGCAAGCTATTGCTATCTACAGCCCAGACAAAAGGGCACCCACCAAGTAGCACAGTTTTCAGTCCCCCCCTAACACCCACCTCACCAACATCATCGACATTGTCCACCGAAACATCCACAACCTCAATATCCTCCATAACATTATCTCCTTGTAAGAAGCGTTTGAGTTCAACAGTCAACCGAGCGCCATTCCGGAAACACAACATCTGTAATTTTGTTCCGGATCTTCTGTCGTGCTGTGGTTCCAATATGAGGGGTGGTTTGTCGCCCATGAACGGGAGTGGAGACGGTAGTCGTGTAGGGACACCACTACCACGGTTCCTTGGTGAGTTGATTTTTGCATTACTTTACATAACGCTCCTTCTGCTTCCATCCGGTCGCATCCCAGTCTAGCAGTACGCCTGTCACGTGCATTTTACGTCCCAGTTCCCGTCCCCCTAGGGCGATCCTGGGGAACACTCCCGCCGCTTCTTTTCACGCGAGATTTCCTAACCTTCGTCATGGATTGTACAGATAATTCCGGAAACCTGGTGAGCTCGTCCATGGTCCCGGTCATTACAGCCGACAGTCCAGATGCGCTGCCAAAGTTGTTGCATAGAGTCAACCACAGGCGTTCAATATTGTCCTTGGCCGTGTCGAAAGATTATGTGTATGCAGGAAGTCAAACTGGAGAGATCTTGGTAAGAGCCAGCTCAATGGGTACCTTCGAATATACTATACTGACTCGCAGCGCAGGTCTGGTCGCTTGAGACATTTGAGAAAGTTGCAACCTTAGAGGGTCATCAAGGAAGTGTACTCTCACTTTGTCTAGCAGAGGATCAATCGTTACTCTTTTCAAGTGCCGGCGATGCTATAATCAATGTAATAAAGAGCTCCTTCCAGTGGTGTATTACAAATCACTCATGGTATTCCAGGTCTGGAATTCAACTACCTTCGAAAACCTCTACACAATATACTCCACATTCGACCTCGGAGATGTCTTTTGTGTCGCATATTCACCACTACAGAATACCGCTTACTTCGGCGCTCAGAACACCAGCATCCAATGGTATGACTTGAAAGTAAAGGACTCACGGCCATGCCCAACCCTCACCTCCCACCCTTCGCACCGCAACCACCCGTTCTTTGATTCCAAAGGCCCTGGCGGCGGCACAGCTCTTAAGCAAGAGATTTGCCCACGTTCAATTACCTCTCAGCTCCTTGAGACCGACCCCGAGAACATAGTACAGTATGCGCATTACGGGTATGTCTATTGCATGCTCCTAATCTCGCTGTCTGCGAGCTCCGAGATTGGAAAGGCGGGTCAGCAAATATTGTTGAGCGGAGGTGGAGACGGTGTAGTTAAGCTATGGAGCATCGACAGCAATACGAGCAGGATTGAGCAGATGCGGGAGTTAAGTGGTGGAGATTCAGGGGTCCTAAGTATGGTGGTTCAGGACTCTTTGCTGTATTGCGGCTTGACAGATGGTGAGATTTGCATTTGGGACCTTGACACATGCCAGTTGATCCGGAGTGTAAAGGCCCACTGCGAAGATGTGTTGACTTTGAGCATTAAGGGAAACTTTATGTTCAGCGGGAGCGCAAGTGGATATACAAGGGTACGCATCCCCACCTACAAGTTTAAACATTATAATTCGCTTATCATTTATGGCTAGAAATGGGACCAACGCTTTGAATGCGTCTCACGCTGGCAATCACACACTGGCTTGATTCTAACCTCCGCTATCACAACCCGAAATGATCGCCTAATCCTCATTACAGGGGGTAATGATGATTGCGTCGCCATCTGGGACGTCTCCGCATGTGAGCTTGACGAAAGTTCAGGATCGCAGCAAACCCAGAACGACCAGCTTCTCAGCTCTCTGAGTAAGCTAGTGTCATTCCGCACAGTTTCAAACAATCCAACTTATATGGAGGACTGCCGCCGCGGTGCGACCTACCTTAAGAGTCTTTTCAAGAGGTTTGGAGCCACCACGACGCTGTTACCAAGTGAGCCAGATCGCAACCCTATTGTGTTTGCAAAATTCAATGCTGCCGTGAAGAAGAAGGGGAAAACTATTCTTTTCTACGGGCACTACGATGTTATCCAAGCAGAGGCAACGGTTGAGGAAGGCTGGTTCACGGATCCGTTTGAGTTGACGGGGCAGAATGGATATCTCTACGGCCGTGGAGTATCAGACAATAAGGGTCCCTGTCTTGCAGCGTTATTCGCGGTAGGCGAGTTAGTGCAGGCACAAGAGCTGGAGTCCGATATTGTGTTTTTAATAGAGGGAGAAGAGGAGAGCGGTAGTAGGGGTTTTGCAGACGCAGTCAGGCAAAACAAGGAACTCATCGGGGATGTGGACTGGATCTTGCTGGCGAATAGTTACTGGCTTGATGATGATGTACCGTGCTTGACATATGGGCTGAGAGGGGTCATTCACGCGACTGTTGCTGTTGAGAGTGAAAAGCCGGATCTACATTCAGGAGTGGACGGTAGTAGGCTGAACCGGGAGCCCACCATTGATTTGGTTAATCTCCTGGCAAAGTTGACAGACGAGACTGGAGCCATAAAGATTCCTGGTATTTTATTATTATTCTCTTGTTGCATCCGAATTAACTCACTAACAAACAAAACGGAAACCAGGTTTCTCCGAGCCTGTACGCCCCGTCACTGCAGCGGAAGAGGAGATGTATTCTGCAATAACCACAGCTCTATGCAACAAACCCCATTGGTCACACCTCACCGCCGAAGGTATCAAAGATCACCTCATGTCTAAATGGCGATTCCCTTCTCTTACAATCCACCGTGTCTCCGTGTCTGGGCCCTCAAACGCAACCATCATACCACGATCCGCATCGGCGGCCATCTCACTTCGTATCGTGCCAGACCAGGAGCTCAGCGTCATCAAAAACTGCCTGGTTGAATATCTCAACAGCGAATATAAGCGTTTCGGTAGTGGTAATAAGCTCAAGATCAGCATTGATCACGAAGCAGAGCCTTGGCTAGGTGATCCCGAGAACGACGCATTTAGGACCCTAGAAAGCGCCATCATGGACGCGTGGAGCACCAGCAATGCGGCCGGAGAGAAACAGAAAGTCAAGCCCTTGTATATCCGCGAAGGAGGTAGTATCCCGACGGCGAGATTCTTAGAGAAAGAGTTTGGTGCGCCAGCTGCACATTTGCCGTGCGGACAAGCGAGTGATCATGCGCATTTGGATAATGAGAGATTGAGGCTGGTTAATCTTTATAAGGTATGTTTTAGTTTTCGTCTCGGCATGAGTTGTGCTTTCTTGACCGAGTGGTCGGGCGGAGTTAGCATGGGACACGTGCTAATTCGTTATCGGTGTTTAGAGCAAAGATATTCTCAAGCGTGTGTTTAAGGAGCTGCCCAAGAAATGATTGGTGCCCTAATTCCCGCGAGAATCTTGGTATCAATCTTGGTATTAGGCCAAGACAAACATACCCGTTCATGACTTGTGGTGAATTGCGAGGTGTGGTGCTACACAGGCAGTTTTCAATGTTGTAAATCTTTTCTCCTATGTTTCTACTACCCCATATATTTTTACCTGTATCTTGTTGTTATTACTTTCGTATTTGGCCGGCTATTGACTTTGGAAAAAAAGAATGGGCATTAGAGGTGTTGGATTTGCATGGGCATTTTGTACCTACATGGAGGTTATTCCATGGTAGCGTTGTAAAACAGATTATCTTTCCTGAGTATTTATACAGTTGTAGTTAAGGTGTGGAGATGGACCTACATACGTAGATCCTGCAGCTCTTGTTTGCACTCCCATGTAAGGGTTCCATCTATCCTTGTAGGGCAGGCAGGCTGTTGACTCTAAACTCGTAGAGAAGAGGAGATGTGCTTGAAAGGGCCATTGTATCCACAAAAATGCTCGGTTGGGACGAGGGCCAAACTGACCATTCAGAACCTTGACCATGGTAGAGAGCACTGGAACGTCTGCACGTTGGTACTCTATCGCCCCCTCCGGCGCCGGCAACGCACCTCCACCCCTGCAAACGGGACGTCACTAACATCCCGTTCCTATCTGCAAACCCACGCTTCAGGAAAAGCGTCCAGAATCAACTTCCATGAGTTTCTTGGCGCGTCGTAGTTATGCGCGGGTATCCAGCCCCGTGCGTCAGTCTGTGGCTCCGGTTTTTTGTCTTGTCAGTAGAAGTAGGCAGTAGATAGACTTCTTCCTGCCTTGTCTCTCCCCCCCCTTCTGCTTCCCCTTCTTCAGTTGCACGCCATTACCTACATACCTCTCTTCACCTTTCTTCTACAGGTTTTTCAGGAGTGAGAGTGTTAATTCTGTTTTACCCAGCCTCACGTTCCTTCTCTATTTAACGACATCCTTACTCCGTTAGATAGTTGCTACCCATTTCCCGTGAAAGAACAGGCAATTTTCACAAGTAGATGCCTACGATCCCTCGCGCCCGCGCTATTGGCGGAAGAAGTGGTGGGAGTTCGGCGCTGGGTAGAATAGCCGTCTTGATCGCCGGAAGTATCCCACGTTTGCGCCCACAAGATGGAAATATCCCATTCTTGGGAAAGAGGGAGTTTGAGGAAAGCCCCAATAGCCCGGATTTTTGGATGAATGTTGGCATTGCGTTCGCCTTGGTCGTGCTTGGAGGAATATTTGCTGGTTTGACTTTGGGGTAAGTTTTCCTTTGCTGTCTTTCCTTTGCTATGTTTGGTTTTAGGGAGGTTGCAGGTATATTACGAGGGGTGGGGGTGGTTGGCGCGATTATTGATCAATTGGTCGCAATTGCTAACATTTTGAAGATTGATGGGACAAGATGAGATATACCTCCAGGTTATCGAGCAGAGCGGCGAAGGCGCAGAACGGATTCACGCAAAAAAAGTGCTTCGTCTTCTGAAACGTGGAAAGCATTGGGTTTTGGTTACTCTATTATTGAGTAATGTTATCACGAATGAAACGTTACCAATTGTCTTGGATCGCAGTTTGGGTGGTGGCTGGCCGGCGGTGTTGAGTAGTACAGTCTTGATCGGTGAGTGCGCGCGCGCGATATTGAGCCCCTCCCTGAATGGGAGCGATTTGGGTCGCAGTAAAGTCTTTTGCGCTGTGAGAATTGAATTGCTGATCTTTGCGCCGTGGAAGGAACATAGTCATCTTTGGTGAAATTATTCCACAGTCTGCTTGTGTTCGATATGGTCTCTCAATTGGAGCTTACCTGTCACCGTATGTTATTCCACAGACCTTCTTGCGATTTTTACTAATGTGAGCATAGATTTGTTCTTGGTTTGATGTACGTGATGTCCCCCGTCGCCTATCCCACAGCTCTTATGCTCGACTGGATTCTCGGCGAAGACCACGGAACAGTATACAAAAAAGCTGGTCTCAAGACCCTCGTCACTCTGCATAAGAGCTTGGGCCCATCGCCCTCGGATCGTCTTAACCAAGATGAAGTCACGATTATTTCCGCTGTTTTGGATCTTAAGGATAAGCCTGTTGGCTCAATCATGACACCCATTAAGGACGTATTTACAATGTCTTCAGACACAGTTCTTGATGAAGCTACAATGGACAAGATTCTATCTGCCGGTTACTCGAGAATCCCGATTCATGCGCCTGGAGAACCGACAAACTTCGTGGGTATGCTTTTGGTCAAGATCCTCATCACGTACGACCCTGAGGACTGCAAGAAAGTTGGCGAGTTCCCGCTTGCAACGTTGCCAGAAACCAGAGAAGAAACGAGCTGCTTGGATATCGTCAATTTCTTTCAAGAGGGAAAGAGTCACATGGTGCTTGTTTCTGAAGCTCCTGGCGAGAACCACGGTGCATTGGGAGTCCTCACGCTTGAAGACGTCATTGAGGAGCTGATTGGAGAGTAAGACCACCCCAACGCAACTTCCCCTATGCCTGGATATTGATTAACATCTCATAGGGAAATTATCGACGAATCCGACGTCTACATCGACGTGCACAAAGCCATCCGCCGCATCAACCCCTCCCCTCTCGCCCGTCGCACAGTTTCTACTCACTACCGCCACACTGACACTGCCATCGCCGTTGCTTCTCTTACTGCCGCTGCTCCTGGGCTCGAGCATCACCTTGAAAACAACAACGATGTAAAGCGCAACTCCGAAGACCTTCTTGTCCATGAAGACCACCTATCATCTGACCATGAAACTGGCTCTGTTCCTCCGACTATGCGACGTTCCAGTCAGCAAGCGTCACTTGCCGGTATTCCAGAGGACATCCTACCGCAGCTAAAATTCCTAGGCCCTGCAAACCATGCTGGGAACCCGAGACAAACAAGTAGTAAGACTGTGAAGATCAAGCATGCTGATGGTAGTACTGGTACCTCTACACCGATGCAACAGACAGCTGCTGTAGTTGGTGGCAGTGATAGCCGTAACGGGACTCCAATGGATGGATCACTCGACCGTGTCACACAGATAGCGGTCAAGACCCCAACCAGAACAGACAGTCTATCAGTCGGCAATAAGAGAGTGGCACGGAGTGGAAGTTTAGTTGAGAGAGTGGAGCATGTAGGAGGCGTTCCTAAAACGGTGATTGAGACAACTAGTAGTAGCGATGGTGAGAGTAGTAGTGGTGAGGGTGGAAGCAGCGATAGAGGAAGGAGGAGAAAAAAGAAGACGGAAAGTACTCCGTTGTTGGGTTAAATGTAATTTCTCTTTTTAGCTGAGCTCCTCTATTTTTCTTTGAGGACTCTTGTTTCTATTTTTTATTAGTTCATATGCTTGCTTACTTATTGATTTACCCTCTGATTATGAGTTGCTTTTTTCTACCCCCTTAAAACTATAGGCTTTTCTTTTCTTTTCCATGGTCATTATAAAATGGGCTCCGCTTGTTTGGCCGATGATTCGTAGTCGTACATGTAGAAGGCTGTGGGCAAGGAGAACAAAACTGGGTGCGTTTTGCGATAGTTCTGCTTTTTTTTTTTGCTTTTTTGCTTGTTTATTTCCTCATGTGTTGTTTATGCTCCATGCTGGGCTGGCTGTGTTATGATATTTATGTAATGCTATTATGAAACCGGTAATAGCAACTGAGGATTACAAAAATATATAAAGTTTATACGAGATATACTTAGCTAAAATCCATTAACTGTGGTAGTTATATCTCCCAGTTGTCCTCCTGGCCTGAAACCCTCCACGGGGTTAAACAGAAGTTAAAGAGACATCTAATAACGCCAAAGGCCCAATTCACTCGACGCCGGTCAGGGCACGAGTGAATCGGCTCCGAGATAAGTGGGTGCTACGGGGGAGTCAAAGTAAGACATGTACTACATGTCATGCATAAGTATAACGAGGTTGGGGGGGGGGGGGGTTGTCTTGCTTGCCCTAGTTTTAGTTTCCAACCCACGAGCACAAGCCACCCGAGACCTATGCTCGCCAGTACTACATGAAGACCTGCACTTGTCTGTGTCGAGAGGGCCCACCCTTATAAACTTGAGACGGGCGACTGCTTCTGTATCACGGGCGTAGATCTAGAAGTCTCAACTGTTACTCTCCTCACACACACACAAAACAAAGGTAAATCCGGAAAAAGCAGGCCTAGATACCTACAATAGCCATCCCCAACTGAGCTCAGAAGGGTCACGGAAAGATGGAGGTGAAGGGAATAGAAAAAGAGTGGTGCGAACCGAAATGTGGATATTATCTGTTGCCTCGATCTCACTGCAATTGAAACCCCCCGGCTTGGGTCAACATGCACCTTGAAATCAGGGATAGGAAAAAGACCTGTATATGTGTGTGCATGTTGGATGGGGGCAGAAAGTATCTTGTGGCATTTGTTCGTTGATCACAGAGCATCACTCGATGCACCGTGTTGTGGAGAAATGCGGATTAGGAAATGCGTTACCAAACCTGGCACACGTGTAGGTACTAGGTAGCGGTGATTTATGGGGAAAGCTACTCCCCACAACTCTCAATTCTCCCGGCAAAACCTTGTTTTTGCCCTTTGCCCTTTGCACTAGTAGCAATATTTAAATCTATTATGTAATTGGCCGCACTGACAACCCTAACCCAAAACCTTAGAGGGATAGGCTATTTGGAAGGGCCTGGAAGTAATACAGGATTTCCGAGTTGGCTAAACAGGAAGATGGGACCTAACCAGGCCCCAGGTGTTCCTGTTATCACAATGAAACTATTTTCTAACCGAATCATACCCCATGATTGTGCCAAATCAGGCTCTATGAAGTACCGAGTCAGATTCTATGAAGTGTCGAGGCAGACTCCATAGATCTATTTAGAGGCTGCCAGCCGCATCCCTTTAACAAACTCTAAGACTTAGGGAAATGGGTATTTGCGCCTTCCTTTCTCCCTTTCTTCCTTTCTTTCTTTCCTTCGGTAGGTTTTTGGTCAATCAGTGCCTGTCAGACTTAGGCCTAATCGCAACCAAATTTATTCACAACCATCTATGCCAATGACCGATTTACCAGTTTCACACGGTACCAGATTTGCGGCCGCGGTGGTAACGCCGAGCACCTTAGTGCATAATAATGGGAGTGGTAAAATATATATTTCATATAACCAATTCAAATCCCTACAAACCAAAACCCTCTCCCCTTGTCTCTTACTATCTATGTAGCTGCCTCAGCAAAAGTTTTCTTTTCCTCTTTTGCCTGTTCCTCCACTCCTTCGACAACCTCCTTTTTGTCCTCTACAACCACGTCCTTCGCTACGTTTTCTTCAACTACATCCCTCTTCACGTCTTCTACGGCCGCGTCTGCTGCAGGCTGTACTTCAATCTCTTCCTTCAACTGCTTAACTTTAGGTTCTTCCACCTCTTTAACGCCTGCAACCTTATCTTCGCCCTTCTCCACCTTGGCCTTCTCGCCCTCCTCTTTTTCTTCCTTCTCTTCCTTCTTATCCTTCTTGTCCTTCTTGTCCTTCTTGTCCTTCTTGTCCTTCTTGTCCTTCTTGTCCTTCTTGTCCTTCTTGTCCTTCTTGCCCTTTTTGTCCTTTTTGTCCTTCTTCTCTTCCTTCTCTTCCTTCTCTTCCTTCTCTTCCTTCTCCCCCTTCTCTTCTCCTTCATCCTTTTCTTTCTTGCCCTTATCCTTCTTCTTCTTCTTCTTCTTATCCTTGACCTTCTCCGCCTCATCATCAGCCTCTGCCTCACTCTTCTCTTCCTTGTCATCATCCTCTTCCTTCTCTTTACCCTTGCCCTTCTTATCCTTCTTCTTCTTGCCCTTCTTGTCCTTTTTCTTGTCTTTCTTGTCCGATTCATCTGATGACTCCTCTGCTGCATCTCGAGAAGTGTCATCGAGGTCGAGAGCATCGGCACTCTCAACATGAACAACCTTTACAGTTGTGTCTTTGTCTTGCGAGTAAATGCGAAGACCAATACAAGCAATAGGATCCCAAGTGTCCTCATCCGTGGGGGGTTCGGCGTCGGTTGGTACTGGTGCTTCGGCTTGGGCTACCTCGGTCTCAGATTCAGAGGAAGAACCAGAGGAAGAACCAGACGAGGACCCTGACGAACCAGATGAAGACGAGGAAGAGGATGACCCTGACGAGGACGAAGATGACGAAGAGCCGGACGATGAAGACGATGAGGACGATGAGGACGAATCAGAAGAGCTTGAGGACGATGACTCGGAGCCAGATTCGGAACCAGATTCGGAGCCAGACCCAGACTTATCGTCGTCCTTCTTCTCCTTCTTAACCTTTTTGTCTTTCTTGTCTTTCTTGTCCGATTTTTCAGATTTTTCAGACTTTTCAGATTTTTCAGATTTTTCAGACTTTTCAGACTTTTCAGACTTGTCCTTTTTATCCTTTTTGTCCTTTTTGCCCTTCTTGTCTTTCTTATCCTTCTTATCCTTCTTATCCTTCTTTTCTTCCTTTTCCTCGTCGTCTTCCTTCTTCTCCTTCTTGTCTTTGACTTTTTTGTCTTTCTTCTCTTCCTTCTCATCGCCTTCGTCTTTCTCCTCCTTTACTTTCTTCACCTTCTTTTTGGCCTCATCATCACTTTCCAACTCCGCCTCGTCACCCTTGGTGGCTTTAGTGTCTTCATCTTTGCCCTTGGCCTCGCCACGAACTCCACCCCTACCCCCACGTACACCGCGTGACTTATTTCGGGAGTGACCTATACCCGCACCCTCACCTGGCCCATCACCTACACCCTCACCATCATCCTGCGCTACTTCGGGTGTTTTCTTCGTTTTTTGTGATGCCTCCGCCTCCTCAACGCCCTTCTTATCTTTTGGATCAACTGCAGCTTTCGCATGAGCCAAATCGTATGACATTCCGATCTGCAAGAACTTCATTCTGTTGGTCTTGCAGGTCTCCTTGATCACCTCTTGAGTCGTTTTGCGGTGTGTCTTTGTGGCAGTAACCATAAATAGGACTGTGTACTTCCCTGGCTCGAGCTCCAGCTCTGCGCTGACACTTCTGGTCTTATGGATATTGGGTCGAGAACGAGTGATGTACTCTTTCTCTCCCTTTTTGTGGACTCGGAAGTGGATTTTGAAGTCGTACTGGCCTTCCAAGCCTCTGAAATAGCGTTCATCAAGCTAAATATAATAAGGAACCCACAAAAATAAGTCACTGTAACCCTAATATATATGGCAATGGGGGTGATCCAACACACCTGCGAAAGAACAAAAACTACAGGGCCCTTCTTCTTGATTTTAACTTCGAACCTAGTGGGACTGTACACCTGGGCCCATGGCACTGGAATTTTTATCCAACTGGAAGTCACTGTCCAGGACGGGTCGAAAAGGCGTGTTTGGTCGATGTGATCAAATTTATAGAGAAAATCCTTGTCTATTAAGCTATCATTAGCAATCTGACAGAGAAAACACGTATATATTTTGTACTCGGGAAAGTCTTACAAGACATCCAAAATGAACCATCGTTTCCAAAACGATGGTCCAACAACGTCAGCCATTCAGCAGTCCATTCCTTTGATCCGTCGCTCCATGGTCCGGTCCATTCAGTACAGCCCCAGGGATTTCTGTGTTCCACTTTAGTAAGAGCATAAAAAGGAAAAGCGAATTATACATACCTAACTAATACCAATCGCTGGCCTTTAACTTCGACCGCTTTGAGAACTGAGTAAGCATGTCCTGCGAGGATACCGGAACGATCAACTGTGCCCATGAGGTACCCAGAAAACAGGTAATCCTTGTTTGCAAGCGTCAAGTCCTCCTTCCAAAAGCGATCACGATCTAGAAGATCACATGTGTCGAATTCAATTGTCACGCCTCCGGTCAGATCTTCAATGGCCTCGCTATCACAAATTCAGTACACCAAAAAACAAGGGTTGAGATCCCAGATTAAGAGTACATACCCAGACCATCCACCTTCTACTGCGCCATAGTCACCATGGGCCTTTGCATAGGCCTTCTCCAGCAGTGGTAGCCAAGTTTCATTAGGGTCCTGGCAACTGGCGTACACCAACGCATTGGAGCCTTTCATGAAGGTCTTCTCGTACACATCTTCTTTCCCGGACCACACAGCCTGGGTATAGCTATCGGCATCCTGATATTCTGGTCTGTTTGTGTAGAGCTGGTCGTCAACAATTGTGGAAATCCACTCGCCATCTAATTCAAACAGCTGTTATTAGAATGTACTAGATCCCCTCCGGTCAGTGGAGGATTTTATTGCATACCGCGCATGAAGATAAATCCGTATATTCCAACAGCTTCATCTCGGGCAACACAAATCTTCTCGATAAGGCCCGGCACGTTACTGATGGTTGCAACTGCAGCTAATAGCCAACAGTCTCCAGTCTAGAGAAAATCAGATCATCTTAACAACCATTTCATAGATTTGCAGTCTTACAGCTCCTTGTCTAATATCTCCTGCACTAACACCATCCTTGAAAAATTTTGGATCCTCGAAGACATCCTATACATCAATTAGCCAAATAACCTTCACCGGGACGACCGGACTGGTTGCCTACCTCAACTCTCAAAGTACCCTCAGGGTTCAATTCTGACCTGTGCTCAGGAAGCAGACCGTCCAGACAGTATCTACCATCCCTCTTCAAGTCAAAGTGAAGATCCCGATATTTCCTGTTCGCCATACGACATTCTTTCGCAATTTTCTCCACCTTCTTCCTGCAAACTTCAATAGCCTCTTCTAAGCCACGGGTTGCTACGACAGACTTCGATGTGTGATGGATCGATGCCGCAGCAGCATCGGCCAGCTTATTGTGCGGAAGCAAAGTCTTGGACTTTGACTCCGCAGAATCGGCTTTCTTGTCGTCCGGCATGAGGAGTGTATACAGACTAAAGGTGGGCAATGATACTTTTGATAGAGCTTTTCAACGGGAGAAGGTTGCTACTGTGTGTTCCGAAGCTCAAGCCCCTGCCTGTGGGGGAGATAGTGAATTTATATCTCAGCAACGAGAACCAAACACGCGGCAGTTTTCTTGTCGGTTAAACCCCAAGGAGTTTCGGCCTTAGCATTCTAATTGAGTACATGTACCTATAAAATTCGCCCATTGAGCCACTAGGTGGTGTGTGCATAGACTGGCAATGTGTTCTAGTGCAGGCATGAGAGCTGTGAGCTCTACACGTGCCAGTGGGCTACACCAACTCTCAGCCCCACGGGAAATTAAGGCACAATCAAGTTAAAAGTGCAGGGACGGTCCCAATAGGTATCAGGGGAGCTTGGTGTGATGAAGATGCGTTTCTGCCCCCACAAAGATGCAAACGTATCAAATTGGGAATAGTAGCGCTCGGTGTAAGCCAACGGCGTAGGATGTATAGCTCGAGAAGCTATGGGGGGTAGGTGTGTAAACTTCGGCGTTTTTTTAAAGAATCGGCCAATCAAACTTATAGAAATTGGCCATAATGGTACTAGCGCCTAGGCTAACCCTGACATTTCCTCAGATTCCCATACAAACGAAGTTGACACACCCGCCCTCTAGGCCTTCTCGCGCCATAATGCCTACCAACTATATCTATTGGTACTTTAATGGCATGATAAATGATGATCAACCATGAGATGGAAACGGGCACCAATTAATGGCATGAAAGGAGGTTACACATATCGTAGAAACACAACATGTATCCTCTGCTCATCTATAGTTGATCCCTGTTCAATTCAGCCCCACCGTTACAAGCGCGGGGCGGAAGAGGTTTATGCGTCAACTGGTATTTATTCCTTGTAAGAAAAGCGGGGTACTAGAAGTGGAGGGACCCGATCCGAAGCCGCCCTAGCTTACGCCCAGTTACTATATATTAATTACTAGGTGCAAGGGGAGCGAACGACCATCATAAAGAGCTCTCAGATACTTAGATGTAAGTATCGTGTAGTAAGTTGCGCTATGCATGTTCTTTGATGTGTTTAGGTACCGCAGTACTTGTTCATATCTGTTCGGATCAGCCGCTCTGAAGATAGGAATCAGATGACAGTGCCGGGACGATATCCTGCTGTGCGATGTAATGCAGTGCAGCTGTCACTCGGGGCAGAGTAGAGTACTCGCGTCTAGGATAAAGAACCAGAACATGCAAATGCCTAGTTTGTATGGCAGCTCAGCGCCACTCCATACAAATAATCCCTGCTTTCTCACTTGCATGTTCTGGTTCTTTTTCCCTGACGCGAGTAATCTCTGCATAGACGGTAATCTCTGCATAGACGGGCAACGACGTCCGTCCATGGATGTCGAGCGAGCAGGATTACAATCCGTAACCACAACTGTTGCCTAAAAATTAGTAAGAGGGAAATATTGCAATGACTGGAAATACATAACGTCCCTGATATGGTCTCCTAAGTCATTCCAGCAGGGCTGGTAGGATGCAAAGTCCCCCTGGTTATTAATATTATTATTAGCACAAACTCAAATTTAGCGATCCCAGGCTCCTGTGCGCCATACACCAGCAGTGGTTTTGCCACACATGTGCGGTATCAATTTATGGGGTTTTCTGCATGCACTCATCCAAGAGTCTCCTTGCTTAATTCCCTCAAACATACAATAATGGTTGTATCTAGGGGGACCTTGCGGGGTACATTCTTGGCTCACACAATCTCACTCGGACCTCTGCAACGCCGCAACAAAAACCCGAGAATTCATTAAATTACTAACCAAATGGCATTATTAAGGTAAAATAAAGTAAAAAAGATATATAAAGAGAGGGAAGGCCCTAATTGGAGACTATCAATACATGCTCAGTCCGTATTTCCGGTCATAGCACTCCAGCCACTCCTTCAGCGCAGTAGAAAATATACCTAGGGCGTCGTTAACTTCCGGAAAATGCCTCTGCTTTTTGCCACCAAAGATATCAAAAGAATGCACAGTGTTCTTCATTAGATATCCGAATATCTTGTTTCGTGGGGTGGGCATGCCACATGTGGGGATATCATGGGATACAACGTTTTGGGGAGCCCATTTTTCGCTCGATAGTACAGAGAGGGAGGTCCATGGGTCATATTTACCCCCTATATAGGTCAGTCAGGGTTAACTATTCATACATATACTAATATTGATGGTTTTGGTTTACCCGTAAAGAATGTGTTAGAAGCGCGCATGTTCCAGCCTTCAAACTCTCCATTCACCTTTTCTACCTGCGGCTTGTGCGGAAGGAACCCCGAGGAGACTCCAGTCGGGAAGTAGTGGTAGCAAAGATCTTGCCCGTATTTCTGACTTAGATACCTTGATACGATTTGGTTTGGGCCCAGGTTGACGGATTGGACGAAGCCTGTCACAAACCCTTGTTAGAGTCCTGCGGTAATATAATAGAGTGAGCTTTGACAGGTGAGGCACGTACCCCATTCACTACAAATTAACCAAGCCCAAGAGATGCTTGCTGAGTCTGTTCGTGCAGCATCAAACCTATCGCAATAGATGGTCCCGTCGTTGCCAGTACCATAATACCCTTCACAGTTCTGGCCCAGATATCTGTTGACCTGCGTTTCTCGTTAGTACATTTCCCTAGGAAAGTCACTGTTTTGTGCAATCGATCATTTTCCTTACCATCCCAATAAGCTTTGGCCACTGGGCCCAGCGGTCGATTACCCATTGGACGCCCGTTTCTTTCGCCCAGCCCTGAGCTCCAGCCGTCACATTAGTTTCCGGATCCGTTTCCATATAGTCGCAAAAGTTTCTCAATCCCCATTCTATCCGCCCATTTCGTCAGCAAAAGCCTCCCATTTCTATCTATACCAGAGCCACAAACCATTGCCACAACAGCTCTCCATCCCCCATGCTTGCCAATTATATAGCACCAGCGACAACGCCAACCCAAAGCCTCCATTCCCCACGCCCTCCGAATCCTTCCCCAAAAACTTCCTCTTCAGCTCAGCTGCTGTTGCCGGAAGCCGTAGCTGCTTATCGATCTGCTGAACCGCGGCACGCATATCCCTCGTGCAGTTCCCAAAGCCAAATTCAATAATGCCTCGCGCGATCTGTTCAAAATAGACTGACATGTCGATGCGTGCTTGGACAGGCGCCGAGGAGGCATATGCGGCGAGGAAAGTGGTGGGGTATTTGGCGCGGGCAAAAGCTGCCCGCGTGCCTGAGTAGCTACCGCCAAAGATAACCCAAGGGGTGTAGTCGGGGTCAGAGGGATAAGGGGCCAGTTTGGACGCTCGAAGGTGCGGGCGAATACCTGCCCATGCATTATATATCATTAGTGGAATTAATATCATACAACGTAGAGGGAGGTGTACCGGAAGGTCAGCGAGTGCTTGGGCGGTAGTTAGATACTGCATCTGCTCCGGCGTTGTGTTGTTGGTGATATCATAGGGCGTGGATCGGCCATAATACCTGTAAGGAAACACAAAAACTTAGAAAATATTGACTATGTACAGAAGCCCAAGGAGTAGCAAGGGGTTACCGATGTTCCCACAAGATCACCATGGCATTAAACTCGCGGGCTAGATCTCTAGTGGGGTCATATTACCCCTGAGATAATATTCAACAGCAAATAAAGAATTTGACTCGCCCCCGTCAATCACTACATGAACAACTTATTAGCTGAGCACAGTGGGGAAGGGATACTTCTGTCCAGGGAGCAGACAAAACACCGGGCCTCCAGGCTTGTAGAACTCTTCCAATACCCAGTATCTATTATTGAAAGTAGCAGTATTATTTCCAAAGTGATCCAAAGGGAGCTGATTTCTATGAGTTAGATAATCCTTTAAGTATCAACGACAATACAGAGAACACTCACGGTCACAGTCTGGTGGTCTATAAATGCTTCAGTTTCTGAGGATAAACTGCCAGCGCTGTTGCCCATCACTGGAGTTGCCTCATCAAGCTCGCGGCGGTGAAGCGCCGGCCATGGGTGGAGGAGAGCTTGCGCAGATCGCAGGAGCGCAAGCCCGATTAACAGGAGATGCTTGTAAAGTACGTACATTGAGGTCTGCCCAGAAAGTGTTCCAGGTTCAGTATTAAATGAGGGGATGTTGGATCCAAGGATGTTGTTTGAGTGAATTGAGATGGGGTCTAGCAGCTATTTAACAATCCCATATCGTTTAACATATATAGGATAGATGGAACTATATCCTGATCCATTCTATAGAACTATTGGTAGTACTTCATGGTACGTATATAAGGATTTGATATCCTTATCTGTACGCATGTACTCATCGAGCACTAGGGTGTATCCAATATATATCGTGTGGTGGGGCGATAGCATATATCTTAGGGGTACCCGCGAATCGTCTGATCATGACATTGGCTATATGAAGGCGCTGATAATAAGTCTAACATAGAAAACCCACAATAATGTCGCACTAGCTGGAGCACCAATAGAGCACATGGGACATATATCTAGAGGGATGTGGTTTTCTTGATTGAATGTTCTGCATTGAATCCCAGGTCACTGTACCAAGCAGTTGGGAGAGTGCACGGCGCCGCTGACCCAGCCCCCGATAGCCAGTCCTGAGCGTTCTAGTTGGGCGAAAGCTTAAAGCCCAGCGCGGGTCCCTGCATCTCAGAAAGTAACCTTCAACGGTGAGTGTAGCTAGGTGTAACACTAAACATGCTTTTAACAGCCCCAGTTATATGTATGAGAGAATCGGCGTTCCCAGTAAATCTTATTTATAAATATATCCAGGAGGCACAAGGCTACTACGGTAGTAGCGTAGTATTTAGAAATGTCTGTATTTATATCAGCTTAACTCTTGTATGCGAGTGAGCTTCTGTGACTGACTTGAGATCCTGCGCATGCCACGGATTTGCAGTAGCTAGAGCCGCTTTAATGATGTTGTTGCCAAACAGCTTTGGTGGTAACGCGTGGGGGGTGGCCTCAAGACATAAAATAGCAGCGCTTTCAATATTGCTATATATATGCTCTTAAGATCTTATCGCTGGTGAAAGCGGATGATTGAGGATTTGTTCTTTCTAGGCTTGGTCGTCACTGTACTTTTTCAATGAGGCTATGGTAAGACTTAGGTCGGTTGAATTAAGGATCATGGTTGTCTCGCATTTGCTATTATGGATTGTCAAAAATAATGGGACGCAACAGGCTTCATTGCAACGTAATAATCTCTCAACCACGACCGACCACAAACAGGATAAGTAATAATTATTTTTGACAACCCGCAATAATTATGGGCGACTCGCGCGGCGCAAAACCTGCTTCAATTATCATTGGTTTGTTCAGCTCGGCCGCTTAACTAAAACGAGAATTCTATCACAAGACAGGTCGAGCCAACCATATGCCCGCTTCGCTCTACTGGTAGCCTCTTTGTTGGTTGTTGGCTTCTGATTTGTGTTTATCCATCACATTTTCCATGTCGATGGATTAGCAAGGCTGGAAGTTCTCTTTATCTTGCTGTGTCTTGCGCTGTCAAATACTGTTTGATACTGTGGGCCGATCGCAGCAATGCAATTGGGATGACATCCCGCTAGCTCCCCGCAAACCTTTGAGCTCGACATCTGCTAGGAAAGAACAATGAGTACTGAAGTAATAGACCATCTAGTAACAAGTTTGATAGATACAGATCATACGCGATGTAACCGCCAGTATCGGAATTGGCCTGAATTAATACATAGACATAAGCGTCTATGTATCTAACGTTAACGCGTTTATTGCTTTGATTCAGGCAACCCATATTGTCCAGTATCGTTCATCAAGTGGGAAAAATCTGCACGACCATGCACATCTCAGGCGCGCCCCATGGGGTTTACATATGTATAATATCTCAATGTGCCTCTACACACTTCTTTCTTTCTGTGATACCGAACACATCACTGGCAATTCTAGCTAGGTGTTCAGGCCGCCATTTTATATATCATCATTAGTGTCTTCGCGATACAGAGGAGAAGATATTAAGAACAGCTAACATCTCTCCGGCCTCCAAGTAGCCGATGGACTTTCACCAGAACTAGAACCCCCTGGCTTCACCAGCAAAAACTCGCTACAAAAACGATCGGCGATAAACACAAAAATAAGGTTACCACACTATTCTAGGCCTCGTGTGCTTTATCTTGCACCATCCACGTGCACACCCCTCGAAGATGCCGTTAACTACTGAGCAGCTCACGTCAACCCTCAGTGAGGCCTTGTTTCATTATCGTGAGGTCCTTAACCTCAGAGAGAAGGAGAGAGACGAAGTTCTTCCTTTGAATGGAAAATTACCCGCGACGGAGGACGACGATGCTTTGCAGGCAGAGTTTCGTTACCAGTTGGAGGCCATGGATCGCTTTCTCGGCTCCGTAGACGATATGGTCGCTGCCCTCAATAGACCCAACGAGTCGTCTTTAGTAAAGTACCAAGCGCAAAGTCATCCCAAGTGGCTGGAGCCATTTATTTATCAGAAGGATGAGTCCTTCGTAAATCCATTCACAGGCCTAATTGTCGAAGCCCCTTCTTCCAACGCCGTCTGCTCAAGACCAGGTCCCTCAAATAAAGAAGGACCCTTGCAAGAGATACCAGATAGCTTTTGGGAGAGCTACGTAAGCTGGAAATGTTCATATATCGTAAAGTTATTGGAGCTGAATTAAGTACTACTAGGATCCGAGCTGCAATCCTTCTCCAGATGAAGACTTGGCTTCACAAAAAGCAAGCACGGTCCCTTCGCGTTTGAAAGATGATTATAAACCGCGTGACCTAGAAATTGACTCAGACGGTCGTATGGATCCTTATGAGGCATCGATGAGATCTAGATCTATCAACGTAAGCTTTTTTTACTTCTCCGAAAGATTCAAACAAGGGTCTTTGTCCAAAAACCTAATTGTCCTAGGGAAATTACTTTCGTCCGCACATCCCAAGCTCTGGGTTCGGGGATATAAAGCGAGAAAACGATGTTAGTCTCCCAGGTACCTGGGTCAATAGCTGGTCCAATTCGACGGACGAAGAGTTCGATGAATGTTTCCCAAGGGCACAGGTGCCCGGGTCTTCTAGTATTTCACGCACTTCGAAGATCTTGGGCGCAGGCCGCTGGAAGACATGGACGCCTCGCATGCACTCCTCCGCCGCCATTCAGTTGGAAGAAATTCAGGCAAAGAAATCCGGTGCCAAGGCTAAAAATAAACAAAATGACATCTCTGAAAAGCCGGCTGAACAATGGACAACAGCCCCCGAGACGCAAGGAATTGTAGGTGGGGTTGAGAAGGCAGTCCGCTTCTCACCTCCAACTACACAATCAATTGAAATCGGAGGTAAGAACCAATTTCTTCCGTCATTTATAATCTATCTTAGATTGGATAATAATATTTGGGGTACCTATCTGAATTAATAGAAGATGGATTTCAAATATTCAACGAACCTGCCGCTGAACCCCGGGTTACTCGTAATGGGCCCAGTATGTCAAAAAAACATCCAATGTCTTCTTCATCCTCAATAGAGACATCAAGCTCCGGAGCTTCTTCAACAGCGGAAGCAAATTGGTGGGCAGATAATCAAAGGCGAGCCTCGGGAGTCGAGCTTTTTGAAAACTTCTCTGGTGAAGAAGAAAGAAATGACCCTGCCTCGGCGAATAGTCCCTTAGAAGAGCCTACTGAATCGAATCGTAAAGGGTTCGAAATTCCCGAACACCCCCCTCAATATGGTTCTCGTGACCAAGTCGCCGCGGATGAAGCCCTGGCGGAGAGACTGGCAAACTTTCAGGCTGATTTCCAAAGACCATCCGATCTGTTTGATGAAGAAGAAGATCGAGAATCAAACTCCTCTGCGTTCATGCGTAAACAGTATCAACAAGATAGAGAGTTGGCAGAAATGCTCTCTGCAGGCTTAGACCCAGATATGGATCGCGAAACTCTGGAGTTGATAAAAAGACTTTCAGGAGATTCACCTCAAGACTTCCACTCATTTCTTGACCAAGAAGCTGAGAGTGAAGCCCTGATCGCTGAGCTTTCTGATTCACATGTATTACGAGATTGGGAATTGGCTAGGCAGCTGGCCGAAGACACGCCACAAGATATGGAAGAGCATCTAAGACAGCTTAAAGAACAGGAGGAGTACGCACGCCTTGCACAGGAGGCCTGGGATGAAGATATCAGAAAAAGAGAAAGAGAAGAACTCGCCGTATTAGCTGAGATGGCTAGGTTAGAAGAGCTGGAAATACTGGAGCAATTGCGGAGAGAGCGCATGGCAGACTGTACTGCATGCTCGGAAGAGGGCGAAAAAGCAGAAATGGCAATGTTGTCTTGTAGCCATGGGTACTGCACGGGTTGCATAAAGGGTAAGATCCTTCAACTATCATAAACTTGTTTATTTTCGAGATTCGGCATCACTAACGATTGTGGAGAAATATAGTCGCTTTTGAAGGCGCATTAAGGGAGAAGAAACCGTTTAGATGCTGCGACCAGGTCCCCATAGATTCTATCGCGGCACACTTCACTCAAAACTTTGTCAGAGATTATAACGATCTCATGCTTGAGCTTAATACTCCGAATGCTCTCTATTGCTCGGCGAGAAACTGTTCAAAATTCATTCCCCCCACCAGCATACGAGCCGATACTGGGACATGCCGCGCTTGTAACAGTAATACGTGTAGACATTGTCGGTCTCCTTCGCATACCGGTATCTGTCCAGCGGATGAGGATTCAACTGTAGTTCTTGGCTTGGCGAAAGAGAAGGGATGGAAACCCTGCCCCGGTTGTCAGAATATGATTGAAAGAGTTGATGGTTGTTTACATATGACATGCACTAGGTGCCCTAACCGTACAGAATTTTGCTATAACTGTGGAAAGCTCTATAGTATTTGCCCTGCCACCTGTAGCAGGTAATATTGTAGATACTTGTACGTAGTAGGAAGTAGTCAATGTATATAATCTTTATTTTGTCAAATTTCGGCTAGATGCAATATTTATCAAATTTTGTCGTTCAGCAGCCATAAAAATAACTTCTGTGTATCACGTTTATACTATATCACGCTTATACATTCACATACATCCAATATTTATTTGCCCAACTTTAAAACCTTGAAGCCAAACATTGATCTGACAGTTGTAGTATTGTAGGTACATGTAGTCATAACACTAGCCTAATTAAGAGATAGTTAATGATTGCTTAATAATTTACATGCAGGCTACAAGCGAATATGACAACGTGGCCGAGTGGTTAAGGCGACAGACTCGAATTTCCAGTTCTTGTTATCTGTTGGGTTCGCCCGCATAGGTTCAAATCCTGTCGTTGTCGAGATAAACTTTTTGCCTCAGACTCTGCCGTCCTAAGGCATTGGAATAAAAAACCAGTGGACTCCTCCCCACTCCGTTTGGTGCGTGGGAATATGTTTCCGCGATCGGACTCTCATACTGTCACTCCGAGGACCTCTGTTGGTTTTGCGTCTGAAACACCAACTCAAATCTCATAAACTATGAGAAAACCGTCGGAAATGCGATCACCTCTAGAAACCAATTCAAGTAACTTTAACGGGCTTTGTGGCTTACTAGCCTCGAACTCAGGCTATTTCTTTTATTCATACAATTTTTATCTCATGGTATTCGTGGTTGGCAGCAAGTTTGTTTATTCTTGAGTGCGAGATTCGCGGGTTGAACTTGCTCGGCCTTTTGCAGTTTAGATAAATCTTTAAAGGTTCAATTATTACGGGCTCTGGGCCTTGAATTATCGGAACACGTAGCTCAGTCACAAATCCATAAGAACAGAGTCCTCATAGAAAATCGACCGCTCTGCGATCTATAGCTTGAGACTTTTTCTTCTGGTCGAGGTATTTCGTGACAGTGCTATGACAATCACGGATCACCGCCTAAAAATGGATTTCTGTTAACCTACAGTCCCAAAACGATCGTGGAACATGATGCATGTGATAACTCACCTTGACTTTCCATATAATGGTAAGGAGGTCGCAAGCCTTGTGGATGGACTCGACGTTTTCTGGAAATGGTCGTAATTCACCGGATCTTAGGTAGAACATATTGTGACCGACACATGACATGTAAAGAACTTGGGTGAAGCGGCCTACATTCAAGGTTAGACACTGAAAGATATAATGATTCTGATGCAGTAACTTACCCTCGTGTAAGACGCCAACCACAACTAACTTTTTGACAGTTTCGGGGTCATAATCGACAATCTTCTTAAGGTTATTGAGGATGGCACGGCACCCAGCCAGTAACTTGGTAAGATCTTTGTCTCTCTTTCCTTCATTAGATGTTTTGGAGTCCGAACTCGAAGATACTTCAACTACAGCGTATTCGAGGTGGTGACTATGATACTGCCACCTTGTCTGTACGATCCCGTCGTAACGCACATAGGGAGATATAAAAGGGTTAGGGTCGCTGGTATGTGCTGCCAGTATGATCTCTTTGCTACTTGGGTGATTAGCTAGAGGATCCGTGATCGAGATAAAGACATCGTTTACCGTTGCATAAATAAGCCAAGACGAGCAAGACGAAGAATACAGGCGTCCATCACGTGTGCGTACAAGCTGTCCCATACTCCTTCTTTCAAACCACGGTAATCCAATAAGTTTGAGGTCTGTGTAAGTAAGAAGAGACTGCGATAAACAAAACATCGATAAGCATGAATACACGACTTTGTGCAAGATTGAGAGACTCGTCTGCTGGGCCATGGTAATCACGTACGTGTGCTCCATCACATTATCAATCCAGCGCTTGTCTGAGTACTCAGATGTGCTCTTATCCCACCCGCTCTCCGTAGAATAAGCAGTTTCTATACAGTCATCCGTGGTGGCGCACTATAGGAATTAGCATCTAGGACCGCACTTGGATGCCTTAGAAAACGGTGTTACTTTTGTATAGCTTGTGATATGATCGGCGAGCGAACAAGGGAGTTGAGGTATTGGTGGGGATTCATCAACTATTTGTTTCCACTGATCATCATCAAACAAATCTCTAAAGTCTTTGTCGTGGGCATCAATTATTGACAACGAAGGAAGGTTCAGCTGGTCAATATCTGAAAATTCTTTTGCATAATCCCGTGCTATATCTTCCAAAAACACGCCGCCTACAAGTGGAAATTTACTGTCCATGCTTTGATTGGTCTCAAACTCGGGTGTCAACGTCACTGATTCCGATGTGATACTATCATCTTCTTCATTCTAATGGATACAACATTTATTTTGTTAGAGTCACATAATATTTCATGAGATAATTGTGGAACTACATTTTGCTCCCCTTCTATTTCAACCTCTTTCGAACCAGCAAGACTCGATTCAACAGGCTTAAATCCAGCAGGTGGCTGGGGAAACGAGTTCAACGTGCCGACGTTCCCGCGGACAACAGTGCCGATGGTCCCATTATTTTGATGAATCACCACCTGTGGTTTGGAAACGCGTTTCTGACGCCGTCCAGTTAGGCGGTTTTTATCCCAACAGCGGGAACGAGCCTTGTCCGATATACGACCCTAGGAGAAATAATGAGTTAATTGAACCAATACCCTCCCCCACTGAAGTAACAGACACCAAGTAGGTAATCTGAGATTCAGTGGGACCACTGGAACGCGGAGCAGACACCCAGTAGGTAATCTGTGGTCCAGTGGTCCACCGGGACGCGGAGCAGACACCCAGTAGGTAATCTGTGGCCCGGTGGGAGCCGACAGCAAAGCAGAAACCCAGTAGGTAATCTGTGGCCCGGTTGCGTCAAGTAAGGGCATTGGTTTTCCAATGAAATTGATTAAAAGGTTGGAAGGCTTGAAGTGACTTACCCCCCGACTATATTTAGTCAGCAGTAACTTGGCTTTTGATAGTATGGTCGCATCTTTTGTGTTGGCGACAATGTGGTTGAGAGAAGCGAGATAGTGATCCACGACTTTGTTGAAGTTGAAAGGGGTTTTGTGCTTACGCGAGCTTTGGTACTCCTCGCCTAAAAACGTCACCAGATCCCAATCGATGGGGACTTGTGAAAGAAAGTCCTCATCAATTATGACTAAAGGATGTGTCAGTAGGGCTCAAGTGGAGTACGCGATATTCGCGATGGTGATTACCCGGCATCGTAGTTTTGGTGTTGAGTTTGGTGTGGAAGGAGGATGTGGAGGAGTGGGGGGAATCTTGGGTGCATGCGCTAGTTGTAGGATTTGGCAAAAGAGGGGGGCTGGTAGTGCCAAGACGAGTGCGCCAAGACGGATATGTGCCAAGATTATGACTGCTCAGCCAAGAGCGGTTTACCAAGACCTTGGCAATGAGGTAGGTACATGTATCCCCGTAGCAACCGACCTGGAATCTAGCTCTGGCTTGGCAAGGCCGATTGATACGAAGAAGTACATGAGCTCATTGTAAAATTTAGCTCAATTTTTCAAACTCCCGAACAGGTCTATTAATAATGCTTTGCAATCTAGAACGGTCAGGGAATCAAAGAAATAAGTGACCACCGTCTAAGGAAACCAGTTTTAAAAGCACCATCTTCTATACAACTTGCGCCTGTATAGCTAATGCTCTAGCTTTGTACTTCTACAACCTCATGATATCCTCACGGACACCATCGTTTCAATTCGCCCCTCTCAATCTGGTTCAGTCCATCAACTATACAGGCTCCCTGGGGCTTGAACAGACCGGGCTAACCTGTGGGGCAAACAATGCCTCAAGTGCATCGATAGACATGGCCCACTTCAATATTCGGCCTTTTATAAATCCTAGAATCCACCATACAGTATGTACTCCACCAACCACGTTCACAGCAATCACTGCGAATAGCCAGTCCGAGTACCTTCTTCTATCACCAAAAAACCGCCAGTCCATGTCTTTGTTGGGGCCATGTATGACTTGGTTGCCAACCTTGGTCCAGAAATAGCAATAAAATACTGTGAAAAATGAGAGGAGTAAACTCTCTATCGTCATCCGTTTCTGGTCCCATGCTGATAAGGTCTCAAAGGCTGAATTCAGAAGAAACAATTCAGCAAGCGCAACAGCTGAACCAAAGCTATTGAGGATTAACTCTAGCCTAACGACTGGATGGTCTGATGGAAGTATAAGAACGAAATATAACAGTGTGCTTGCTAGCGGGAGGACCATGACAATAGTATAAAAAATGTGGAAGAAAAATCGGTTCGAGCCACTTTCACCACTCGGGAAACTGGTAATACGGAAAAGATGGCCGTTTAATACCTCTTGGAACGTGAGTGGCATATCGGCCGAATATGGACTGTAACGACAGCCCGTATGCGCATACGGGAGACGAGATTGGTCTTTCGAGATTGTATAAAGATACATCCAGTACTATGAGTTTGAGCCATTGCGCCAGTGAGATAAGATCATAAGGTAAAGGGCACGGTCAAACTTACCGAAGTCAGCCATAGATAGATACACTGTCCTATCCATGCAAGATCCATCAGCCGGAATGCAACTATCTTGCCACGGCCAGCGAGAACCTCAAACACGAGATATACAGACAGAAAGAGCGTCATGGAGAAAGCTAGGAATAAACGAACGAAGAAAAGATGTCTGCTGGACAAAAAACTCCATGGTGATTCAACGACTCTCAAGAAGAGATCTGAATCTGTAGGTGGGATGTGATCTACCACCTGGCCGAGCAGTGGGGTGCTGTCATTCATTACTCTCAAACAGCTATCCAAATGGTGATAGGATGAAATACATGTATGGTCGCTTTGATGCTTGGAAGGAAGAATATAGGTCCCACAATAAAGCCACATATATTTCTAGATATTTTTTCACGCTATATCTGGATACTGCGCTACATATCGGGCATGCTCTATCTACATGCATATTGTTAACGTTAGCAAAAACTATAGAAATTCTTAGAATACTGCGAAGCATTCTTATACGTACATGCAATTTTTTGTATTTATGTTTCTCAATTACCTGCATCATAGTAAATCACTCGCCCGAGTGGCTGTCTTGGTTAGTCGTTTTGATTGATTGATTTCATCATTAGGAGCTCAGTTCGTCGTTTCAAATGTGAGTGCATTCAACAACCATAGATAAATCTCAACCACTGATAATAAAAAAGTATCTAATAATACATCATGCCTCCGAAATCGATATTACCGGGCTTGACTGATAACTCCGAACCTTTGCCGTTCGACCCTTCAACAAATCAATCACCCCTCTATGTCCTTTCAACATCGCAAAATGCAACAAACTCTTGCCATCTGCATGGTTTATGTCGATAGTAGCTCCATAATCCAGGAGCTTTTGAACAGCAACCTCGTTACCACGAGTCACAGCGAAATGAAGCGGCGTCTGTCCGTAGCTAGTCTTAGCGGTGACATCGGCCCCCCTGTCGAGTAGCAGCTGTACCACTGGGTCGTGTCCATGGCCCACGGCTTGATGAAGCGCGGAGTGACCTTGGGTGGTTTGAACAGAAACGTCGGCACCGCTTTGTAGCAAGAGCTCCACCACTCCTTCATGCCCACGAATAGCGGCTAGGTGCAACGCGGTCTGGCCGTCGCTCGTCTGGCAGGTAATATCGGCACCATTCTTCAGAAGAACTTTGACTGTTGATTCATCGGCGTGTGCTGCGGCACGGTGTAATGCGGTATGGCCATCACAGTCCATCGAGGTGATATCGGCACCATTTTCTAACAATATTGTTATGATAGCATTGTATCCATGAATTGCCGCTGTGTGGAGTGCTGTTTGCTGGTTTTTATCGAGTAGATCAACATCAGCACCGTTATCTAATAGTGCCTCAATGGCCTTGTCGAGCCCATGCCGTACTGCCCAGTGCAGCACCGTCTTCCCATCAACCTCTCCAGCAATGGATATATCGGCGTTTTGTTCAAGCAGAAAGAGAATCATCGCCTCGGATCCGTAGCGGCACGCCCAATAAAGAGGACTTTGTCCCCTTCGATCCTGGGCATCGATGGAGGCACCTCTATCCAAGAGTACTGCAGCCACTGGGGGGTCCCCATATTGGGCCGTGACATGAAGAGGTGTTCCACCAGTATACATGTTGTCTTGAGCTGTATCAGGGTCTGCACCGGCCTCGAGAAGTAGCTTTGCAATGTCGGCGTGGCCGTATTTTGCAGCCCAGTGGAGCGGTGTGTCTCCGTGAACATCCTTCCCCGTGACGTCGACACTTCGGTCCAGCAGAAGTTTGACGACACCCTTGCTACCATTCTTGACGGCTCGGTGGAGGACTTTACCAGGGCTATTGTAGACTTGGTCTTGAAAATTGATGTTTGCACCTCTTTCCAGAGCAAGACGAGCAAGACTTTCATTGCCATGATCTACCGCCCAAGTGAGTGCAGTGACACAATTGATTTCCTGGATGGCTCTCTCGTTGAGGAGCGGGGTAAGGGCAAGAGCATGGCGTCGATTCGTTCGAAGGAGAGAGTTGAGATCCTTGACACTAAGCCTTTGTGCAAGAAGCTTGAGGATTTCGTTTGTGAGGCCGAGGGAAGTCATTTTGCTATTGAATACAGATGGTTTGCGAGTTTGAATTTGTGAAGATTTGGAATGAGTGTATAGTTGGGGAGTTGAATGCCAGGTTTTGATGCTAATTGTCTAGGCATTGTATGGCATTACCGGTAACAGTTGATTGGTGATAGATTGGCTCCGATAAATATTATGTGCATTTATTCCCTACTTACAGAGCTCGGTATTCACCAACCCCTCGGGAGGGTGATCCGAGACGGTGGGAATGATGAGCTCACATGAGAGTGATCTGCCCGAGTCTTTTCTTCTCTTCTACAAGCCACTCTCTGCCGTACAAACCTTCTAGAACTCGTTTCATAGAGTCGGGTCGGGGAATGGAGGCACGCGGCGTGGCTGGTTTCCGGTGTCTGATATTGAGTACCCCAAGTGGAAAACAAGGCATATCTACAAACAAACAAGAAAGCCTCATAGAAAGAATAAATCAATTGTACGCCTTGGGTTTGAAGATACAGTCATAGACTCCATGTAAAGAAAATTTTACAAAATCACGTATTGTCACTCGCAACAAAGACAAATGTACATGTAAGTCTCGGCCAGGCCATTTCAATATTACTCGTGGTCTGAAGATCTCGAGTCAGATACTGTGAATGATGTATTCGACGAAGTACAACTCAATTAAACAGTGAAAGATCGCCTCCTAGGCTTCTTTTTTTCGGAATGACTCACAATAATTCTTAACAAGAATGGCGGTATTTATGTCGAAGTACCAGTAAATACATACAGCACAGACAATGGAACACACGTAGTCTTTAAAAGCACAAATCATTAAGCAGTGGGGCGTCGGTGTTATTGGCTAGATATATATTCCGGAAAAGCACATATATGTAGTAGACGCTACGAGCACAGACATGGCGCTTAACAGTTGTGTCAATCATTGAAGTCACTTTTTATCTTCTTCTTCTGTGTCATTGTTGCTACACACAACAGAGTGACGTTGCTCATGGCCAAGGTAAAGATAAAAAATTTAGTATATTAAACATAACTGTTGATATCCCAACACATACCGTACGAAAGCAATTTCGTAGTAAAAGCTACCTAATTACTAACCGCTCTCTTCCCGTAAACCCTTAACCTTTTTACTCCTCCATCCGGTATGATGACCATTTTGACATGCGTCACTACATTCCCTGATACATCCTTCAGCATTGTTGAAGGGAAAGCATGTTCTTTGTCTGCTTCGCATGGGTGTGCTTCGACAATCTTCTGCCACTCGGGTGCGCTCGCGGCCACGACATGGTCGGACCCAGCATCTATCGCGTAAATTTCGACAGCCTGAGGATAGTTACCGCGAAAATGGAGTGTATCAACCACAACTTCTTCAATATACCCTGGTGCGCCCTTTTTTAATTGGTCAAAGAATAAGTCAGTTTGCATCATGAAGACCACTTTTAGAAAAGACCCTAAAGTTAGACAAAATCAAAACTTACGAGCTTTACTATCACCCAGTCTATATGACTCGCTTCTCTACTCCGTTTAGTCTCCCAACCATCACCCATATCCTTGCCCCTGCCCGGGAGCAACAGGTTGTCTTTAGTACCATAGTGTTGATCACTGCAAGAGACTGCTAGTCCCCCGGATGATACATGGGCAAGGTCAATTATCGACTCTGGGTCTACGGGAAACACGGGTACAGCATTTCCGTAAAGGCGGAAACGAGCAATCCCTACAAACTCCTGTCAACCTTATTGCGTGCGCCCAGCACAGATCAAGATTAACGAACCTCCATCTGGGTACATGTTCAGCCTTACATGTGAGTAAGCTTTTTTTGTTGGTTCGTCTAGCTTCCAAAGGTGTCGCTGAGACGGACCTGTCTCCTGTTTCGGGAGGATCTCGTCCCACTGGAAACCGGTGTCAGTTACAGCCTAACTACTACGAATAGGCTTTTCGTAAGAAACAAAGGTCTAACCGCAGTGTTTGCATCAGGGTGGCCGCCATCGATAAATGTCCCCTCGACTGAAACTGCGGGCGCATGATTCCCGTTAAAATATGTCGTGTCGATTTCAACCCCAAGAACTGTTCCACTGGCAACTCCGAGCTATATATATATATTGTGATGAGCTCCCCAATCCAAATAAAACCCCACGGATCCATCCTCGCCAAATTTACCTTTATTACAACCCAGTCTGCCGGTTCCTTATTATGCCTCCTGGTTTCCCATCTATGCTCAACTGAGTCAGATGAGGAATCTTGATATTTTAAGACATAAGGTTGGGGAAATACCCATCGTACCACGCCCCCGACGGGACGAAAACTCCTGGTTTATGGACGGGCGGCGCTGGGTTGATCAAATTTTCAGCATCTGCAAAGAATTGATCGCTGAATCCGAGTACCTGGCCACCGAGTGCTGCACTAATCAAATCTACGCCACAAGTATTCTTGTTAGCTATCAGGACATGGGTACATAATCATAACTGTCGCGTGGGCAAATGAAGCTTCCTACCAATACTAGAAGACCCAAAGGTTTCTTGAACTTGAGATATATCGATACGTTGAGGCATTGTTTGGTTAATTTTGTGCTTTTGGGGATGACAGGAGGTGCGGGGCTGTGGTGAAGATATATGTAGATACAAGTATCTGTAGGAAGTCTCAAGTGCTTGCTTATCGGCTGTCCCCGCGAGTCGGGTCTTGCCGCTGAGATAGGCAACCAAGACCGTTTGGGTTAGAGTGGATGACTAGTGTGTCTCACCGCCCCGGGAAGCTTTATGCTACTATTTCTAAAGTAGAGCACTCCAAGTAGAGAGTACAGATGAGTAGATTTGGCCGGCCCGATCAACCAAAGCGCAATTATATGACCTTTCAACGAATTTAGTGGTGGAATAATCTAGCCAGCCAATGTCGCGTCCAAACTATATGTACCTACTAATGCATCAAGTTAAATTATCCGAATAGGCAGTTTGTCGCACCCTCTGTATGTAAAGTACGTACTCTACGTGTCAAGATGTCTATACCTAATATACATGTACTCATATTATATTATGCCGATTATACCTTATATATTCTTGCTCACGGTAGTATTCTCATGTCAATTTGATGAACACAAATGATCAAAGTATTACTTGAAGTAATCAACACTGTAGGAAAATTTAATTTTCCATCTTAATAGTTCATGGGAAGTACATGTACTTCTACGGATATGAAGGCAACGAGGTATCCACATGTGCCCCTTGGCCTGGTGGTGAGATGTGCAGATTCCGGGGGCTTCTTAACATAGGCACCAGGCCCTTAGATCTGCACGTCTTACCAGGCTAAGGTCCTTCGGGTGCATCCATGATTGGGGAAAAGTTCAGTGGCTGACTCATGTTACTTGTGCAGCAATCTTAACTTTCGAATCTTCCTTAGTTTTCAATGATTAAATCTACAGGTATGTAGATACACGGTTTTGTAATTACGGCATTATATGTCACGATCACAAGCAATTCTTCTTGATAAAGTTTGGCTTGGCGTGTGCAATAGTGCGGTACTAATGTAAGTACTTGTAGGTACGTACACAATGTATCCACGGTAATCGGCATGCAATTATCGGGAAGGGCCGAAACTTGGAGACAGCGAGATAGCAGGGTCTCGTTGTTCATTGAGGGAATTGATTTTGAGTTTTATGGAGGGAGACTTTGTATCGGGTATTAAGACTGGCCGGGATCATACGGGAGAGCATAGATACAGTGTAAGTACAATTGTGTATTATCAGATGACGTGACGTGATACAACTGTAAAATGCGAAATTTGTCACTCCCAAACAGTTGTAGGGCTCTAGACTATCTCAAGATGAGAGAAAAATTTAGACGGCCCAGCCCGTCATTGTAGTGTGTTCACATAAATTGTTTAGTCTTCTTATAAGCTAAGGAATTCATTCTGGTCAAATTAGTAGCCCGCACTAAATGTTCAATATTCAGCAATTAATTTTAAAGCGCAATACACTGTTAAACAATAACACAACACCTTGATCTATCCTTCCGCTAAAAACAAGTGAATTTGCGAGCTTTAGGATACTTTCCGAGAAGAGAAACAAAGAAACGAAGATGCATAAAGTACATAGTATTCCACAAGAGTAGCATTTTCTGGAGGTAGAAAATATTCCTCTCACTCGGAAGATTCTCTCACTCAAAGGGTTTTCTCAGTTGAGATTTCAGTCAAACGTTAAACACATAATCTTCGCGTACCGCGAGTGTTTCGTAACTTCCATGTTCTGCTTGTGTTTATCATTGCGCTTTAGCTTCAAAACTTCCCGAATCTTCACCCTTTGTCCAAACTTTCTCAACGTGAAGACCGTACGTTGAGCCATTATTTGAATCTTTTCTTTAGGGGTAATCCTCATATTCTTGGTTTCCCATTCCGCAATGAACCCGCTCAGTAAGGTAGATAGCTCTTGATCTGACATGGAGTAGTCGATTACCCACCTGTCAAGACATTTCCACTTCACACTAATCGCAGGACCAAACCGAACAATGATATCCCACTGACCAACACATTTAAGGCATATACAATAAAAGCCCCAAGTATTCCAAATCCACGCACGTCTCTCCACAACATCATCTTCCAGTCTCATCTTCTTTTTGGCAAGGTCGCGTGTTTGAGATAACGCTCTTCTTGTCCTTTCTGGAGCTGGCTTATTGAGTGACTGAGGAACCAAATAACACCTCGTGAGCTCTTCCCCTGCTTTGATATCTCTATAGGCATACAGACGGATCCGTTTGATTTCTGTGCATGGATCGTTGTCCTCTATTTGGAACATATTTGGTATGCAGCTGTGATTGATAGTCATGAACGCTTCAACAGTTCTGCTATTCCAGGCATCGTGATCTAGATATACCGAGAGGATAGGTTGTCCACGATTTATGTTCTGTCTGGCAAACAAACCATAGCCAGCGTCTGTCTTGGTGTGCATCTTTCCCCAACATTTCCCCCATTCCATCTCGACTGTTATTTTGTGAAAAGATAATCGGTGGATATTCGTACGTGCTTCTCGGTAGCCTGCTTTGCGTTGAGAGAGGTCCAGATGAACAGGAAACTATAGATGAATATAGTTTGGTATTCACATACACACGGGATAGCTAGATTAGAGTATGAAAGATCAAGACTTATCCGCGAATCGGAGCACTTGAATGAATGTAATCAATGGTCCATGGAAGGTGTATTGAGTGAGGTTAGAGGTTGACGGTGTTGGTTTAGGCCTTAAAGGATCGACGTGTCATGGAATGATTGAAGCTTACTCCGTAGCAACTACATGCGGTGAGAGGTCACCACCGCTCCAGTCACAATACCGCTTATCTGCGTGGATTGTATCACAGTAATAAAATCCCCAAATGTGACCTATAAAATGTCGTATGACCAGATTTCCGGATCGATCACTTCTCTAATCTAATGACCGAAATTAAGGATCAAAGGTATCTTGAGATGAGCACACGAATTCTACAACATTCAGCACACTTTTATCGCCGACATGTATATCTAGTAGAAGAATCGTTTGATATAGAGTTCCGAATATTATAGCTTCGAGTTGCAATCAATGAATTAACAATAATGACAGCTCCGAGTCACACGACTTTTATCGAGTGATTTTTGGTGATTAAACTACAGGCGTCAGCTATCTGAGCTTCGAATGAAAATGTATCTGATGTAGTTGGTTTCTCACCCATCTGGCCATATTTGTATTCACAAATAACTAGAAGTATCGTGATCTATACATCTCAAACAGATCACACCGTGTCCTCGGTATATATGCAATCTATATAAGGAGGAGCACAGTACGATGAGCATCCGAGTTTACAAATCATAGATCTAGACACTCTTACTTCCTTTCGTCATTTACTTTATACCGTCAGTAAGCGAACTCCGAGAAATTTGCTTTTTGGTATTTACACATTCCAGAAAATGCATCATATAGTAATATCTACGGTATAAGCCGATATCACACAAACATGCATAAATAGCTCTTCGAATCACATCTCTGTAGCATTGCAACTCAAATTTAGTGATGTGACGAGAGAGGCGGGATGAGAAGACCAAGTTCGCTTATCGTGCATAATATTACATGTAGCACATCTAGCGGACGGTACCGGCCTTTGGGGAAGTGAGCTCTGTCTTCTTAGGCTTTGCTTGAATCGATGAGAGTATATGTGATGCGGAGAATGGACGAAATGTTTTGCGAAAAGCCTACATACCTACCTACATGCAGTACTACGGCAGTAGCAGCTGATCTGTGTTACCAACAGCCCCTTGGGTTTTTATTCACGGATCTCTGGGTGTACCCTGATAAATTATGCAACTGAGCGCGGCCTTTGCGGCTGATTCCGCATCTTATTATTCGCTTTATGTGTAGTGAAACGTCATTACCCATGATTACTACTGCGGGAAACATTTTTTAGGATTCTGGTTCCGACAAAAAGCAATACACTTGGGAGCAAAAGCTTATCCTAGAATTGGGCCAATAAAAGCCCCACAAAAGAAGTGAATTGCAATCATGAGTAGCTTGGCGCCGTCTTGAAACACACACACGCCGTTTTGCGGTAATTTATATTGGTTGATGAAATGCTTGTTCTTGAGCTTGTGTGTCGTTGCATCGTGAGGTGAGACCGATGTTGGGTTAATACGTGTCTACGTTATTAGTACCTACATGTACCCTGGGTACCATACATGCAGTTGAGCAGGAGATACTTGATCATGATACCAACACCATCATCTCGAATGATACCTCATACTTTAGGTCTGCCTATCAACAACGCCCGATGCCGATGACCGAGAGTTGCAGTTACCAGGCTAGGGGCCAAAAGGTGGGGAATACTTATGTAGTACATTGAGTTACCGGGGAATCCTGCTGCCCTGATGGTGTTTCTTGGGCCCATGTGAAAGATCAAGTTCAGATGCGGGATTTATTTTGCCATTCGTGTCTGGCCCTGGTGATGTCTGTGAATCAATCTGCATTCCTCTACGCACTGTATGTAAAGTACATGTGTGATAAACTAGAGTATATATAGCTTCCTAAGGTGTGCACACCAATTTATCTAGAGCCTCTACTCTACATCGTGCAAAGTAAATAGAGGAAGCCATGCACTGACACATGTGTCCACCTATCACGTTAGATATTCCACGATCTGATGCATTATTCCGGTTTTTAGTTGGTGGGTAGGATTTGTGATACTTTTTGCTAATAATCATATTGTTGATCATGGAGTATATCAGCTCTTTCACGCCTCAAGTGCAAAGGCTCAAAGGTGACGCTGATTAACTCGATACGAAAGAGCTGAGACCTTTAAAGAATCCTTGATTCTACACTTGATCGATACTCCGGTTCGAATCCGGTTCTAAACCCACCAACACGATACTCTTTCGGACAAGCCTTGCCGATATTCAGCAGAATTGGAGGGATGCCAGGATGGTGATATTAGTTGGAGTACAGCACTTAAGTCAAAGGCCGGGCGGGCAAGCGGGCGGGCGGGAGCTACATAAAATAGAGTACATACATGCGCAGCGTGCAGTTGCAAATCCCCGGTATTGTAACTCCACCTTCGTCATCAACGTTCTGGCTTAGCGCGAAACGCCTCTGTTGCTTGTTTGCGTGTTCCAGAAGTCAGAGGAACACCAGGCCGTTGAAATCGAGAGAAATCAATAAATCGAAGTCACAAGTCAGCCGCCACCGCAGAACAGCCGCCCACCGAAACAGCTGCTGCTGCTGCGCTGCCCTGCCTTTTCTCTTCTTTCTCCCTTCTGATCGTACCCAACCGGAAGCCGAGAAGTCCGCTGAAACCTATCTGTCTATCTGACTGTAGACCATCTGCACTCTCTAGCCGACTGACTTACTCACGAAGTGCTCACTAATAAGTAGAGCAGAGTACCCCTCATCCTCACCATCCCTCTCCCTTTCTGTTCCTACTCCTACTCCTACCTCCAACCTCCCTCCATTCTATCTCTCCGTCCTCTACCTCTACGTCTTATCTTATCTGAGCGGCTTCATTTGGTCTTTCTTTCACTGATTCATCACCTTGAATCGTTATCTGCCTGTTGAACTGGTAGTGGCAACAGACATATCATTTTTCATAGTAAGTCAAACTCATTTCATACTTTATGTTTCTCGTAATTTTTCTTTTCCTTTCTTCGTTCTTTCTCCCTGTCTCCCCAGCGAGCGTCCAAGATATAATTTTTTGAATTTGGAAGTTTGCACGAGGATTGGGACTTTTCCTCGTGTTATCTTTCGTTGGCCCGGATTCTTTTTTTTTCTCGTTTTTTAATTTTTTGGTCATCTTTTTTTTTTTATCATTGTGGGCCCCAAGTGGCGGGGAAAATTGTATTTGAAATCTGATTTGGGGGGCAACGTGAATTTCAATAAAACTTGGACCAGTCACACTTTCTAACCTACATAATCTCACAGACTCCCTCCATCTCGCAGACTTTTTTCTTATTTCTCAACCAGAGGGCACTTCTGTGTTCAAAGTTACAACCAGCAGTCCAGTTGAGGCTCACGAGAGAAAAAAGCCCCTGCATTTACCCCTCAATCACCCGCTATCCTCCCAATCTCAACACCATGACGTCTGTACTCCCATCTGTTGCGCCCACCATTCAGAAACCGCCGCTTTCGCAGACTCACCCTTACACATGCAATGCCTGCCAGGTTGCATTTCGCAACAATGATCAACAGCGTACTCACTACCACACCGACTGGCAGTAAGTGGAATTTCCGGGGCTATTTCCTTTCACTGAAGTTTGGTTGCGCTAATTATTTTGCGTACCTTAGTCAATACAATGTGAAGCGCAAAGTTGCATCTTTGCCACCACTCTCCTCTGAGACATTTGCCGAGAAGGTGCTTAGTGCGCAGGCCAGTAACAGATTGGAACGCGAGAAAGCGTCTTTTGAAAAAAATTGCTCGGCATGCAACAAAGTTTACTATTCCCAGAATGCATACGCGAATCATCTTGGATCAATGAGACATAAGCAAAATACTGCATCGGGTTTGAACAACCTCCGCGCTGGTGGGAATGCATACACCGGCTCAAGATCAGGACGAGTCATCGATGACAAGGATGAGACTGCTAGCGTTGTCAGCAGTACATTTTCGTTGGGTGACCCTGTTGCCACCACCACTGATGCCGATCAATCGCTCAAGGATAAAGAGAACGAGATCGCAGATGTTGAATTTGCCAATGTTGTCAAGGGTCTGAAAATCTCCTCTGATGATGCTAAAAACGATGAGATCCCCTCTCCATCTGGTGAAGAAGCCAAGACATCCGAGGAAGAGCCAACAGAACTTGCGCTGGAGGCTTGTCTTTACTGCTCTTATGTCTCGCCTTCTCTAGAACTCAACGTCTCTCATATGTCAAAGGCCCATGGGCTTTTTATTCCCGAGCGGGCTTTTCTGGTGGATTTGGAGGGCTTGATCCGTTATTTGGGTCAAAAGCTCCTCCTCGGAAACCAGTGCTTGTACTGTAACAAAACGAAGGGGGGATTGGAAGGCGTGAGGACACACATGCGGGATAAGGGTCATACTATGCTTGGATTTGAGAGTGAGGAACAGCAAGTGGAACTTGGCCAGTTTTATGACTTCCGTAGTTCTTACAGCGATGCGGAAGAGCACGAGGGTTCCGGCGACGAGGGGGAGACCGAGCCTAAACAAAGAGGGCTCAAGCCTAACTACATCGTTCGTAAGGAAGGAGAAGTTGAGGACGATGAGTGGGAGGGTGTATCTGATGGTGGATGGGAAACGGATTCTAGCGCAAGCTCTCTCGATTCAACTGAACTTTGTGCGGTTCCCATTGACCAAAATGGTCACTCTCACAAGCATCATGGCAAGTCAGAAAGGCACCACATGCAGGATGGATGGCACAGCCATGCTCACTCCCGCGCGCACGTTCATGCCGTCTACCACGATGATTTCGAACTACATCTCCCATCTGGCCGCTCAGTGGGTCACCGCTCGCTGAACCGCTATTATCGCCAGAATCTGAGGGACCACCCATTGAACGACAAGGATGTTCGCAGGATTGCAGACACACCATACCCTCACTCAGGCGACGAAACTGAAATCGTATCGGATGACGATGAGGATGGTGGTGTTGTGGTTGCGGCTGATAGCACCGCGACACCGGCGAACAGACGGAGGTCTGCTAGGGAGGAGAAGAGACTGGCACTCATCAGCAGAGCCAATGGAGGGTTGGGTATGCTTGGTGTCAGCGATGCTAAGAAGAAGGAAGTGTCGACGATGGAAAAGAAGAGTCGGGACATGGACCAGAGAGGAAGGAAGCGTTACGAATGGGGAACCGAGAAGAGGTCAAACAAGCAAAAGCACTACAGAGACCCGCTGCTGCAGTAGATGCAGGTTTTTGTGGTTGTTACGGGCATATTTTCTTTCTTTCGCTCATGTGTCGCTCTTTACGGGATGGTGTTTTGAGATTGGCTGGTTGTTGACTTTGGCTTCAAAGACGATATGATCGATTCCCTTGCATTTTTCTTGTCCTTATATCCCTATTTCCCGTTCATTTACCCGCTCTTATCTTCTTACCTTCCTTTCAAAGGCTCTAAGCTCCTAGCTAGCTTGGGTGTCTTTTTTATTCTCTTCAAAAGTTTTCAATGGTTCCTGTGGTGTGTTCTTCTTTGCTTTTTGCTTGCCTGCATTGTTATGGGTCTGATGAATTGATGGTTCATGATTCTGTATGCGTTTACGGTATTTTCCTGTTTCCTTGCTATTTTTCTCCATTGGTTGGGGTTCTCGGATCGACCGGCGGCGGCGTATTTGGCGGGGGGTGGGGTCAAGGATTGAAGATGAAGTAAATAAAGTCAATAATAGAATGGCGTTTTTATTGAGCGATGGCTCCTAAGCGGAAAGGTGGGTGTACTCACAAGATATCACTCGGTGGCCATGGACATGCCCGATTAGTTACCCTGCCTTGTGAGGTGAAACAACTTTATCTCCACGATAGGCTCCACGATTTTGTAAACTGCAATGTAGTGCATGCCAACCCAGCCTGATCGTATATTTCCATAGGGCCTATGGCCACGGGAGATCGAGCAAAACCCCTCAATCTCTGCCGCCGGGTGGGCCAACCAGGAGGTCAACCTGCAAGGAGATAAAGTGTAATCGAATAAGAATAACCGCACATCACATCCTCCCCACTCACAAAGGGGGGGAGAGAACCGACACGCGCAGCCCGGCTCCTCAAAAGGGTTTATCTGTTATCTAATGGATCATGCAATCCACTCAACTTTTATCTAATGGATCAACTTTCTACGGCCGATCGGGTCTGTGAGATGTGAAATATAATAACTAGACATGCATGCAATTGGCACCACCCGCCTCCCCTCCAGACCTTGTGGATAGCGATTCGATGCCTTTTGTAGATGCGATTGAAGTAAGCGGGGCGGAGTGCGAAATGGGGTGGAGTTCATAGACTATTGAGTAATACCTCCCCCTTTGTGATATGTACATACAATATCATGTAGAGGTGATCACGTTGGGGTAGTGTAGGTTACTCTAATTGGGCTCATGTACCGGCCGGCCGGCCATTCATGTATTGGGCCATTCATACAATCCTTTCAGCACGCCCACCTCCAGCGGGCACACAAACGCACTTCTGAACGATCGAGCCATTGTTGGTCTTTCCAGAATTAAGCGCCATCTCCACGCCAAGTTCCTTGTAGTTAGACCGCTACTCTAGTGTTTCCCCCCCCCCCCCGGCCGTTCAATGAGAAATTACGGAGATGAAAAAGTGGGACGGGGAGCCCTAACCCTATACACCTTCTGCAGCCGCTTTACGGGGTTGATGGCGAGGGTGTAGATAGGTGGGGGTGGAGAAGCGGGCGGGTGGGGGGGGGGGGGGTGTGGTGTTTTTATATACTAATACCAGCAGGCAGGCATCTAGTACGGCTTCAGAGCTATGATCCTATGGACCGTTTTTTTCCAGCCATACAGATCATTGGCCCCTTTCCGACCCAATTACAGTTATGAACGGGACCAATGTTCATCCTATGATCTCATAACTCCTCTTTTCCCGTAATCTAGATCATTGACCCCCCCCCCCCCCCCATTCCCCTGCTTCCCGGTTCTACAAATCTATAAATCTACAAATCTTGCTATTACTATTACTTTTTTTTCTTTTTGACTTGCGACATGGAATACTGATGGAGAGCGGTGGGAGAGCCTTCTTGTTTCTCACATTCTACACCTCTACCCAACCCCAACCCCACCACACCCACCCCACAGACAGAGAGCTAATCCCACATCTGCCGCACATTCAAATTAACCCTCTTGCCGCCCATCCATCCCGCCCACTCCCCCATACCAGCACCAGGCCACCCCGCAACATAACCCGGACAGCTCCCCGCCACCACGCGCGGCACCGAATGCCACGCCCACCGGCTCGCGCCGCCCATGACCACCACGTCGCCGGAATGTACGCGGAGCACCAGCACCCGCTCCCCGGCCTCGGCGCTGGAATCGGCGTCGGGGTTGCGGGGGGGAGGTGCAGAGGAGTCGGGGGAGTCGGGGGAGGAAGGTACGGGGGGGGAGTCGGTGGCGGGGTCAAGACCAATGACAAACACAGCATCACACCCCACCGACACACTGACCAGCGGCGCGCGCGAGGCCTCCGAGACGTCGCGGTGCGGGGCTAGCGTGTCGCCGGGCGAGTAGAGGTTTGTGATTGCGGCTTGCGGGGTGGTTGTTTTTGGGAGCTATATCCACACACCCATCCCCGCTATCTGTCAGTCGCCATCCACTCACTACAGGGGGGGGGGGGGGTCAGAAAATACGAGGTCTGTGATCAACCCGCCCACATCGGCCGGAAACGACACGGAAGAGGAGCCAGCGGGGTACTGCTTGAGTGTCCAGTCGTACTGCGCGCCGAGCGTGAGCCAGCGCAGCTTTTTGGAGAGCATGCGGTGGGTTGTGAGGGGCGTGTGGGTGGGGGAGAGTGGCGGGAGGGGGGTGGTGGGGGGGAGGGTGAAGAAGCTACCGCCGACGGAGGAGGCGGTCTTGATGTCGGAGGAAGAAGGGGAAGAGGGGTAGGGCAGGGTGTAGTGCGGGTGTAGGTTCGTGGCGTGCTCGGGGTTCGAGAGATGCTTGTGCAGCAGCGCGGAGAGCAGCGTGCGCTGCGTGCGTGGTGGGAGGAGCGAGGGGATTATCTGGAGTCCTGCCCGCGCCCGCGCCCGCGCCCGTTAGCTATTGCATCTCCTGCAGCAGTAGGTGGGGGAGCGTGGAGCTGCACCGGGAACGAAATCATGCTCATAGATTGCCGCACCCCCCCTCCCCCCTCCCCCCGCTGCCTCCTCCTCGTCGTCGTCACCGCACCCAGCCGCCCCCCGAAAGGCGCTAAACGCCCCCCTCGCACGCTCACCCGGCACGTATCCCACGAGCTTGAGGTGCGGCGCGTGCCATTGCCGCGCGGGCGTGTCGGCGGCTGCGGCGGCGAGGTCGAGGATGTGGCGGTCGTGGGCGAGCGCGGGGACGGGCAGCTTCTGGTAGGTTTTGTGGATGGCGCGGATGTGCGGGGGTGCTGTGTGGTGGGCGTGGGAGAGTGGTGGGGGCTCGGGGGCGGCCATTGTGGTGTGGAGGGAGGGTGGGGTTGAACGGAGGTTGAGACATGAGGCTCTGTGGGTTGTGAGTGGAGTGGAGGGCACGTGAGGGTGGTGGTGGGTGCAGGTGCAGCTGAGTACAGAAGTAATATGAGATAGCTCTACTTACACATACTCTACTATGGTATCACCGACCCCGAGCACCGGCCGCACAGAAGCCCGAACTCCGGATCACTCATCGCTTTATTTATGCTTGGGTGGGTGATGGCAGAGGGATGTACCTCAAAGTAGCCATTTCACGGAACAGGACAAGAAGAAGCTTTGGAAAGAATGCAGCTAGCTGACTTTATCACATCTCGCCTATGTACTCTACTCTCCTCTGCGTACCCGTGAGTGTTCTATGTAGGTACATGTACTCTACTCTTGTTTCTGCCCAGCGAGAAAGAAGGAACCCAACTCAACAGCAGCGGGCGGCGGGGTCAATATTTATCCATCCATCCATATTATATCTTGTTGCTTATCAGCGAGAATCCTCCCCGCCAAGCTACCAGGGGCCGCTACCTACATGCAGGGTAGTGGGTCAGCCTTACACATTAATTAACCTTACCTCATGTACATGACACTTGGGCGGTTACTCGAGTGAGGAGCACGAGTGAGTGTAACCAGCAGTCCGGCTTGGAATGTAGCACGGGGGGGTTATCGGTCAGAAGTATGCAGAAGTTGCACTGCCTGTCTTGTCTCTGCTGTGCTTGTTTTCTGTGGGTGGGTGTTGAAGGGTACCTAGAGTAGTATGTAGAAGCACACTAAACTGCGGGGTCGCTTCCGTCTCCAACCCTCTTCTCTCCATGGGACTCGACGAATTGGCAGACAAGAAGATCGCAGTCTAGAGCAGATTTGGGGAGGGGGGGGGGGGGGGGGGCCTCGATTCGAATTCTTGAATGATGCTGCAAAGAAGGACGGCTGGCTGGCTGGCTGTTTCGTTTCGTTGTTTATCAAACCAAACCACGGGGCGGCCCTATCCCATACATCCTGCAGGTTCGCTGGGGGGGGGACCCTGTGCTGGTCAACCACTCGTTGCTTTGGAGGGAGGGGGGCTGAGACGAGCTAAAAATGACTTGCAGAGAGAACAGAGAGTGAGAGAGATATCAGCTGCGCGTGGAAGGGTGGAAAGAAGGAAAAGGGCTGATTGGGGCTAGCATAGGCAGAAGAAGAAGCTAACACTGAGGATCTCGAGAAGAAAGACTCGAGGAAGAAGACATCTAGAAGAGAGCTGCTGGACAGACAGAATTTACCCGCCACTGCAAAATCCCAGGAACCCGACCAGAGCAGGTCCAAAGCCCAATATCGAGAGATAGACCCAGGATTTTACACGGCAAGCTGCAGACGGCCCCTGCTGCTGGGCGCTCTCTGGCTACTCTACACCGCACTCGAGGTACACTGCAGGCATCACAGACAGGAGCCCTACTTTCTTTCTTGTGGTTGGGGTACGAGTACGACGCCCGCCCCTTTCAACCGCAACCACAACCACAACCACAACATCGACCTCTCTCCCCCAACATCGACCTCCAACATCGATAACTCTTAATCTTCCCTCTTCCCCCTCTCTCTTCCCCCTCTCTCTTCCCCCTCTCTCTTCCCCCTTCCGGTCTTTACCTGTGGTTTTTCTGCTGTCTGCTTTTTTGCTTGATCTATCTCTCTCTTTATCACCTCTTATCCGTCTTCCCGCCATCTTGGGACAGAGACAGACAGATGTGCTGCTGAATATCCCCTGAACCCTTTCCTCGACAGCATCCTTTCTAGGCCTAAAACATCCCATCCCGTCTTATCGCCAGCCTCCCCCCACTCACCCCCTCCAATCTCCAATCTCGGGATAATATTTGACGCTCTGGCTACTATCGATAATTAATTCCTATTTTTTTATTATATTTTAAGCCGCCTGCTGCTGGCAACCCACTCAACCAACCAACCACCCACTTCCGCTCCGCACCTGCTTCTCCCACCGCCGGGGAAGCAGTCCAATTCCAGCAGCCCAGCCCAGCCCACCATGGACCGCCTCGACCGCTCCTCGAAATGCAGCCGCCTCACCCTGCTGCTGCGCAACCTGGCCATCGCCATGGTAGCCTACGTCGCCGTCGTCGAGGTGCTCTCCATCTACCAGACAGGCTCCATCTACCCACTCGCCAAGAAGCGCCGGCCCTCCAGCGACACACCAAAGGACAACGGCCCGCTCTCGGGCGGCGTCAACTGGCGCCTGCGGCCCCAAACGCTCGTCGCACACATCAACGACGCCTACCTGGGCCCGCGGCCGCACGTCGACACATTCGCAAACTACACCCGCCTCGTCGAGTCGTGCCGCGGCTCGCTCACGGGCCTGGAGAAGATGAAGAACGTGCACGACTGCCTGCACTACCTGGCATACGCGGAGAAGGACTACTTCTTCGCCCCGCAGGACCCGCCGTCCAGGGCCCTGCCAGCGTATCCGGCGGTCGAGGCGGCGGCGCCGCACACGAATGAGACGATCGGCGAGTGCCCGGGCCCCGTGCAGCTGTTCCATACCTACTGGACGGGCCCGGCCACGTGGCGGGTCGAGCTGTTCGTCAAGGCGTACCTGTACACGCAAAACATCCCCTGCAGCCGCCTGTATCTCTGGCTGGAATCCGACGGGTTCCCGCACGCCGTGGAGGACATGCTGGCCGACAAGAACTTTGCACGGTTCCTCCCGCTCGTCGAGCGCGGGGACATCGTGCTCAAGGCGTGGAAGTTCCCCTCGCGCATCCCGCTCCCGCGCGGCGCGGTCGAGGAGGACCCGGCATACGTGGGCAGCAAACCCGTGCGCCGCACGAGCCCCGACGACCCAAAGACCGTGCGGAAGGAGGTGTACATTGCCGACGGCGTCGTGCGCGACGAGGAGGACGGCAGCGAGTGGCTGGTGCTCACGGAGCGGCAGATGACATTTCTGCCCGTGGCCGTGTCGGACGCCGTGCGCTTCATTGTGCTGCACCTGTACGGCGGCGCGTACTTCGACATGGACGTCATGCTGCTGCGCGACCTGCGGCCGCTGCTGCTGCCGCCCGACCACTCGTTTGCCGAGCGCTGGGCCGTGCACTCGCACCCGGGCGACTACAACACGGCCGTCATGTCGCTGGCGCCCAACACGTCGCTGTCGTCGTATCTGGTGCGCGGCGGGATCCGCATGGGGCTCAACTTCCACCCGCGCATCATTGGGCGCATGGCCTGGAAGGATGGAAGGAACGAGGAGTTTGTCATGTTCGAGACGGGCCTGTTTGACCCCATTTGGGGCGAGTTTAATTGGGGCCGCGAGGGCCGCTGCGCGATCCCGTGCTTTCGGGACTATGGCGTGGCGTTCTTGGGCGGGAGGGGCGCTGTGAGGGATGAGTGGGAGAGTTATGATGGGGCGCCGCTGGAGCTCGTGCAGGTGGGCGGGCCGACGGGGGAGTTGAGGAGGCGCGGGAATGGGGAGCCGGCGTCGGCGCAGGATGAGACGGAGGCGGTGAAGGCGGGGCAGGGGAAGCCGGGGCCGGATGGGAAGTATGGGGGCGCGCCGTATGCGTTGAAGGATGATAAGTATCCACCGAATAATCGCACGCTGGAGAACTTTTTTAGAGGCGCGTGGAGTTATCATATCCATAACCAGGTTTGTCTTTCCCTGGTCTTTCTCTTGATGGTGATGATGGCGGGAGTGTAGATGGCTAATGATGTGGATGTGGTGGGGGAAATATAGTGGTCAAAACACCCACAGCCAAACTCGTGGTTCGACGTGATCCAGAAGGCGCACGACGGCTTCCTCAGCGGCGAGCGGACGAACCCGTATGGCGAGAAATGGACGGGGCCTGCGCTGCTGCCGTATGATAGGTGGCCGGAGTTTGACTGATTTCCGTTATATTGATACCTTTTTTTTTTTTTTTAATTCTATTTATTTTTATAGTTTTGTGGTTTTTTTTTTCCTCTTTCGTTTCATAAGGGTGTAAAAAAAATTTATATAGGATTAGCGGTAACACTTTTTTTTTTTTTTCTCCTCTTTTTTTTTTTTTTTTGGTTTTTACTTTTATTTTAAATTTTCGATTGGGATTCAATTTTTTTTTTTTTGAGTGTGGAGTGTGATGGTGATGGTGATGGTGATAGCAGGCAGATATTACATGTAGTGCGAAGCTAGCGGGGGGGGGGCGTTTTGCATTCTGTTTTTTCTTCTTTTCTCTTTCTCATATACACCCCCTTTACCCTCTAGTTTGGGGCAGGCAGGCAGGCAGGCAGGCAGGCAGGCAGGCAGGCAGGTGGATGTTGATGTTCATGTTGGTGTTGCAAAAAGGAGCAAGCAGGCGTTGGAGCGTAAAAAAGAAGGAAAGAAAGAACGAAAGAAAGAAAGAAAAGTTCTATTTCACTACATGTAGAAGAGCAGAGCGGAGCAGGCGGAGGATAGAGTAGAGAAGAGACGACGGCCAGGTCTAATGAGAGAGAGAGAGAGAGAGAGAAATAGAAAAGACCTCCTGCGGAGGTCGGGGGTTTCTCGCACACATATGTATCAGGAGTGAAGGAATATAATGACTTTACCGCTTTACTGCTTTTTACTGCTTTACTTCTTGGCTTGGTTCGGCCCTTTTTTTTTTTTTTTTTTGCTTGTATTGTCTTGTGCCCCCGTAGAATAGAATATAGGATTGGAAAATAGAATGGTACCGCATCGATCACTCGTTATGTACATGTAGCTTGGTGGGATGGAAATGGATGACATAAGACTGGTAGCGCTTTTTTACCCGCAGATTGATCATTGACCTATACTAGTACCAGTACCACCCACCCATGACCGCACCGCACCCCACCGCACCGCACCGCACCGCACCTAGATGAAGAATTGAGATGGATTGTGTTTTACTTTTATTTTTTTTGTTCCACCGAAATGTTTCCCCGCCCCCCTTTCGTCCATTTGAATCACTATCGTTGCTGCTGTTGGGTTTATATTGGCGTTTCTGGCGGGCACAAAGTTTGCTCGTGCATTCTATATTACAGTTGGCGCGGTGGTAATAATGTGGATGATATGATACCACCGCCCGCTCCCGCTCCCCATTCGGTGCGAGGTCGGCTTTCTACGTTTCCCCCCCCTTTGTGTATTTTTGCGCTGTGCTTTTTTTTTTTGAGGGGGGGGGGGGGGGTGTGCCCTTCTATACAGGAACGGCAACCGGCGCGGGGGGGGTGGGATATAAGACGCAAGGAATTTTTTTTTGGCTTGAGATTTTGTGTTTGTTTTGGATTCATCGTCGACAGTGTACTGGGTGGCGGTGCTTTGGCTATAGCTGAAGATCTTTGTCACAATTCCTTTTTTTTTCTCGATCAACGAACGGTATATCGGACTCTACTCTTGTATACTCATACGAGTATTTTTTTATTTTTTTTCCTATATATCTTCGACAGCGATATCATCACCCTAGATACCTATCTACCTATCTCCACTCCTCATCCTCACCACCATGCATTCTGGAAACAAGTCCGAAGAGTCCCCACGCTTGAGCGTGGACATGGCGTTATCCGAATCATACATCCAGAGTGATGCTACTGCCGCCATCGGTATGTAAAACCAAGCCATACCCAGTCAACACTAAGATGCTGACATTTTTTTTTTCCAGCATCAAAAACAGATGACTTTACCATTCTATTATCCAACCTCTCCCTCTCCCCCTCCCACACCCGGAGCACCACCACCCCCGATCCCGCATATGCATCACAACTCCCCCTTGAAACCTCTTCCGGTGCGAGCTCAGTCTCAGCACCCTCACCCACCAAAAAATCACCCCACCAACACATCCCCACCGACAGAACCACCACAGTAGCACACGGAGGCCGCCAGTTCAGCCTCAGCCCCCGGGCCCCCCTCCCTCCCGGGGCCGGAGCCGGAACTCGGAACGCCCCAACGCCGAGAGTCAAAGCCCTCCGGAAGCCAGACTCGGGGATCCTGCTGTCGCGGTCTGGGCGGCTGTACTGCGGCGGTGCGGAAGAATATGGAGATGGAGCTACGTCTGTGGGTGACTCGATGGCTGCGGGGTCGGTGTCGGTGTCGGACTATGCGGGGATGGGGGTGGGTCAGATGGGCGGCGGCGGTGTGGGCGGGTGGTGCAGGGATGTGGTGGGGAGGGAGATGATGGCGGCGGAGAGGGTTGGGTGGCAGCGGGGGGTGCGGCAGGGGCCGCCGGCGGGAGGGGGCTGCGGAGTGTGAGAGGGATGGGGATTTGAGATGCAGGAGGGATCTCGTGATATTTGTTAGCTGTGGGCTTTGTGGAATCTTTTAGCAATATATTGTTATTCAGCGGTGCTTTTACTACAATTGTGTTTCTCTGTCTATTTTTCTTTCTGTCTTTTGAGCTCTGGCAGTTCTACTTTAGACATCTTTCTTTTACGGCGTACAGAGGACACCTACTAAGATCAGGTGTCCCCAAGGCTTCTCGTGTGTGGCCTGAAATCTATCATGGCTTTTTGGAAACAATTGGGCCCAGTCGTGTTCTGATCAAGATCGTCCTTCTCTCTCTCTAAAGATCAGCTTTTGGGTTTTAATTGACTTGTCTGTCTACGCGCTTTCATATATTCTTCAACCAGCAAAGACTAGTAATCTACTGCTCCAGGTTCACTTTCACATCTTGTCTGTACCCACCTCCATAGACATCACAAGCCAACAGAAGCCCAAGTACTGACAGCAGATAGGCACCAGACACCAAGTCCCCAACCCACATCCCAACCCACCCCACCCGACCATGAACTGGGAAGACTGCTGGGTCCAAAAAGACACCCACACCGCCGCCGGCACCGGCCTCTTCGCCCGCCAAAAGATCCTCCGCGGCCAACCCATCTTCCGCATCTGCCCCGAGGCCTCTGTCAACATGTACGTGATCCAGCTCGTCAACCACAGCTGCATCCCCAACCTCTTCGCCCTCCAAGGCCTCGACGCCGGCACCGGCCTACTCGACTGCCGCTTCTACGCCCTGCGCGACATCGCCGCCGGCGAGGAGCTGACGCGCTGCTACGACGACCGCGTGCTGTTTGAGGAGAGCGTTGCCGTGCGCAGGACGTGCATGGCCGAGCTGTGGGACTTTGAGTGCCTGTGCCCCAAGTGTGTCGGGCAGTGGATGTACCCGGTTTGGGACTGCCCCGAGGATTGGAAGATGGACTATGCGCAGCCAGATGAAGTGCTCTCGGCGTACATGAATGGCCTGGTGAGGGAGTTTAGGGATGAGTATTTGAGGCCTGGTGCGGTCGAGAAGACGCGCATTGTGGCGCAGAGGACGCTGTTTTCGCTGCAGTGCTTTCGCGAGCAGGTGAAGTTCACAGCGAGGAGGTTGAAGAAGAGGACTTTGAGCACGAGGTATAGGTTTAAGGTTGGGGGCAAGACGTTGCATGATTATGCGTGGAGTCAGAATTATAAGAAGTTGCTGAAAAACTAAGAAACAGGACTTTATACGCCGAAAAACTCCGAGAGACAAACAAAAGAAAAAGAAAAAGAAAGAGAGACTAAAAACGAGAGAAAAAGGATTGAAAAGTAGTAGATGAAATTACCCCCCTGTTATAAAACATTTTGTGCAAGAAAGAAGAATTTAGGATTAATGAACGGAATCCCCGTCGATGTGATTGATGGCTTTGAAGGAAGAAGAAGGTAATCTTGAATGTACTGTACTACTGTTGAGAGAATTGGCCAAGGCAATTCAAAACTGTATAATATTGGAGTTGAGTATTTATTATAAAGGGTCGTATGTTGTATCCTGTGCATGCCATGAGATCATTAGCACAATTTCTAATAGACCCATAGTCGATTATTAATCCTCATCTCTTACTCTTTCTGTCAAAGCTGCAATATACGGGGATGCCTACACTAATTCACTTTTACTATTTACAAGATCGATTCGATCACTTTTCTGGGCGGGCCACATTCACGAAGTTACGATACGATAAGCTATAAACGGCGTCGCCACAATGACAAAGCCTAGTATCACGCCGATAAGGAGATTCGCAGTACACGTCCTCCCCCTCGGCGAGGGTCTCGACAGCGGCACCTGGCGCACAATATTGTACTGTGGCAGGTTTGTATTGGTGTCGCGCGCCGGGAAGCTGTACGTCGTTGCTAACGGCGCATCGTACCTTACCGGCTCTGTGCTCCTGCTGGTATAATAGTGGTTATGCGACTGCGCCGGCTGCGTGGGCAGCTCCAACGCACCCGTCCCTATCGTCGTTGTCCTTGTCGCTGTCATAAATTGATGCTGCTGCTGCTGCTGCGTCGTATCATTTCTTCGTGAACCTAGTAGGTAGCAGTAACATTAACGGCATGCACACACCCAGCCTACACAACCACAAGGGTAACGACGGCAGTATTTGCAGTCGGGCTCTCACCTTCATCGTACGGCGGCGGGTCGCCAATGCCGATGCCGACGCCGATTCCGCGCTCGAGGTCGTCGTCGTCGGCGCCGAGCGAGTCGTTGTGGTCCCACATGCGGTGCGAGCACGTGTGGCATTTGAGCGACTCGACGTCGCCAGCGCCCGTAAAGTCGAAGGCGCAGCGGCCGGTGGTGCAGGGGCAGCGCGCGCCGCCAGGGAGGAAGACGTTGCAGTGGCCTTTGGTGAAGTTAGACATGCGGGCTAGCATTTTTGTGAGTTCCAGACGGGTTAGGCGGTGGAAAATGAAATAGATGAAATAAAGTAAAATAATATTATTTAGAGAAGGTAGGTTCAAGACGCTATGCGTAGACCTAGAGTTGATAAGTAGTCAAAGAGAGAGCGGGGGGAGCGTAGCATAAAATGGACGCCTTGCTGCTACTTGCTGCTTGCTGCGAGAGAAATATCTTGGCCCCTAGAGCTGCGCTGGATGGAGGAGTAGAGTTACTCTCGATCGGGGTGAACCTGGGGAAAGAGAGCAAAAAAAAAAAGGTATTTATTTTCCTCTCTGCGCGCACAATAAAAGTGCAGTCGATCTTTTTTAATTTTCCCACCCCCCTTTCACTCAGTCACTCACTTCACTTCACTCCTCAGCTGTCGCTGCAGCTGTCTTATCCTGGCCCGCCTTGCCTGCTTGCTCGCTTCCCAGGAGATTTATCGAGAAGTTTTGATTGAGACGACGTTACGGACAAGGTTGTCATACCACAGCCACAAGGGCTGGCTGGCTTGCTGGATTAAATTAGTAGATGTATATAAATACATTTTTTTTGTACTCGTGCTTTTCCCTGCTGTGTGCATGTATGTTACATTAAGCCTGGTGGCATGCCGGCCGCTTATTTACTTATTTGTCTTGGGTTACATGAACTGTATGTAGGTATGTAGGTAGGAGGAGGTACATACCGCGATCGATCTTATCAGAGAGGTTTGGTTTGATGTTTTATCGGTTTCAACGGGTTTCGGAGAGATTGGTTGGTGACAGTTGTACCTACATGTAGAAGTACTTTACATGTCCTTATATAGATTGCTTGATTTGTTGATAAAATTGAAGATTGCAGGGGGGTTGGAAGGCTATATGACGTATGGGGTATATTACTCAACTGTTTGAGGAATGGATTTGTGTTTTATTATTTGATATCTAGAACACTTTGTTTCGATTCGGATTTTTAATTATTATTAGTGCTTTAAATCCAACTAGAAATTTGAAAAATCAGCTTCCCGATTCTAAGGAGACGTGCTTTTAAGTATTTTGATTTTTTTTTGCTTTTTCTGTGTTACGCAAATATAACAACCCCCATAGGCCATGGCATCAAGTTCAAGCCTTCACTCCAGACATTTTAAACTGACAAACTCCTTTATCGATTGGGTGGAGAATACCGGCCGTACCACTACACCCTCCTACAAAATAATCGCATAATGGAATTGATCCTGCCAAGCATGTATGGGAAACTGGTCCATACCCCAGTTTCGCTCTTGGTAAAGCAACAACTCCTAAATGCAGGTATATTTGTGGAGCAGTTGAGTGATGGGATTGTTGCCTAAGATAGCAGCAGTCAGGCGTATTTGGTGTCAGGTTGCCATACTCAGCAGAGAATCGACCAATCAGAGGCGACCCCCAAGAACCGCCCGAAAAAACGGTACCGGGTCATGCAGAACTTTGGTAAAGGGCCTTTCTCCTAAGTATTCCGTGGTCGGGCTATTTCTTCGTGTCTTCACACTACTACAGCGGAAGTGCTGTTAGCCCCGAGTTATGTTGATTAGAGAAACCCGTTCCCTAGTTCTACAAATTCCTGTGTGGCGTCTGCGCCTAACTAGTAGTGTAAACCCATATTGAGATTCTCTCCTTCCTTGAGAAGCAGCAGAGTTGTCTCCAAGAGTCTAGCAGTACCGCTTCATAAATTTGCTAGCACAGTTGGAGTTGGCGCCATCTAAGATTGGAGATCCTGTCTCACTGGTAATGAAGAAACAGCTACAATTCTGGCTGCTTATATAATATAAGTTCTTCTCTTAAGTTCTTGGCGAGTAAATTAAACTGTTCTCAGGTGTAAGAGCGCGGTTATCCTATAGCTCGAGACGTTCCTTAAACGATACAGAATTTAAAGATAATATATCTCGTTAACCTTTCATTGCAAGATTTAAGATGGGGAACAGGTATCCGGCATTGGTAGGAAACGATGAGCCTGAATAAGACATTTCATAATCCTTGATATATCTTCGGCGAATATATCGAACCGGAAGAAACCCGTACCTGTCATGACGAGATCGAAGTTGTACTAGCCTTGCAGAAGATCCTCTTGGATAGCATAATTGATCAAGTCGAAATGTAAATACTTCTGTATTTGCTGATAGCCACTAGACAAGCTCAGACACCGAGTAGAGCCACTAAACCAGGTAGATATAGATTGTCGAGTTTGCATCGCTCTGATTCTGCAGAACTTGACTCTCGTCAATGGGTAGAGCCCTCCTAACTCCGACGAGCTATGTCGAGATTCGAAAAACCATATACGTCTTGATTGCATCTTACATAACTCGTCATGGGTAGCCTAGCGGTTTTCCTCCAGGAGTGGTGTTTGCTCTCTGCTGGAATTCATGTGTCTGCCACCAGAGATATTAAACGGCCTTATCTTTGTACCGACTTTGTCCGAGCTGCTTTGTACATGGATTGCTGTAAATTTCCTCTCTCTTCAAGTTGGGTCTTTATCTCCTTATCTTTTGCTGGAAATTTTTCTTGTTGAAGTAATCCTTGATATCCTCTAGAAACGATCATGCAATGGCAGGAATGTTGAAGTCTTTTTGACTCGTTTGAGACAAATGAAGTAGTCCATTCCTTTGTGTCTTCTGACCTCATTCATCTCGTGAGGCAGAGTTAACTGAGGGCAGTGTCCTGCATCACCCGTTTGTTGAAGATCTGTCTCGACCCGGGACCACAAATGTGTATGTAGGTCTTCAACATCTGTAGGAAGGTGTGCATGTGTCAGGAAAGATGTTTCACCAGACCAGAAGGAACATGCTTGTTTAAGCCACGAGGTCTAAATTGTGCGTAGCCCTAACCCGACGGGAAGGCTAGGGTTAGGGTTCCACCGTAAACCGCATGGGTGTTAGTACATACCCTACCTAACCCCGGAATATACATTACCCGCCAAGGCCGCCCAAGCATCTTTCGAAAGTAGAGTCCCTTACCTACATGCATGTAAACGGTAAAGCAATGACTTCCTGCAAGAGAAACTCTACACCTGCTCGGGGAAGCTTCGGAAGCTTGGATTTATCAGCTTATTAACTTAATTGCTTTGTGAGCTCTTATAATTATGACAGCTATTACATATGAAGAAAAAAAAAAAAAATAAACACCAGAAGAACGGTTGATACCGGGAATCACGACTCATCGCAGTTTGCCGAATCCTGGAAAGCTGGGATCCAATTAACCCCGCAACACATCTTTATCAGCATCAATTTTTTTCCTGATCATGCACTTCCTCAGCCGCGTGTGCACATTAGTATAAATTAAACGACATCTTATTATGCTTCTCCCTTAATTGTCCGCGTGTGACGTCTTAAAACGGGTATCCAATGTACCCTCAAGCAAGTTTATGAGATTTTTTTTTCGCTTGTACTATGGTGGCTGGCAGGAAGGCAGGGATTCTCATGTCGGCTCTTCGGCAAACATTAGATGCCCCCACAATCATAGCTTCCGGGAGGATAATTATCAATCAATTGCAAAAGCCCTTCTTATATCCGGCTTTCAGAGATTAGTATATATCTGGACATTATAGCACTGACAGTTATGAAAGAATCCATCAGATTAGCTGTCGACAACCTCGATAACGTCACTTTCGAATTTTTACCTTACGAAAGATGATGGCCCACGATAGTAAAGAAGCTGGCCAATTGCCTAGTCCAGCTTCTCACGATAATGATTTGGACCTGGAGAAATCAATGCCACCTGAGTCACAGCTGGAGAATGGGCGCAATAATTCTCGGGGTGGCGGGGATGGGTCAATGAGCTCTTCGAGTTCAACATCGGCAGGTGGAGAGGAATTCGAGGTGAAATGGGAAGGCCAGGACGATCCTGGAAATCCTAGGAGTATGAGTAAGTTCAGGAAATGGTTGTGTACCTGGGTTGTGAGCTTAGGTAGTTTATGCGTGTATGTATTCCAGGACGCCAATTGTGAATTCTAAATGCTAATTGAGCTTGATATTACAGGACATGTACTTCATCAATATACACATCTACCTATCGTCAAGTAACCGCAGAAATGCATGTCTCTCAATTGGTTGCAGTATTGGGTCTATCACTCTTCGTCGGAGGCCTAGGAATTGGGCCCATGTTCCTAGGGCCAATGTCGGAATTCTTTGGCAGACGTCCCATTTATTTAGTCTCCTTTACCTGCTTCACGATATTCCTGATACCTTGTGCATTGGCACCTCATATCGCAGTTCTACTCATCTTCCGGTTCTTTGCGGGAATGGCTGGATCAGCATTTTTATCTGTTGCAGGTGGAACAGTTGGAGATATGTTTGCTGGTCCCGAACTGAGTGCACCAATGATGATTTATACTGCATCACCTTTTGTAAGAAAGACAAAGCCACTCCTTATATATATATAAAAAAGCAATAAAAAAAGCAATAAGCTAATATTTCTCTTATATAGATTGGCCCTAGTTTAGGTCCATTGATAGGCGGCTTTATAAACCAGCAAACTTCCTGGCGCTGGACATTCTGGGTTCTAATAATCTGGTCCTTCTTCATGCTCGCCTCCCTCTACTTCTTTGTCCCCGAAACGTACCACCCGGTCCTTCTCCGCCAGCGTGCCGTCGCCCTCCGCACCCAAACCGGTGACTCACGCTACCGGGCCTCCATCGAGAAGCTCGACCGCTCCATCACCAAGACCGTCCTCTGGTCTTGCACCCGTCCTTTCCAACTCCTCATCCACGAGGCCATGGTCTCTCTCCTATGTACTTTCACTGCAATCCTCCTCGGCGTTCTATATCTCTTCTTCCAGGCCTTCCCCCTCGTCTTCTCACACGTCTATCACTTTGACCTGCAGATGATCGGCCTCACCTTCCTCGGCCTCCTAGTCGGCATGGTCTCGGGCACTCTCTCGGACCCGCTCTGGGCCAAGAATCGGAACCGTCTCGTTGCCAAGAACGGCGGTGTCTCAGAGCCAGAGTTCCGCCTTCCCCCAGCTATGGCGGGTGCTGTTCTGGTCCCTGCCGGGCTGTTCTGGTTTGCGTGGACGACGGTGGAGGGCGTGCACTGGATTGTTCCCATCATTGGGAGTGTGTTCTTCGGTATGGGGACGCTGTTGGTGTTTTCGGGCGTCTTCACGTTTCTTGTCGATGCCTACCCGCTGTATGCGGCGTCTGCGCTTGCCGCGAATTCTTTTGTCAGGAGTAGCTTTGCGGCTGGGTTTCCGCTGTTTTCTACGATTTTGTATCAGAGGTTGGGATATCAATGGGCGAGCACGCTCTTGGCGTTTTTGACTATCCTAATGGCACCGTTTCCCGTGATCTTTTTCATTTATGGGAAGCGGTTGAGGGGAAAGAGTCGGTTTGCGACTGTACAAAATTAGAAGGGTGTAGGACTTGAAGAGATATTTTTGGTACTGTTTGTAATGGCGTTTTGGAGGGTCTATGTATTTATTCACGATAAATCCTGTTTGTTTAATGCACGAGAATAAATGTTTAATGTACGTATAAGACATGAGGTTCAATTGTAATTAATCTATCAACTTGATACCCCATGAGATCTAGGCTAGTTATTTAATTGCAAAACAAATTTTGCGCGATCCAGCAATTCAGGGAGCTTCGCCATAATCATGAAACGCCCAGCTCTTGACCCAGTCGAGTGGTGTTGCCCCCATGATATCTTCGATGTCCCTTTCAGCACCCATTCTCAGAAGTAAGCTCATCATCTCTGTATCCCTATTGAAAACTGCCAAGTGCATAACAGTATCTCCATAAAAACTCTGAGCATTTAGATCGACGCCGTTGTCGACCAGTAAGGCTAAAACCTCTATAGACCTTAGTTCTACTGCTGTATGAACCGGCGCATACCCCAATTCGTTCTTGAGGTTGATATCAGCGTTTTTATCTAGCAACAGACTTGCAATTGATTTGTCGTTTCTCTCTGCAGCTTTATGAAGTGGTGTATCGCCATATTTGTCTCTTGTATTCACTTTACCACCATTTTGCAGCAGCATTTCGACCATAGTATCAGAGCCAAACTGGGCCGCAAAATGAAGTTCTGTTCTATCAGAGTTTCCGCGATTATTGATACTGGCTCCGCTCTCTAAAAGAATCTTAACAATGTTTTCGGAGCCACCCTGTGCTGCTTTGTGGAGCGCTTTCGAGCCTTGATAATCCGAATCCTCAATATTGACCCCCCTCTTAATTAGCTGCTCTACTACAGATACACATCCCTTTTTTGCTGCATACTGAAGCGGAGTTTTAAGGAAGTTGTTCTTCTTATCGATATCCGCACCCTTATCCATAAGCAACTCCGCAATCGTACCATGTCCGTACCTTGCCGCAAGGTGGAGAGCAGTATCTCCACAAAAGTTCTGGAGATCGACCGAACTGGGGTTTATATCTATAAGATATTTGATGACCCTTTGATCTCCGGTACTGGTTGCCCAATGAATTGGAAATTCTGAGTTTAACAAAGAGTGCGGATGCATTGATTGCACACTCTTCCTCAATAAGAGCCGAAAGATCGGCTCATTTCGTTTTTTTGCAACCCAAGAAAATGTTATCTTTTGGTTTTTGGTTTCAATTGCTTTAATGTAAAAAATTGGGGTTAAAAGAGTAGAAAGATAGCGATTTGTTTGAACCAGTAAATTTATATCTTCTGGTTCTAAATAAATCTTTGCAATGTTGTATAAAATGTGCTCTGGAAGTTTGAAGATTGATGGAGTGGTACCATTACTTTCTGTGATCTTTTTAGGGGGGTCGAGGAGTATTCTATCAATGAGTAACTGATTAGCTGGTAATCAGAATGCACAGTTCTAGAAGTGTAGGCTTGAGATTACCTCTTTACATCTATTCGTTGACCCTGAAGTTTATACTCTGGGTAAGCGCTTAATTTTACCAACTCTGTGTTCTTGATATTGACTTGAGATGCTACCTCCGGAGAGTTGGGAGATCTGCTTAGTCCATTCAAGGAAAGAAGTTGTTCAACGGTTTCTCTATCTCCATTAAAACTAGCCACACGCAGCGGTGTGTATCCGTCACGATTTCTGAGATCGATCGTTGCCCCATTTTCTACCAGCAATTTAATTATGTCGTCACATCCGAGATCTGCTGCTATGTGAAGCGGGGAGAAACCACTATTATCCTGAGGGTTTACGTTTGCACCATACTTTATGAGGTCTTTAATGATCGACTCTTCTTCTTTCTGCACCGCTTTATGAAGTGGTGTCTGGCCATGGATGTCTTTTGCATTAATTTCAGCTCCTTCCTTCAGTAGGAGTAAATGTATCGGCTTGCCATACGCTGCTGCTATGTGAAGCGCGGTCCATCCCAAATTATTTTGCTCATTAACGTTAGCCCCGCGATGAATCAAAAGCTTGCTGACGTTTTGGATCCCACTTTTGACTGCTTTATGAAGTGGATTTGAACCAACAATATCCAAGTGATGAACATTGGCTCCATATTCAAGTAGTAACGCGACCAGATTCTGGTCACCGTTTGCTGTAGCATAGTGAAGGGGTGTTTCGTTGCTGAAGTCTTGGCAATCAATAAAAGAGCCCTTCTCTAATAATTGCTTCGCTATTGTCCAATATCCATGTCTCGTGGCGAGATGGAGTGCAGTAACTCCATCTTGGGTCTTATAATTGACGTTTATGTCAGTTTCTTCGAGAAGTAGCCTCAAGACCACTTCTTTTCCCATTCTAGCTGCCCAAAGAAGCCCTGACTCAGGGTAATCACAATATCCCTCACATTCGCGATGAAACCCTTGGTTACTGAACAGTTTAAAGAGTAAATCTTCCTCAGGCTTTGGGTTATCTTCGCCCGTTGTCAAGTTTTTGTGCCTTTCAAAATCGATCTGATAGAGTACGGGGACAATTATGCCAGCCAGATATTCTGTCTTGAGAAGTGACTCGACCTTCAGTCCTACATATGACTCTGCAAATATTTGCATAGGTATACAAGGCAGGCGGCCTTTGCTTTCCGACCCTGAAAAGATGGCCGAGTCTTCGTCAAGCGAATGTCCTGAGGATGAAAGGGTTTTCGACCCTAGAACCCTACCAACCTCCAGCTGCATCTGATGCTTGCGTTGAGTTATGCCCGGCTGATCATCTTGAGCGAGTCGATCCAATTCGAAACCAGGCATTCCGTAGGGGATATGGAAAGATTATCTGATATTAAGATAATAGCAAATTATTGTGATAGAAGTCGCGTCTATGATGTAAGTGCTGGTGCAGAGGTGATGGCTGATGTGATGAACTACAAGTAGGTGTTTGACGCTATGTTTGCATGATGACCGTTAGTGCTAGCTCTAAGCAACGTTTTCATCAGTGTGCGGCCCTTTGAGAATCGGTCAGTACGAATAATAGACACATATTTTAATGTACAAATTTCTCCATTTCACAAACCATCACTCGTAACACGTGAAGCATAGCACTGAGACCGTCGGGGGAAATCGGATGTTCCTAGTGCCAAGAAAATAGCCGGATATTCATCCCGGGTAAATCTTTATCCACTGGTCATGAAGTTACACCCTGTGTTTCCAGTTCCACGGAACGACAGGAGGGTATTTTAACGAAGATGTGTGCTCTACCGGTGGTACTACATGCTCTACATGTAGCTAGGTGCTACACCAGCCCCAAGTCTCGACAAACAGACTCATCTTTTTCTGTTCTCATCCCATGCAGTTGCGTATGGAGGAAACTGCACCTAGGTCTCATAGGGCTGAACACGTGCATACGGTGCTATATGTACTATACATCTGGCATTGCTTACTACAAAACCTTTTGGTCGAATCTCTCTATCTTACACTACACTAGGAATCTATCTTGGATAATACTCAAACACAGTCAGGCTAATGTTAAGCTCAGAGAAGAGGTTGGGCTACATAGTACTATGACTGTGAGTGCTATCTCTGCCGTTCTGCATGATATTCTCAGACTAGCTAAAGCAGCCTCTAAAGGTAGCCGATATTCTACTGGGGTATTTCACCGCCTGAAATTGCCCACAAAGCAAACGCCCCGGGGAATATTTGGAGCAGTTACCGAGACCTCTATTTTTTTCAAAATTTCAATATAAATCATACCCGCTAACATATACGGCCAATGAATGACACTAGTACCAAATGACAAACGATGCTTATAGCTATAAGTCGCAGGTTAAACATTCCACATAAACGATAAATAAATGGGTTAAAACTCTCCTCCAACCATAAAGGATATAAAATCTGCAATTCCATAGAAAGAGTTATGCCATGTACGTAAGACGGTAAACCCCGATCATGGTCGACTTCCAATTACCTGCCGCATTTCTGGATACGGAGGAAAAACAAAAACAAATAAACACCGGTTTCCCCGCCAAATTGACAGGTATTGGCCGGTCCATTATCTTAAAGCAGAGCCAATTATGTGAATATTTATACACACTTCCTGATATCAAACGGGCCCAGCACCCACAGGTACATATTTTACCCCACACCTAACAGTGATCGATGGCACCTCCGAGTGATTCCCCATGAGGAAGAAATCCCGCATAACTCCCCATGTTTTCTGCCGTTCAACCCAACACACGTACCGTACGTACGGCAAAGTAACACATATTTTAAATTAGCCCGCAGCCGCCCTTGTGCAGCAGCGGGGGGAAAGTGAAGGTGCATTCAGTTTTCCGAGGAAAACGTCCCCCGCGTGGATAGGATACCCACTTTGGTATTCTTATATCTACGTATGTAGGTAGGTTTTAAAAGCCCAGTGCATCAGGCCTTATGAAACGAGAAATGCGCATTAGATTGAAGATATGTGTGCGTAAAATGCTGACAAGTAATGAATTGACTGGGGTTAGTTTATGAGAAGCGGGACAAAGTCTCTAACGTAATATACGGGTTCCTTATAAATCATCCTCCGTCAAGAAAATACCAAGTACTACCAAAAGAGAAAGACCCAAGTGGCAGAACAAGGCAGATAATTATAATTAAGCATCGTTAACTGCTCAAATTCTTTAACCCCCCGGTCCTGCCGTAACTCCCACTCTTCACAAATACAAAGAAAAAGCTACCCCAAAGAATGAAACCCATGCAAAAACTGTAAAGAAACCAAAAGAGAAAAAAAAAAAAACTTTTTTTTCTTATCACCCCCAAAACCCCAGGAAATGACATTAGTTAGAATAAGCAAAGGTAAAGGGAACAAAGGTATAAGGCAAGGAAAATGCAAGTCCAGACGCCATTATCAAACAAATGAATGGTATTTCAAAAAGAACGGTGTGCCCCCCCACACGGTTTCATGCACAATGACCCCCACGTTTCAACATTGGGTGCATATCATAAAATTCTTACCCCACCATCCACGAACACCTGCACCGTCGATCCTCGTTGTCGGTAATCTAGATGGCATCTGTGTCGTGTATCGTATCAGACTGTTTCCCGCTATCGCGCAGACGCAAAACCAGGCTAGAAAGCTGCCACCCCTGGTCCCGTCCGTCGGTACGTATTTGTCTAGAGATATACCAATTAAAATATCAAACTTGCTGACCGTGTAAAATCGGCAAAAACTATTCACATATCAGCTAAACAAATATCATCATTTGCTAAGATAGGATAGATCTTACATTCCCCACGATCAGCATTGGGATATCAAATACGTCTCTCTTTATGGTCCAGCAAAATGCACATTCAACCTTTCCATCCTTTGCACCAAGTCCATCCATACCCTTCGGCCCTCGATTGCCCACCGCATCTCCGTCAGAATCCCCGTTCTCAGCCTTTGCCCCAGAGCCGTTTGGTTGTTTTTGCGGCCGTGGGGGTCGATACTTAAGCACTTTGCAAGTCGTCATAACAGCACCCCTACTGTCTCCGAACGCTAATCGCGCGAATTGTTCATAAAATTCGACTACTGATTCATCGTCGAGTAATTCCGCAAGGAATACAGGCTTCTTCTGCCCTCCAAGCCCTGGCTCCTCTAACGGAGGGGGCGGCAGGTTTGGTACACTGGTGTGTGTAGGGACATTTGTATTTAAGTTGGGTCTCTCCCCGAGCAAAATAGGCTTTTCCCAACCTGTAAGCATGCAAAACTCTTTTCCTACACCGACAACTTCACCTGTACGCCGACAAACAAGTGTTGGTGTACCGCAAGATTGTATGAACCGTTCGTATTCCCATAGGGTGCGCTGGAAGCATTTCTCCATAAACAACAGATCTTCCGCCTTTAATGTCTGTGTACACGCAATAAATGATGGCCTGAAACTTGCCATTGCTCGCGCTATTCGCAACAACAACGGTTTTGGGAACCTGGACTCGAGCATATGGAATAAACGGTGGTAGTGAAGGGTATAGGGATATGGCGCGGTTATGGTTGAATATATCTGCGAAGGATCGTCGGGGAGGCGTCTTCGTCTTTGAATTTGCTGAAGCGGTTGAGAAGCCGATTGGACTTGTTGAAGAGATGAGTGCTGCGGATGCGCTGTAGTGCGATGGTTGCTGTGCTGGTAAAAGCCCGGACTACCCATTGGCCCCGTGGTGGGGGTATCTGGATATCCCCCGCCTTGTGATGTATTTTGGACATAACCTTGCCTAGGACTCTCCACTGGCGGGCTAGGGCTTGTTAGGCTGCCCGGTCCCGCCTCAATCATGTAAGTTCCCGCAAACCCGCCACCAATGTTGCTGTGATTTCCCGCGGGGTTATTTCTAGTATTCCCCGCCCAATTATCACTTCCGTATCCTTGAGGAGTTTCTCCCTGGGGTGCTGCATATCCAGTGTAACTTTCACCCGCTGTTGGCATTACTGGGGAATATCCGTAGTTACTTCCCCCACTTGTACCCTCTGGTCCATCTTGAGCTGCTTGCCCACCCATCTGTCCAAGCACTCCAAACTCTAGCGCACCGTATTGACTCCCAAAATTCAGGCTCGCAATATCAAAGTTGAAGAGCGCCGGATCTGATGGGTCAAATAGCGGGGCACCAGAAAAGTTCTGTTGTTGTGTTGGTGAATCTTGCAATACATTACCCGGTGATTCAATCGAGTTTGGATTTATGGTTCCATCAGGTGGCAGCATATCCCCGGTCGGCTGAGAGGGTGGCGGAGGCGCTGGTTGGTAGGCATAAGTAGAAGCAGTAGAGGATGGGGGTGGGACCGCAAATTCGGGAGGGCCATCGTCAATTGGGGCATCATGAAGATATTTGGCCTTCTTACGTACGCCATCATGACAAGCGTCTTGAAGGCCACGTTTGATACATCTTTGGCAAGGGCGTTCATCACCTACAAAGAAACAAAAAAAAAAGGCAAGAAACGAACCCGTTCAGTGTTTATTCAACATATAAGAGAGGCAGGGACTATGGGGGAATAGCGGCAATGAGATAAACCACGATTTGAATAGCCTGGGGATAAGCAATTCTTGTAAACATACCACACGTGAGATGGGCTCTCTGACACGCAAAGCAAGCCCGACGAGCTTTCTTGCGCCGAGGTCGGCCAGGATCTTTGGCAGAGCCACCTACCACTGTAGGGGGTGCGGAGGGGATAGTAGGTGTCGCGGAGCCACCGGGAGCTGTCCCAGAGGCATTAGAGCACTGGTCGCCCGAGTGGGGGAAGAAGGTTCGGTTTTGAGTTCGGATTTGACCATGGTCGCGTGCGCGCAGAGGGAGGAATTTCGACAATGTACGAGTGGCGGGACTTGAAAGGCGTACGTAGGTGACGATCGTCAATTATCAATACTCACAGTGAAGGAGTAGTGAAAAAAAAAAAAAAAAAAAAAAAAAAAGGGCGCTCTGCGGACTTCCGGGAGAAGTGGTAACGGCTAAGAGGGGGTTATAGGTAGATGAGAAGAGGAGGTTGTTGAGGGAAAAAGGTTTAGTGGGGACTTTGACGAACAACCTTGGTAGTGTAGCCGAGTCGGGCCTCGCTCCAACGGAAAAACAGAAGCAAGCAAGCTGAAACTGGGAAGAAAATTGGGCTGTTTTTTTTTATTTATTGAAGAGCTGCTTGCTATCTTTATCAATTGAGAGGAAGACCAGGAGCGGTAGGGATTGTTTTTGGTGGCAGAGGCATCTCACAAGCTCTTGGCTGTTCAGCGAATTTTATACCACCTTCGCCTGTGTTTGTTGGCAGGCTGTGATACGAGGGAATGGGTGAATGAAGACGAAGATTGAGGGGCGAAAGA